AAAAATCCTCTAATACTATCGACACAATGCCGAAAAGATAACGCTGGTGGAAATTCGGGAAAAATCCCGTGGGTATTGTGAGGAATGAGAGCAGCATGGAAGTACAATTGGCATGCGTGCAGAGTCCCTTCAGAGTATCGCCAATTGATTTCTCATTAAGGGCAAATGGCGATGAACAAGTACGTGTTTGAGATGAAAATGAGATTACCATGAAATTATACACGAGATTGTTGTATTATTAAATCAATCAGGCGACAGCAAAAGACACTCTCTCTCTCTCTCGATTCACTCATCCTCCCGGATGACTTTGCCCTAAATCTATCTAGTTCATCTCGCACTCTGTCACCGAGGATGAGTTGATAAATTGAAGAATAAATAAAATGGAGAAAATTGATCACAAATTCAAGCCACACATCTTGAAGACAAAAATTCAAAAGAATAGACTTTGTTTTCTCTCCTCGTGTTTATTTTTCTATTTTCCCCAGTCGCTCTTTTTGATAGCTTTTCTCATTACATCGCAAGTTAAAATGGCCAAGACCATGAGAAAATGGTCTCTGAAAGCACAGAAATCACGCAGCTAAAGTCACCAGTTATATGTTTGCCCCGAGGACCACAAAAACACACCACGATATGAGATCGAAGACAATATGTGACATATTTTCATTTACCATGTTTTCGCTCAAACTTTCTTTTTTACGCTCCCTTTTCAGGACTCATTCAGCATTCAATTCACGCCCAAATCACAAAATCAAGTGTACAAAATCCACCACGAGAGGATGTCGAAAGGGAAATGAATATCCATGTTATGCAGCATGAATATTTTATTTAAAAACATAAAGATTTAATCCATGAATGGTTTCCACACGACCGAATGTTCGAGGGGCGCGAAAATCGCGCCAAAACAATGGAGCTAAACAATTGGGTAATTATTTGAGTGTTTCCGAAGAGTGGGTTGGTTCCAATCGCTTCTGAATAATTTAGAGAGAGGAAATTCATGGAAATTTCCAACAATATAACTTTGATGATTCGATGGGAGATTTTGCGAGTCAAGTGTGAGTGGAAAAGTGTGAGAATTTAGCAATTAAACGCCCAGAAAATATTTTAAAGTGACAAATTTATGTATTACATAAACATAAGTCAATAATTAAGGGTCAAACTCCTCTGGTTTCCTTTGTTTTCTTCATAATAACCACAAGATGTCAAGGAGGTCAAACCCAAGTCAAGTTGTTCGTTGGTGAAATATTTCTATTCATAGAGAAACTTATCTTGTGACGCATTCTGTCTGTATTAATAAACTCATCTAGATATTCTCACCAGAATTGTCTCATATCTCTATCACCTGGAGACTTGACCTTAAACTTCTTCCACGTATTATTAAAAATTTTTCACGAGCATCAATCATCATCAAATTACTATTATAGACGAACCAAGTTGAGTTTCACGTGAAAAGTTAAAATCTTGCACTTTTTAGCACTTATATTTTTCCTTCTTTCAATCCATTCTCGAGATATGTGTCTGTTATAAAATCCATGACAGATTTAGGTCAACACTAGTGACATTTCTATTGCACCATCTGGAGAATATATCCACGATTTCAAATAACACATTGTGAATTACACGGAAATGAAATATTCAATATGGTAAGAAATCTGTGAATTTTTCAACCCAAAAACTATCAATTTACTTTAGACACACCCCATTAAGTGGACACAGACTCTCACTCAAGCACTCTTCAGCACTAAGAACTGGATATCTATCACCGGATACACTGTCTCTTCAGAAGAAATGACCAAAGATTGATGATCCCTGAGAGATTCCTGACGAAAGACCGTCGAAGGGGAGAACAATTTATTCTATCTCTAAAAATGAGATCAAATTAACTTCAAAAGCTCTCAATATATTTATCCAACATTTTTTTTTGTTGTTTTTCTAATTCGAAAGGAGGGCAAAATTATGGCGCAATTAGAAATGAAATTGCTGAAGTGTACTTGAATTAGACGAACAATACTCCAGTTCAACAATGTTGTAATACTTTAGCTCAAATGGGGATGGAAAAAAGGCACTTGAAACGATTTCAAATCGCTCTTCCTCTGCAGCATAACAGCATAGCCATGGCTCCGAAATGCATGACTGAATTAGAGACAATTCAGTGGAGAGAATCCCATCTGGACTCCATGAGAAATTGACTTCCTCTCCAATGTCGACAAAAATTCAATTAGGTAGCCTTTTTGGTCTATCGCATTTCTCGCTTTCTGCACGCATTCCTCAGCATGAATTTCATCGATTGTCGGTTATTGGATATCGAGAGGCGGGTGAAAAAAAAATCCCAATATTTCCCTTTTCATTGATATAAATTGTAACTCAATTTTTTTCACGGGGGAACGAAGAGGAATTTCTCTTCTTCAGTTACAAAATGAATGCTTAGGGATAAGTGGCAGTAAATCTTCAGCATTGAGGCAAATATTACATGATGAGACATCATCTTTAATGCACCGACAAAGTTAATTTCTCAGGAAATTCATTTTATTGCGAGATGCTTTACAATTTAAATCAAACGCCTCTTCTTCATTGCTAATCTTCATGTCCAACAGGTAATTTTTGTTCTTAAGAAATGGCTCAGAGGACATCTTCAAAGGCTTTATTGCCTGACCAAATCTATGTGCTAATTTCTCATCGTGGATCTGGTAGTCAAATGGAGATAAAATACCACTTGATGGCAATCCAGGCGGGGATGGAAGAAAGAGTATAAGAGCTTAATTCAGTGAAGTATGAAAAGCAATTTATTCAGTACACTCCTTCTATGTGACATTCGCGAGCGAGAAGGAATATATATCTCAAGTGCGTCATGAAATTCAGGAATACTTTTCCCCGAAGTACAAGAGTCGAGAGATTGGAGGTTTCATTTCCCTCCGAAAGGCATTGAGATGGGAATTAATGCTTTCAATGACTTTCCACCCACACCATTTGGCAAAACACGCCAAATTCTCTCCAGTATGCAATTGAATTTGACTCGGAGTATAATGGCAATAGTTGAAGATGGAGCAACAATATGATCTAAATTTAGTCATGAACTTTTCACCTGAAAGCTCCACAAGACAAGGAGCTTTTGATTTATTCAACATCGAGTACATGAAGAGTCATTGGAAATCAATTAGAGCAGAGATTCTCAGAGGCCTCAAAACGGATCACAAATGTCACAGATCGAAAGTCGCTCTAAAGCCACTTGACACTCTTCCCCAAACAGACGAAAGTTTTGGCAAGGGATGACACATACACACACATTCCAGGGAATGAGGGAAGGCTCATGATCATACTAATTGAGGATAATGAGGGATAAATTTTGAGGGTTCAGCAGACAAACTCCGTCTCACTCCCAAACTTTTCAGACTATCACTCTCATTATCCATCCCGCGTTGACTCATCCTGAGTCCTTTTAATGACCACAAGTCGATAGTCTCGGGATTATTCAATTAAAACTAAATTATTCACGCTTCGCAAACAATGCGTTGCACCAGAAATACAGCTTAAAATTAGTTACAAAAAGGATTATGAAAGATATCACATTATTGAGTTTAAAAGAACTCAATAAACTAACACTGAATGATCAAAGAATTGGCTACTTAAAATACACATAAGTACTCGCTGAGATTTCTTCCTTTTAACACTTTCATGAGAACAGAAATTTCTAGGAAAATCTTCACTCTCGTCATCAGTCGTTAGATACCAATTTCAATGCCTACACAATGGCAATATTAAAACAAATCTCTCCCACACACAATGCGTTCGTATCGAAATAAAAGGGCATGTTTATGCTGCTTCGAAATGTAAATGCTTCTAGTGTCTTATGGCTTAATCCTATTACGCAATTGAATGTGGAATTTATTGAAAACAACTTGCAAACGTTTGCACTACTATGGCAACAATTAATGTAACTTTGTCTTTCACTCGCAAATGTTGAACTTTCACTTGATTAATTAAAAGTTCAAAGTTAAAGATGGCCTAAAAGTAAAGCAATAGAATTGTTGAAACTTTCTAAAATCCCTGCCAGAATGTCGAGTGTGCATCTTAATAATCCACTTTGTATTTAATTAATCTACTCTTGTGGAATTTACAACGAATACTCTCTCTGTGCGAAAATGGACGGAAAATTGGCTCAAAAGCATACCAGAAATTTTTGGCTACAGTATATATAGAGAAAAAAAATCCTTAAAGCACAAATAAGAGGATAAGAAATCTCAGCTTCTACTTCATGAAATCGCAATTTGTGGCACTTTGTGATTTCTTTTATCCATTTTGCACTTGTGGGAAAAGCTCTATAACGCGATTACAATAAAGAAGTTAAAAGCCTCTTGTGAAAATTCCTCTGTAATCCTCTCTCTCTCTCTCTTTTCCCAATTTCCCCGAATAAGCTCGCATATGAAAATCCTTTGGCATAAAGTTATTGTGGTGAGAAAATCTGGAGGTTTTGTAAAAAGAATATCCGCAAAAGTCCAAAGAACTTCACTTCGTCCAACTATTGTGAAGGAGAAACACTTTGTGCAGCGATTCTTTTGTGTCAAGATTCTTGAGAAATTCAGCAGAGAAAAAAAAAGTATAATTAAACTTAATTAAATCATTCTCTTTTCAACAAATGAGTTCAGAAAGAATATTGCAGAAGAAATCTTATCAAGTTGTAATTGAAAAATTCTGAGAATCCTTTTTTTCCATCTTCAAGAGATACTTTTGGGCCCCTTTTTTCTGCCAAAGTGAAGTTTAATATTCTTTTTTTTCCAGAGAGAAATTTTCTGCACATTATTTCACCATCAAACACTGCCACAGAATTTTTGCGATCTTGGAAATTTTACAGACAAAGAAGCATTTGAGTGTGAAAATTCTCTGGAATCGCCTGTCAATCATTTCCTAATTAATTAGGGTGAAAAGTTTCCTCCGAAGAGCACCAAAGTTTTGTGAACAATCATAAAAAAGCACACAAATTTTCCACCTTATCGATATAATCACACCTCTTTTTGCGTGGTAGAAAAACTCCTTTTTCTAACTTGTTGATGAAGGAGAAAGAAACTTTCAGGAGTCTCACACTTCACTTTTAGCCACAAGTTCCAGCAATATAAAAAAAAACACCACTTCACTCCCGCAAAACCTGAGGTTGAAGCACGAAATTTGTTAAATGTATTCCAAGTTCATCTATTGTGTGACCATTAAATGGAACATCACGATGTTGAGAAGCGATTCGCACTATTAGGATTGTTACTCGAGCATTGACTGTCAATTTGATTCTCTTAGGAGTCAATTTTTTCTCCACTTGTGATGTTCTCACCATGAAATCGCGACAGAAACTGGCGGAAAGCCACAAAAATCTCACATTTGTGCGATGTTAAACCACATGTGAGCGGAGTTGGAGCAAAACTGAGATGTTAATTTGAATTTTTGAATTTCCCTCAGCAAACCCACGGAGCGCGGGAAATCGAGAGGGGCGACTTTTCCACCTCTGCGCAGTCTCACCACACTGTGTGCCGATGGAGAAGTGAAGACTCCTTCCAACTCTCTCTCACTCACATTTTTCTCCCACCAGCAGCTCTTCTCGTTTACAACCACGAAGGAGCAACTTGTTGCTCAACAGAGTGATAAGAATTACACATTTGCTAATGTAAAGCTAGAGGTGTTGTCGACAATATCACATCAAAACCATGCATCACGTGGCTTTTAACATATGTACACACTTTTTTTCCACCGGAGAAAAACCTCTCTCTCTCAATACATAAATACACTCAAATCTTGTTTTGACTTGCTCTCCGATTCACATGATTTATTCGAGTGCTCTTGTTTATTTAACTTTGCAGGCATTTTAAAACTCCACACAGGCTTTAACATCTCTCAAATGATGGCATGAGCTGGCTTAGACACAGAGTCGAATGACGAATTAATCGGTAGATGAAAAGTTCCTCGACAGAAATCAGTTAATTTCCAATCAATTACACAACAACACATTGAGAATAGTTTAACTTCTCTGGCGCTATTTATAATAATTTAACGAAATAAAATAAAATCCACGCATAACTTCTTCATTTATGACGCTATAAAATGCTACAAATTAATTTTCTCAGGGAAGACGCGCCAAAGGCTCTCCATAGGCGTCAGAATCGATGGCGATGGAGCTAAATTTCCCCAAGACATCGCATTGCTAAGTGCATAGGAATTAATGTGGTCGGTGTGTGTTGTCTTGAGAATTTATGGTGGAGGATCCTTGCAAAGGATAATTATATGATACCACATGCGGTTGCCGACAAAGCATAAATATCCGAAGGGTGTGCAGTTGTGTTGTACACTTGAGAATGGACGATCACAGCGAATTTTCATCATCTCCACTTTCTCCACGTCATAATTATCTCTCTTCTCGAAGAGACACTGTAAATATTTTCGCACACATTAATAGCACAAATTTAATTATGAAATTGAAGTTTGAGAGGGTGAAACTTCCCGCATGTCAAATTAAACTATAACACATCTTCAGATCTATGATTAAAATTGCTACATGGTGAACATTATTTGCATTTCAATGTGCAAATTTGCTCATGTAATTTGCCCCGCACGTCAGGAGAAATGAGCAAAAACATAGGCATCTCTCAAAGGCAACACCAAATCATAAATTCTCTAACAATCCGCCTCTCACTGTACAGCGAATCCTTGAAGAACAGCTTTTACGTTGAATCTCGTTCAGAAATTCACATTGTGCAGAAATGGCGGGTGGATTTATGGAAGTGAAGACGGTGTAAAAATGCTTGGGATGAGTGTGTCTCTGACCTACGAACACTATTGCTCTTCGTCTTGGCGTCTGGGGCGACATGGGAGAGAATGCGAGTAAAATAAATTGGTCACAAACTTCCCGCTCACGTTTGGCAAGTGTCTTAACCGGGCGTGTAAAGGTCCATTTGCAACGAATATAGAGGCACACGTGGACACAAGCGCAAAATAAAAGAGCAATAATAATTCACTTGCGAAGCTCGTGTCGCATTTCAAATTCTGCCCATTTATTGATTAATTAAATGTGACATTATCAGCCACAAATATGCACAGATAGATAAAATATATTGAAATATCTGTCGCTCGTGGAGAAGAGCTTCAAGGAGAGAGCTTTGTGGTTTCAATTCCAACGGAATCAACTAAAAGCGATTACAGACTTGCTGATGATCCACGAATCGGCGCGAACTCGGATCAATCCTCCGTGGATGAGCCTGTAGTGTGTAAAGATCAGATCAGCGATAATTCGTGGTTGATCTGCACCTTTACACACTCAAAATATGGATTAGTCACATTCGTTGCTGAACTGTCACCGTACACACTCAGGGATTATACTTCTTTGTCGACACTAGCGACACTGTGTTTGGTGTGTTCAGTTGATTTTTATACTTCAAAGGAGTGAAATTTTACGTTAAAATTGCGAAAATTGATGATTCGCAGAAGAATTTAATGATTTTAATAATCCAGGAAATCCTTCGCGAGAGATTCGCCATTTTGCGCCTTTTCTGGGTCGTACAATGTTTCGGCGCATTTTCGCACGAGCGCGCTGCCGTCGCGAACCCCTGAAAAATCGGCTGAACCTTCGATATATCGAGGGATTATTCGCGTTTTCTGGCTAAGCGAACTGTCAGTCGTACACACTCGCGCTCTCGCTGAACCTCCCGTGGATCATCAGCAAGTCTGTAATCGCTTTAAGACAGCAATGGCTCTATGCAAAACCTAGAATATTGTGAATTTTACACCGGAATCACAACACAAATCTCATGGGATTTATCAACAATGAACGATAAGTCGCGCAGCACATGGCAAAAACCCCCTAATTAAGAGTGTGATGAAATTTCAATTTAGTCACAAATTCTTGTGGCTTTTTGTGTTTTAATATATGAAATTCAGAATCTCAATGGAGATTAACTCTCCTCCTCCTCCCTGACATTGGGGAATCTCATGCGTATGTGATTAACCTCTTCCCTCCCTAAACTGACACTGTTTGTCTTATGCGACAGGCATTGACTTGCAAAACTTCACATTAGCACCACACACCGTGGCTCAACCCACGGCAAAAAGCTTTCCCAGATAGGGGAATAAAGATACAGAATCTTCACGCACTTGGCAAAATCTGAGCGTGTCGTGAATAAACCCCATCAAAGGAATATTTAGCAGGATTTCCTGAATGAAATTCCATACATTAATTTCCGCTCTGGTGAAAATCATAATGAGTGTTCTCTGTATGGAAGGTGTTCGTCGAAATCCAATTAAATCATGCGACATACTAAAGATAGTGTGGTTAAATTTTATAGACTGTAAGAAGACATTTGACTGCTATTTATCACGAACTTTAGCAATCACAACTATGGCTTAAATCAACCTCTAAAGTTCTATCTTTAGCATTTTTTACTGCCTCTCACGTGAGATAGTTTTATTAAACCGCCAAAGTTTGCCAATTTATTTGGAGTTCCGCGGGAAAACTTTTATAAAACGCCACTCGCGCGATAAGGGAAAAACCTCCAATTTCACTTTTGATATTTTGATGTTGCAAAAACTTTTATGGTTCAATTTTAATTCAAAATTACACACACTAAAATTCAACATAGTTTGATGATGAACATTGAAAAGGTCGAAAAAAACGAAAAATTCTCATTCATGAACAGATTTTCATGAGCATCAAATTGAATTGAAATGATTCTCATATCCGCAAGTCTATAAAGCTATTCAATAAATCATAGAGAACAATTAAACTATCATAAATAATACATTTGCCAAAAAGAAATTCCAACTGCTTGTCGTACAATTTATGAGCTGAACTCTTTTCGCCACAAAATCGTGGAACGTGGAGAGCTTTAGGGCCAAAACAAGAGAGTTTCCTGTTCTGGAAACCTTCCAATACAGTATTTAAGAGGGAAACGTGTTGTAAATTTAAAGAAGCGCACAAATTCAGCACACTATTCTTAATAAATTTCCCACACAATCCGCACTTCTGCAAGCCACTTTCTAATTACATCCCATGCCAAAAAGGACGCTTGGCAAGAGATGATAAGAAAACACAACCCGGAAAAGCACAACAGGTTGTAAATTGATGAATTGCGCGCGTTGGTGGAATTTTATCATGGATAAAATCTCAAGTTAAATCCCTTTTGAACAGCCATTCATGGAATGAATAATATGTATTTCGAGTAGAACAGGATTTAGAGCGAATGTTATTTGCATTCAGCTCACTTTCATATCATTTCGTATATGTTTTATTATTCACGAATGGGCGTATTTACTATGATAAAAGTTGAAATGCTGAGTTAAAAGCCCACATTTCGAATTCTCTCAAGTCACACTGGCAAAAATCTCACCATTTATCGTCATTTCAAACATGTTTGCCCTTATTTTTCATGTCGCTTGTGTCCTTGTTTTTCCATCTGGATGCAAAAGTGGGAAGAATTCTTTCGGGTCAAAAATCAATGGCAACAGAATTCAGTGTTAAACTGAACCTTGGCGCATTTCTTTTTACACACACACACACAAAACAATGTTATGTACTGTAGAACTTGAACTTTCAATTTCCCCTGAGAAAACTTCCCAATAATTGAGATCACGCGGTGAAATGAAACGATATTCCCCAAAGAAAATGATGACACTGAAAATAATAAATGAGCATCGCTGGCAAAAATCAATATGTAGATTGTTTTCAATTCGTGAGGAATTGAATAGTATAGAATCCAATTGTTTCACACAAATCATATGTCTCGTACGTGCCTTCGAGTGACAATCAAAAGAGGATGAAAGGGAGTAAATTGTTGATTCCTTCGCTCTCTTCCAGACTAAATAAATGCCAGCATAAGCAAACAATTCAACATATAAATTCCCTCTTTGCGACATCTTAGCACATTCAATGCGAATTCAAGATGCGATATTTTTTGCCAAGTAAAGAGAAGCGCCGATACTGACAATCTGAGGATAATTCCTTATATACACGGAGAATATGTATAGATATGGAGACACGGAGAGTTTAAAATGAGATTTGCTGAATACTAAAAAGTTTCCTCTTTCACCCATATTCCAGTATAATTCCTTCGGAAGGTCTCATCTATATGCTATCAGAGACTTTTCATTTTGGATAGAGAGTAAAAGGTTTTCCACTACGATAGACAGGATTTTCAGAAAGTTACACTTTGTACTCTCGCTTCAAATTCTACATACACACATTTCGCATAGAGAGCAAAGAGATTTGCTCGAAAAGTACAGCAGCATTTCCTGAATGCTTTCACGACAACTTTACCACACATTCTGGGCTTTGGAAAATCAAACACTGTCACATTATGACGTGAAAATGGTCTCTCAAATGTCTTAGAGAATTAAATTAAAGGTGACACAATTAAATTAAATGCCTTTGAATGTCCCAAGGAGGAGATATTATACTATTTAGGTATCTTTTACCGACCATAACCTCAAAATATAACTAAGAAATCATCAAAAACTCCATTTCGAAGCTTCTAGATCACAAAATCATCTCTAATCATTTGCCAATGAACTCAAAACTGCTGATTCAGAGTCAAAATTGCCCAAAAAGTATTCTTTTTTGAGGTTATGTTCGACATGAATACAATTTCCAGTGTTTCTTGACATCAAATGTTCAGAAAAACCATGTTTATTCTAAGCAAATGCTTAATTCTGCCAATGATTAGCAATCTCTGCAACTTGAGCATAATAATTGATGTGCTAGGATGCAAATTATTCACTAAAATTGTCTTTCATTCGATACATAACCTAAAAAAACTTTTATGATTGATTCTACGTAAAAAATCCAAAGGAAATCTAAAGAATTTGGATAATTTGTCAGTGAAATAAGATCTCAAGAAAGGAGAATTGTAAGTTTCTGAATACTTCCACTTCTTAAGTACTTCTGCTGAACTGTACACCACTTCTGACTGTATTATCTCCCCCTTTGAATGTCCTTTTGGAATTTCCATTACAGCGAATCGTGAGATATTATAAGAACAATTCACACCATTGAAATCTGACGATGAAGTTATTTTCATCCCTTCCGTACCCTTGACGTCATTTATATTCCATCTTAGAGACACATTTTTGTGTTCCGCATTTCTTTAGCCACTATTTTTCCACAGCAAAACAGACGACGAACAATGCGAAATGTTCTTTTTTTCTGGTAGGGAGAATCCCTATCAGCTGTTGCCAAGATCCTTTTACCCTCCACTTCCGTCTAAAATTTCCTTTCCTAATTAATTCAAGAATCTTTCCGCATAGCGAGAAACTTGAATGGGTCGAAAGAGACGCTCTTTAGAGTGAAAAACGAACCCTTATACCTCAAAGGATATTAACGTCAACTTATTCTTCAAGATTTCACAATTACATTATAATGGATATCCAAGAGATGTCCTTATTCAGGCTAAGGCAAAAGTAATATGATAGCAGAAAACAATCAATATATTTGCAAATTAACAAGATGTGTATATTTTCATCTTGAGTTGACAGGAGAAAAATATATTCAACAACATGAAAGTCAATAAAATATCAAAGAATATTGACTATAGCATGTGTTTTTTCCCTGTGAAATTGATGTTTTTATATTTAACACCCCGAATTTTCTCCCCTCCCCCTGAACATTGATCCTGCCTGCCACGCGAACCCCCAGCAATCCTTGTCAACCGGCAATGGAATCCGTGTCGAAAAAAGAGTGGCACATGTGTTAAATTGAGAGAGAGAAACACTCAAAGCATTACATATTCGCCTGTCAGAAGCGAAGAAATTCCACAGAAGAACTTCGAAAAAGGAATATATTTTATTCATTGAGGACAAATTTATCTTCACGCGTCTTTTTATTAAATTTCATCGGAATTTCGTTGGGCTGAAATGTTCTCGTGCAAAAATAGTACCAAGAAAAAGAGCCGCCGGTAATAAATAAGTAGGATGATAGCGAGATTAATGATGTGAAGTCATATCAGATGAAATTTAACTCACCGCAAGAGACACGCTGGAGAAATTTAATTTAAACGCCTAAAAAAATAACCTCAGTGAATTTTCAGGGGCACAAAATGACAGGTACTTTGTATTAAATACACCCTTTATTTTTCAATTCTTTTCATCTTATTACTTCGTGTCTTTATTTACAGTACATTGCGAAAGTGTCCATCTCTAAAAAAAACTCTCAGTTTCTTAATGGAAATTGCATCGAAATTAGGAAGAATATCAAAAATAAAACTTTTGGAGCTCTCAACGTCTCTTGTGTAGAAATGTGCTCCAAAGATTCTACTGAAAGTGTTGGGAATTCAAATGAAATGCACCCTAAAATGCAGTCAAAATACCTGAAAAGTGTTGATATAATAAACTCTTAACCCTTCTGAACAGTGTGAAATTCCAATGAAATTGAGACGAATGATTTTAAAGGTATTGTTGGTAAGTGAGCGAGTGGATTGAAGAGAGTGGCAGAGGAAGATGAATGCAATTTACCTTGACGGTGACAGCAGGAATTTGTCTTTCTCCCATTATGCCTCAATTATAAATTAACTGCGTTGCCGAGGCGTTTGTGCTGAAGAGGTGTGAGTGGTGTCACATTTCGGACAGCTTCCAAGTTCGCAGGATTGGCGTAAATGTCCGCCGTGAGCTCCTCAAGTGAGATTTCCTTGTCAGCCTTCGCCTTCTTGCCAGCCTCATCGACGCCACTGCGTATCTTCGCCTCAATCCCCTTCAATTCATCCAAGTCAATGAGCTCCGCATTCAGAATCTTCTCCCTGAACGACGTGATGGGATCACGTGTCTGTCGCACCTCCTGGATTTCATCGCGCGAGCGATAGCTCGTGCCTGGATCGGACATTGAGTGGCCAGAGTAGCGATACGTGGCGGTCTCGAGGACCATGGGACCCTTGCCAGACTCGCAGTGCTCAATGGCAAAACGTGATGCCTCCCTAACAGCCAGCACGTCCATTCCGTCAACCCAAATCCCGGGCACAAAGTCACCGCGCGTGTAGTAATTAGTATTCGCCGAAGCTCTCTCCACACTCGTTCCCATTCCATATCCTGTCGCGCGAAGAGAAGAGATACGCTAATTAGCAATATTACTCACTCAACTTACCACAAGCATTTTAAACAAATGAACCACTGCGAAAAGCTCAAGATAGTTTGAAAATTGTTTACTCGCTCTCAATTATGGCAAAACTGTCCCCGAGGACAACACAATAACCAACAACCGAATCAATTAAATCAACAAGATATGGTGTATTAGAGTGGAGAGACTTCTGAAATGTTATCAGCATTTGGTTTAGCAATTAAGTTGAAAAGTTTTCCCTGTGCATTTGCCACTTTCACAATGATGATTCTAACAAGACCATTAGCTACTCACCATTATTCTCGCAGACATAAATCACAGGAACTTTCCAGAGCTTCGACATGTTGTACACCTCAAAGACCTGCCCCTGATTGGCCGCTCCGTCGCCGTACAAGGCGAAACAGGTGCCTTTTCCCTTCAGATACTGACTGGCCAAGGCAATTCCCGCCCCCAAAGGGACTTGAGCTCCCACAATTCCGTTGCCACCGTAGAAATTCCTGGCGTACATGTGCATGGAGCCTCCCTTTCCCCTCGAGCAGCCACTCTCGCGACCAGTCAACTCGGCCAGGACGCCCAGCTCGTTGACTCCCATCACGTGAGTCCAGCCGTGACAGCGATAGGCAGTGATTACGGAGTCTTCCGGACGCATGGCGGCGTGCATGCCCACGGCACACGCCTCCTGGCCGGAGTAGAGATGGCAGAAGCCTCTGATGATCTTCTCCTTGTAGAAATTCCCCGCCAGCGTCTCCAGGCGTCGCAGAGTGTACATTTTGCTGTAGTAATCGACGGCATCCTCCTTCGTGACAGTCACGGTGGTCTTTGGGCCCTCCTCCAAGTTGTGCAGCTTGAATTCCTTCACCTCAAACGTCGCCTCGGTGGACAGGGAAGCTTTTGGCAGTGCCGGAGAGTTGAATTTCTGCAAAAATAATCACCCAATTAACACTGTCCGGAAAGAACAAGCCAAGGAACAAGCAATCAAGAGCGTTCGTAACGAATATCTTGAGGATGTTCTTAATGGAACTGCCCGCAGAAGTCATTGCCAATACTTTGCAGAGGTCAATAGAATCAATAGATGTGATATGGAGGATGTATGGGAGCGATAATTGGGATTTTTTCCTCGCAAATCTCCACCACAAACACTGCTTGTTATGCAATATTGTCACGCAAAGTGACGGACTGCGTAAGCACACAGAAAAAATCAATAAATCCTCACCAGAATCTTGAGGAGGCATCGCGAATTGACAGTTCTAGCGCAATTTGTGAACATGGTGGGTTACTCGTTGGCCAATAGCACTAAATTTCGTGGGAAAATCGAGGCAAAACGCACCGGAGGAAATTCACAAGCCACAAACACTGTCCGACTTTGACATTGAATGAATTTCGCATGGCGAACGCGAGCGACCTCTCTCGGCGTTTTCGCCTCTTTCCCGCTAATGCAGTGGAGACGCCTGGTCAAGAGCATGCAGGCTAATTAAAAATCTCACTTCTCGGGGGTAAAAAAACAGCTCTATTTACGAGCTTTACGAGACTTTGGAGTTACTCTTGCTCACTAAATCCTCCGCAGTTGCAACTGCTGCTCTATACAAATAAATTAGATCGTTCAGTGTGCTTTTTTCCTCACGGACAAATGGGAAAAGAGTGTCTCTGATAAAAAAATGTAGTAAAGCTTAATATTTGCCAATAAAACCGCCCACACAAATACAAATACAAATAGAGAAGCAAAAAGAGCAACAAATATCCTTATTACTTCATTTTGCAGCAATGTCTTGCAGGGATTTTATGTTCATCATTCGTTGTTTGTTCATTTTGAAGAGGGCGTAGAAAAAGGAAATAAACTTTATGTATAGATTTCTTTGGGGTCAAGAGAAAATTTAGCATTCATCCTGAAGATTTTTTGCAGGAATTCCTATGAATTGGTGAATCAAGCACATGTTTGCGTTGATAATTCAATTTTGTCTTAATTATATCTTATCAAATTTTCCACAATTTACTCTTCTTCCGCAAAGACTTTGGCAGATTTCCTCCACCTTTGATAAAGTTTCGCTCATACACGAAACGATACACCACATGTCTAATGAAACTTCAATTAATCGGCAGTATTACGGTGGTAGCGAGCGACTAAATTATTTTCATCTCTCTGTTGCTAATGCGGAAAGTTGCTCATCGAGAACACGCCCTTTGTGGGTCTCTCGCCGGCGCTCATTCACCATTTTGTGTGCTTCATTTGGACTTTTCCACCCTCCCATTGAGACTTGAGGCAGAATTGACGTGCCTTCCCTGGGAGAACACAGGAAGAGAGGCGAAATTAATGATTTGTTAAATTTCATTACTGTCGAAAAGTATGTCAAGCATTGAGATGTTTTTGCCCAGGAACAAAACATCTCAGCAAAGTCCCCAAAATGTGCCTTCAACATGTGATTTTTCCTATTGTCGACTCCTCTGTCGAATATGATAAATTACCCTAATTTGGGGAAAGGTGAAAAATGTCGCAATTCACATCATTTCACCCTCCCTCGTCGTTCGCTTGTGTATGTGAATTCTGATGAGACACTCTTTCCGGGAATTCTCTCATCCTTTGGGAGTTAAGGCGCCAAGGATCGAAGTCAATGAGTGTCAAGCGTCTTTACACACAGGCCAACTAACCCCGGAAGAAGTGGCAGAACATCGCCTTAATTAGTTTTTGCGATGTACATGAGAGGAAAATTTATGTAAATATCCAATTTTCACGGTGTGGCGAATTTTCGCGCAATTTCACTCAAAACTATATGGAGTGTGTGAGAGAGAGAGAGAGAAGAAGTGCGAATGACGTGTGTCTTGTGGAATACAGACATTCCATAATTCTGCAATTAAACAGCCAAGAGTGAATTCAAATATAGCCATTTAAATATATAATTGAACAAATGCCTTTTCTTCGGAAATCATTATGCTGGAATTAAGTTGAAATTTAGCAAAAAGATCTTACTGTGTGGTCACATCTTAAGGATACCCAGATAAGTATGAGGGTTGAAAAGCTTTTTCCTCATTTCTTCGGATTAAAGAATGCCTTTACATTTTAATTCGAAAGGGTTTCTCCGAGAGAGAACAACGGAAAAATCGAGGGAAAATAAATAAATAGAAAGTCTTTGAAGGGATTCACTTTGTTCTTTGTCTTGACTTCATCGACACAGAGATGAGATTCACGACATATCTTCCGTCTTACGTCAATTTACTTATCGTTAATGGCGTGTGGATAAAAATAGCGAGTCACCATCAGTGTAATCTACTTAAAAAGGAGAAAAATAGGAGAAATATTATAGTTTTGTATGCTGAGATAATCTTAAAAACAATCCATGGAGAATATTTGTATATTTGAAAGAACTTTTCTTCACAATTCTCCTCTATTCGTCCAATCTAACAAATCAAATTGTAGGTCATGATTCGATGTAGACAAAGACTAAACAAATTACAATGTGAGAGTAAATCAATAGAAGTTCAGTTGGATCCGTTGTTAATTGAATTTATTTCCCGTAAGAGGAGCTCCACGAGGAAACTGGAAGCCTCTCGGCAAATTCTTCTGTGAGAAAGAAAGACTTTGAGTGAAAATATCCACACGATGAATATCGAACAAAATTGGCACACATTAGAAGAATTGATTCACACCACTCGGCACACAAAAAAGCCCCTATTTTTAGAACCCCTTCTGAGTATCTCCACATATAACACTTCTCTTCATTGTCAACCAAACCCAGTCGCGGTGGCGATGGAAGGTGTTGAAGGGTTTTTAAATAAAGCGAGGTAAAAAGATTGAAGAACTTGTGATATTGGACGTTAATAATGGCGAGAACTTTTATTGTTTAACACCCTTTCTTGTCATGGATTAAATGCAAATGAACTTCCTCAGTCTCTTTCACTGCAACAATGCTCTTTTCAACCTGTCTCGCACCTGCTGCGACAACCCTAGTAATTAACTTTTTATGCCATTGACTCCAAAATCACCCCCAATTAATGATGTGTGAATTATTCTGAGAGAAAGTCGTCTATTGTTTAATTGTGTGTGATGATTGAAAATTAAAGATTTCGTGTCATGAAAGTGGGTGAATTAATAAATATTCTGGCAAAAGAATACATTTTTACCATAAATGTCTCGACGCGTATTTTTTCCATCAACATTCATTCAATGAAACAGCAGGAAGACTTTTCGGCAAGAACGCCAGAAAGGCACTAAATGTACAAACTTCTTCACTATCTCTCTGTGGTTCATCTCCACACATTCAGTCAAAGAAGGGGACAATCTTGAGTCTCTTCGGCGCAGACTCACCGCGAAAGCATTTTCTCCTCCAGCATGAGGAGAAAGCTCTTATCACTTGAGGGTGAAAGCCGTAACCAAGTTATCTGTGGTCAGTGGATGGGACAAATGTGATAAATATAATAAAAGTTGAGATGTCCTCACGGTATCTCAATAAACTAAAAACTTTTCCTCAACCACTTTGGGAGATGAACGAAAACTTGTGTGGATGTTGACCTTAAGCTCCCCCTCAGTGTCTGTACTTTCTCAAGTATTTTAATTCCTTCTCTCGCAACTTTCACACAATCATGCTAATCTTGGGAGAGCTTCAAGTGAGACACTTTTTGTCAACGTCATAAAAGTATGAGAAAAATATGATAATAGAACGATGTGCGGTAGAAAATTTGCAATTACAATTTTTCCTTCTAATCCACATTGGATTTTTTTCCCACTCTTTGTTACAAATGCGAAATGATTTTTCTATATAAGAATCAGAAGAATCTCTCCACTTTGCCTCTTTTCCCTATTAATTTAACCATTTTGTCCTTGAATTTGTCTCAATGGCGGAGAATTCTTGTGATTGCGGTCATTCCACTCCTTCGCATGCGACAAGGGTGGATTAAAAATCCACATAATTAAGAAATGAGGAACGAATGGAGAAAATTATAAAATAAAATCTTCATTTTTCTCCTGTTCTCTCATCTTCTCACAATATAATAAGAGGGAAAACTTAATTAGCACAGAACTTTAAATTGAAAGCTTCCGAGTTAAAAACTTTCCACCAGGAACAATTAAATTCTGCAAAAGCAACAAATAATTCTTTCTTCGAAATTCATTTATCGTTCTATAAACATTTTAATTGTTTTATTGATTCTACACACTCTCGATAAAGTTCACTCATCAATCGTCACTGCATTGAAGAAGCTCTTCAACACGCAATATATATAATTTCATGGAATTAAACCCATAAAACTGCGCAAAATGAACAAGCAAAGTTTGACTCGAGACTTTTCACTTGAATAGATTTAATTATACCTCCTCGACTGTGTAAAATTAATTTTATATTATCATCCATTGTTTTTCACCCTCGAAATTTCACCTCTCAATCATAAATAAAAAATATACGTACAAATATATATATATTCTGGTAACTTTGGAGTGCAAAAGCGATTATAAAGTGAAATTTCAAATTTCTCCCTCAAGTATTTCTTATCTATAAATAGCTGCCAAAAATCTCACACAGATTTAATAATAATAATTTCACGCAATCGGATGGGGATGTTTTTGCTCTCTCTCTCTCCCTTCGACGTCTTGCGATACGAATTCCACGGATTCCGTCTCTTTAAGAAGTCAAGAAGTGACGAGAGACCGTGAAAACCATGGTGGAAAACCAAAGTGGAAAGTTGTTAAAAATAATATTAATTAGCATAAAATGATTCTAATCTCCAAAGCGACGAATTATTTTCATTTTGTCAGCTTTCTCTGTCAAGTTATTGAATTCTGGAAATATGCTGCCAAATAGGATATATCATTCGATGGGAATTGAAATGAATATTTTACGGAATTTCTTATCAGGATGTCTGGTGGAATTCCCAGAATTCTCTCACCACGTGTCAACAGCAACACCTTCCTTTTCATTTCTCCCGGTGATGATGTGATTCCTTGTCAGCTATATTGGAAAATATGTGAAATATCATATAAGATTTTATTTGCAGTATCAATGCGTATTTATGTCCAACAGCGTTTCGCTTCCATAATATTTCCATTTCACTTATTTTGCGTCGGAAAATCATATTTTGCCACATTCATATTCAAGTTCGTGAATTTTCCCAGCCACTCATGTGCAATTAATTGAGAATTTTATATGAAAATTAATGTGAAAGTAAACCTTATCTCACTTCAAAGGTGTGAAATTGGGCGCTTGTGGAACATCAAAGTTTTCTGACAATCCTTTTAGAGTCTTTAGTATGTTAATTCAACGTCAAAATTGCATTGTTTCAACCCTTTTTGCACGCAAACAAAGCCAATGTAGCAAAAATTCTTCTCATTCTTCTCATCTTTTCGCGATTTTCATGGACAATTGACCTAAATTCGGCCACATTTTGCCACCAGAAAGTGAGGAAAATTATATAAAACAGAAAAGGAAGAATTAAATTGAATTTAACGCGTCTCATGGCACAAAAAGTGTCCTTTTCTAGAATGTTGTATTGATGAGAAAATTTCATGTCATGGAGAAGCTTTTCACTGAGCTTTTTGCCACAATATGTGTATGAAACATCACTTAAAGTTCCTATTAATAGTAAGAAAAGAGTACCTAATTTCTCTGGCAAGAAAATGTATTTTCTCTAGAATATATGGTGAGTGAATTATGTTGATTCTCTTGGCTATTCTCACATTTCCACAAGATGATTCTCCGAATAATTCAATTAATTGTAATTGCAAATGAAAAAATATCATGCCAGACGAAAGTTTATCTCATGAAAATGCCACAGTGAAAGAAACTTTCACATTTCGTGGATAACTTTTCTACGCCACAGCGAAAATTCCTCACACATGCCGCAAGAAAAAAAATGTAAGGATTATTCATGTCCATCAGCTCAGGAGATGTGGCAAAGGGATTATATCACTTTCTTCACGATGTTAAGCTGTAAGAAGAAATGCCTCGTGTTACTTAACAGGCACTCCAGTCCAGACGACATTCAATTTGCATATTGTAATCCTGGCAAATCTCCCATGAATTTGCCCAGAGAGAGAAAGTTGTGCGGGGCCATCAAAGGATGTTCCACATCGAATATCCCCCAAGTTCGAGGAGAATCAAATTTTAAGGACAAACACATGCACGAGCGACGATATTGAATGGTCAATCAAAGTTCTACTCCAGCTGATGTGAAAATTAATTACAAGTCCATCCTTGTGTCCTTGTGACAATGATGATGAGTTCATTGTTGCTGCCTTGGTTCAATGTTTGCCATTGAAACCCATCTAATTGCAATATTCAAAGAGAAACACACGCCATATATTTAATGCTTCTGTTGAGATATTATAAGACAAAGTTTCCATCCTACCAAATCCCATGGAAACAACTACAAAAAAACTTTCAATCTCCCCCAACATAGATTTCCTCCACCAAAATTCAAGAAGCTTTTCTGACTTACAACCAGAGCAGCAAAACATCAAAATAAAAATCTCCATCTCAACATTGCTAAGCTTTTTCTTTGCTGGAAAATATGGAGCAAAGTGTTCACCTTCTCACGAGATTGGAGGGAATTTGTTATAAAAAGGATTTTGCGGAGCAACAATCCTGAAAATTTGCTCCAGGATTATATTCCACACCCCGCGCAGAAAGGACCCTTCAAAACATCATCACGTCCCATCATTGATGGAGTTTTCCAATTTTCCCGGGATATTTTCATCTGATGCGATGTCATGAATAGAAAATTGAGCATGATGGTGAGATAAAACAAAGGAGATGAGTGTCATTCCTCCTGACAACAAGCTTCGCTTCCTCCTGACACAATTAAGCAGTTCAATAATCCCTCTGGGGGATGTTGCTCCCCCCCAAAAGACATCGCTTGTCAAACGGTAACTAAGTGGCGAATGTCGAAGTCACAATTGTGGTGGGGAAATTCTGAAGAAAAATGAGAATATTTTCTCGGTCAAACACCCTAATTCTCTATTCTAGGAAAAACTATGCGCAAGAGAGAGAGTGAGAAAGATAAATGTTTTGTGCACATGCTTAAGATTGAGTGGCGAATGATGGTTTCTTATGGCGCATTATTTGCTTGCTTATTTGCTGACAAATTACATTTCAGCATAGAAATCAAGAGAAATAAACACATTGTGAAATTGCTTTCAGCTCTCTTTATCGTTTCATTGTCATTATCTGGAAATTCAAACTATATTAAATTCAATCAGTGACTTTCTTGGCGTAAGAAAAGATTTGAATTATTCTTCCAGTTCATTTATTACAGTTTCAAATAAATACATATCACGCTAAAGTCTACAATTCAAAAGTTACACATCTGCGATGGTTTTAATCCAATCGCGGACGGTGGAAACCTTTGCGTAGACTCCAGGGATACCTGGAAGAGCACATCCTTCACCGAAAGACACCACACCAACCTGAACGCCATCATCCTTCACAATTGGGCCACCAGAATCGCCTGCACACAGAGAAGAGCACAATTAGTAATACATCTTCACACTCAACTATGCAATAGCTTGCCTTGGCAGGAGTCCTTGCCACCCTGGCGGAAGCCAGCGCAGAACATTCTGTCGGTGATGTCGGATGTGGCGTACCGGAATCTGCATTCGAAATCAGCCACTGCCGGCACAGTCACAGCGCGAACGTGATAATTGGACTCCGCATAGTTCTTCGTGCTGCCCCAGCCGGAAGTCTTCAGCATGGAATCGACCTCAATTGGCTCACCAGCCGCAGGAAGTTTCACAGGACGACGAGTGTCGTCAAAGACAATCGGATCCTTCAGCTCCAAAATGCAGTAATCATAGTCCAGCGATTCTCCATCGTAAGATTCATGACGATAGATTTCCTTGATGGCATGAACTTGACCCTCCACAGAACTGTGATTTGATCCAGATCGAATGGTGAAGGCGCTTTTCAGGGATTCAAAGCTGACATCGAGGCTGAAAGAAGAGTTTGTTAGTAACTCACTTTGCAGAATTGCCATCAGGAGTCTTACTCCGTGCAGTGAGCTGCCGTGAGGATGAAGTTCTCGTTGAGAATGGATCCGCCACAGAGATGGAAACCGTAGTAGTTGAGGGACACTTGGTAGGGAATCTCCTCGATGTTAACTGGCTGTCCGCCCACAATCCTATTCGAATTCGCCCTAAAGCCGCGTCCGTGTCCTCGTGGGAGGAGACCAGCGCTGGCGCTGCCGAAGCAGAAGAGGAGTCCGAGGAAGATTGCGTTCTTCAACATTGTGCCAGTCAACATCTTCGGATGTCTTCACTGAATGAATGTGCCAATTGAAGGCGACGATTCACTTTATATACTCACAATTTCAAGAGGATTGCCGAGGAAAATTGACGTAAAACTCATTGGCATTTCCAACAATCTCTTAAACTCACTAGATAACAAGAAGATAAGCGTGATAAGATCAATCCACGCGCATCGAAAGCAATGCATTTCATCGAAATTGCGCATCATTCTTGAAATTCAATAATTTTGTCGCACTCAAGAATTAATCAGGTGGAATTTTCCTCATTTTCCAGTTACTTCTGGAATAATTTCACTCGCGCGCTCTCACTTATTGATGTTTACCAATATTTTGCGTATGATTATTGAGTGGTAAAGAATTGTAAATTAATCTCTACACGTGTGTAAAGTGAAATAATGTTGCATCACGTTGAGTCAATTGCTCTAGAACTCCTTAAGAAACTCTTGAGTAGTTTTCTAATTCGTTGTGGACAAAATTTCCATAATAAAATAATCAATAAATTAATGAATAACATCAAAACTCTGTGGATTTTTTTCCACGCTGTTCCACTTTCAGTGTGAAATTGTGTAACTTTGTGTCTGTTAAGATTTAACACTTGGCCATATTGCTCTAATCTCTTCATTGGCAAAACATAAACAAGCCGAGCAAGAGGAAAATGAAGTGAAAACAATAAAACATTGTAAGATTGTAAGCTGCTGGAAGTCATGATGTCATTGATCGGCCAGAAAACGCTTTCGCACAGTAAAAAACCATCAATCGTGACTTCTATGGCGTCTTTGGGAGTCTCATTAATACTTCTTCATCATCATTTAATTGTCGTCGCGGGAAATGGAGAGGAATTTGCAAATTTTACAACATTTCGGCATGTAAGTTTTGCGCTGGAGAAGTAAAAGTTCAGCAGCCGTGGCGATCTGACTCCAAAGTCTGACTCACTCTTGAGTCCATTGCGTCCAAGATTGCGTCCATTGTTCGTTGAAACCAGCGAAAATTATGTCTTAGTGATCGTAAGTTGAAAAAAATCGATAAGATATAAGTTATTATTAGAATATCTGCAGCATTCCTGGGACAGAGAAAAAGCCATTGAGTGGAACCTTAAATGGGAAATGTGAGCAGATTGCATTGAGAATCATCGCAAATTGCTGCAGATCACTGATCAGCCGTGATCACCTTCCCCAGGTGCTCAACAGCACACCTGAATGTGACACCGTGACGATGGAACATTTTGCCGGCTGATATTTTTTCGGGCATCGCAATTCAAAGCACTGCAATTATCGCGCAGACACGCGACATGCGCAGCGTATCAGGAAATTGCCGATCAAATTCCATCTTTTTGGCGGGTGAAGAGAAATCATTATAAAGCATGATGAAGACGAAGAAGTCTGTCTGTGGTCACTTGGACAGCCTGAAGAAGACTAAAATGCCAGCCCTCGGGAGATTGTCTCTCTCTCTAGTTTGAATTCAGAAGGTGAACTTTGGGCATGGTTTCTTATCACGAATTTTGTCTTTGTTTATCGAACTCACACTGCGTTGAAGTGAATCTCCACAAGGTGCTTCGGAAAGTCGAGAAATGTCGGGAAAAGCAGTAAAATGAATTCTGAGAGTGTCTTTTCCCCCCACAAAACACGCAAAACACACTCCAGAGCGCCGAGATAAGCAAGAAAACTCACACATTAATCACTCGCGCTGTATTCACCGCGACGGCGAGAAATTCCCGGGAATTGTTGATCGGCGAAGCCAATTGAGCCACGCTGAGTCATCCTGTAGCCGCGACTCGACACTCACTATCGCAACAGCGGCACACAATCCGTGAGGTGAGCAACAATCCCAGCAGTTTGTCACTGGAAGCCTTCGCGATCGTCTCTGCTCCGCTGCTCAGCACATCTTCGGAAAAGCATATCCACTGGTGCATTTCCCTCCCCCATTGTTTATGGTGTTTTGTGTGCATTTTCCTGGGCAATGTGAGCGAAATCTCCTTGGCGGAAAACACTCGCGCGCGTGCTGATCGTGAGGTGTGAAGCTGAGGAAAGCATGAGAAAATTGTGACATGAATTTTTGTGCGTTGCGCGATAACGAAATAGAATATTCTTCACCTTAAAACATTTTTTTTTCTCTTCTTCTTCTCTCCACCTTGATACCGTGAAAAGACTGTGTTTTTTTCGTGATTTATTGTAGCCAGTGCGCTACACACACTCTTGGACAAATAGCACAACCAAAAATAGACCAATTTATCTGTCCTCTCAACATTCGTCATACAAGGAATTCACACACACACACACTCTGATCTCTCCGCCCAGAAGGACAACGCGGAAACAATGAGGATTTTTCTGCGAATTGCTGTAAGTGCTGAATTTGAAGCTTTCTTTTCATCATCATCACATTAATAAAACACATTTCTGGCCTTCCTCATGCGCGCTCTCTCGTCTTTTCCTCTCTTCGCAAAATTCTATTGACAAATTGATAACGATAAAACGATAAGCTCCTCTGAGCGCGATACAAAACTCCCCATCGAGCAAAAATTCCCTCAACCAACTCACAAATGCTTCACCGATGTAAACATTTTGCATCTCTCCTGCATGTACCATTTGATGGATATAATTGCGATATAATGCAAAACTACTGGGGCAATTAAAGTGTGTATTTTCTCACGAGAATTCATTCTCTTTTATCACCCCACAAAGTTTCCCTCAAAACAACAACAATTTTGCATCCGAAGCCAATAAAGTAGCAAAAAAAACTTCACTAAATGCTATCATTTTCGTCATTTTCGTGCCTGAGATTAAAGAAAAAAACATCTGTGAAGAGAATTGGATGGAAAAGAGTGCAAAAAAGGGCGAAATGCGGTTGAAAAAAGAACTGGAGATGCCGGGGATTGAACCCGGGTCCTCTCACATGCGAAGCGAGCGCTCTGCCCCTGAGCTACATCCCCACATACATATTCCCTGTCGCGCAGTCGTTGTCATATTCTCGCAGACGAATCGTCTTATCGCACCGCTGAAAACACTTCTAATCAGTAATATGATATCGCCGGACATGATTTTTCACACCAAAATCACTTCTTAACCGATCATTTGACACTTTGACGCGAGAAAATCAACTCCCGGCCATATTTCTTGGCCAAAAACACACTCTTAATCATCTCACGAAGTCACAATCATCAGCGCCAATGTGATTAGAAGTGGGAACTATTTCAAAAATAAGGGGAAAATGCGTGAAAATAACCGTCACTCAACATCTCTCTGCAGATTTTCGCACTTTTCTCCGCCTTCTTCACCCATGGAGCCGCGATGGAGGCTGACGATGCACCCTTTGAGCCCGGCAAGGAGATCTGCTCGCGATGTCACTGCGCTCTGCATGAATCACAGCCCACTTCCAGTCACTACCTCATCGATTGCTCAGCCAAGAGCATGCACAACGTTCCTACGGAGTGGCCAGAAATTGAGGGCTCTTCCGGTGAGTAATTCACAAGCTCAGACGCTTGAGAAACACTTCTAACTTCTCTCACCTCTCTTGCACTTGCAGACGTAATTGTCGTGGCGTCCTTTTCGGGAAATGAGATGAAAACTCTCCACCGTCTTCCTCAGTCTGATCACTTCATGTACTTCAGCTGTCGCCACTGTGAGCTGCGCGTCATTGAGGTGGACGCATTTATCGATGTTCCAAGGATTCTGAGACTAGATCTCAGTTGGAATCAACTCTCGGGCGAAACTCTGCGCTCTGACACATTCCGCGGCCGCTTCAGCACCCAAAGATACGAGCCAATCGATCTGGAGGAGCTGAATTTGAGCCACAACAAGATTCGCAGCCTGGAGAGGAAGATCTTTGAGCATCTGCCGAGACTGAAGACTCTCTCGCTCGCTTATAATCCCATGGTTGAATTTGACCCGATGACTCTTGCAGCTCTGTGTTCACTGCCCAAGATTGAGGTGAGAAAAGACGCTGTTCTTGTACTTTTGCATCGGAATTACATTCATTTTTTCCCATACAGCATCTGGACTTCTCTTACATGGGTCTCTCTGCCATTCCCGATGATATTTTCCGGGGAAAACCCAAACTCCGCGAACTCCTGCTGCAGGGCAACAACTTCCACGCTGTTCCCGAGAGTCTGGCGCTCCTCGGCAAGTCCCTGAAGTCACTCTACATCGGTGTGAATCCCGTGGAAGAGCTGACGGAGCAGAGTTTCATGGGACTTACCAATTTGGTGCATCTCAACATCAGTTTCATGCCGAATCTGCTTGAGATTCGCGAGCACACATTCTCTCAGCTCACGAATCTGGAGATGCTCATGTGCAGCGACAATCCACAATTGGCACAATTCGACATGGAGAGTCTGCGATCGCTGAAATCCCTGCGGGAACTTCATCTCTCGAATTGCTCACTGAAGACACTCAACATCGAACTCAAGTCGCTGGATGAGAAAAATGACTTTCCCAAGCTGAGACTCCTGAAGCTGGAGCACAATCGCTGGCTGTGCGACTGTCGGCTGCTGTCCACGCTGCTGGAGTTGGAGCACCACGGCCGGAAGGGATTCTACAGCGATGACAATGCAAAGTGTGACTTGCCGTACGAATTGTCCGGCGTTCTGCTGTCTGACCTCTTCAAGCAACCTCTGTGCTCGATGGACGGCATCAAGAGGACGCCCAGGATTCCCATCTACGAGCCAGCGCCGTTCCTGCGGCCCAAATCCATCCTCCTGTCCATCTTCTCGGTCATCGCCGTCGTCACGATCGGCCTGGCGGTCGGCTGTGGCATTGTGTACATCAAGAAGAAGCTCAAGCAGAGCGATTTCGGCTTCACCACGCCTGTTCGCTACACAACAGTGCGCGAGAGCTTCAGCACCACCACCACCGTGGCCTAGAGAGAGAGAGAGAGATCCCTAAAATTTAGGTGAAAGAGAAGCAATAATTAAGGCTCAAAATTAGATTCTTTCCTTCTTTTGCTGATATGCAAACATATAAAGAGCTAGTCAAGAGGAATTTTTACAAATGTACTGCTTAGATGATAATTTGTAATTTACCATAATTTACATTGAAATTATGCTAAAAAGAAAGATTAATTGTGTAAGGAGATTTTACCAAAAGAAACAACACTACGAATTTGATGGGAAACTGTTTTCAAATACGTTACATTTCTCCTCTTCTATTCAAAAACTGTTCCACTTTCTTCTCCACTCCACGGAATTTCCCCTCCGAAAGCTGACGAAACTTGTACTAATAATTGTGACATTCGCTCCCGGTGTGATTTTTGGACTTCTTTTCTGCGGTGTTTTTCTGGCAAAATCCCACGGAAAAATGGACACAACTAGTCTAACATCTGCACAGAAGGATGAACTGATGGATCAGGTGAAGCAGCAAGTTGCTGTTGCACAGGCACAGGAATTATTAGGCGTAAGAAAACATCATTCATCGTCCCAACATGACAACATAACCTAATTTTTCTGTCTTCTCATTCCCAGAAAATGACTGAAAAGTGCTTTAGGAAGTGCATTAATAAGCCAGGAACATCTCTGGATTCCTCAGAACAGGTAAGAATCTCCTCAGACTTTGGAAAATCGTCTCACCGCTCTTTCATTCCTCACAGAAATGCATTGCAATGTGCATGGATCGCTATATGGACTCTTGGAACCTCATATCGCGCGCCTATTCCGCGAGACTTCAGCGGGAGCGAAGTAATATGTAAAGAAAAATAAGTAGAGTAGACGGGAATACCTCCAAAAACTAGGTAGTTTGGTTCATTATTTTGTAAAAGTTTCTGTACTTTTTAGTCATTACAATTCGTTGCATAATGATAAAAACACGTTGTACTAAAAGTTTGGGTCACTTTGCCGCCCCTCCGAATTGACTGTGACTCCTGGGTTCAGTGGCTTTTGAGGCCAAAAAATGGAATGCAACAAATATTATCGATATGTTGTGTTTTTTTGGCAGAAATAAACATAATTTCATGTATTCATAAATCCATGTTTTTGCCTACTTGCAGTGGAAAAGGGAATAAGATTGTCTGGAGGGGAGAATAAACACGTTGTTCTAACTTTTAGGTGAAATTAATTCCCCTTTTTTTGTTGAGTGTCAGCGAAGGACGCGCTGTTCTGGTGTTTATCAAGAGGATTCCTATCATTTAGAGGCCATTCACAGGGATATGACTGAATCGGTGAACATCTGCTTTGTGGACGTTGGACCTAAGGAAGAACAAGCGAGTGTTGCTCGAGAAATGGACGCACTGAAAGTCTTCCAATCCTGGGGACTTTTGCCGAGAACCATAGAACGTCTCATCTACTGTGGCATAAAGGAGCTGGATCATCTGGAACACATGACTCTGGCGGACATGGAAGTGATCTTCAACAGTGACAGTCAGCTGGGAGAGAAGATTCTGTTCAGAAAATGCCTGCGACGGTGGAAAGAACACAACGGATTCGAGCCACTAATGCCGGATGGATTATCACAGACCGCAGACGGCGTAGACAGATCCCGAAGGAGTTCCCGACGGTATTCCCGCCGAGATTCATCGTCAGAATCCCGAAACGGAAAAGTAATGACACCGATTAAGACCAAGGAGTTGAATTTGAGAGAATTGCTGAGGAATTCACTGAAGGGAATAAAACTCCTGTCTTCGTACGAGAAGAACTGCGTCCTGACCAACAAGGAACAGTGCTATCTCAGTCAAGTCATCGTTGACTTTCACATGGCGATGGAGCCAAAAATGTCCGCGGAACAGATTAATTACTACATCAAGGAGATCATCAAAGCCTTCCCATCGGAAGTCGCGGACACTTATTATGTGCCGCGCAGCAAATCAGCCACAAGAGCTCCGCAGGGAAAACTCTACCATCGATATCTCAATGTGAGCTCGAAGCACAAGAAGGAAACGGCACAGAGTCGCGAAAGTGATTCGGATTTTGGATAGAAATTCCTGATTTACAAGTAAAACAAACTGTACTAAAACTGAATCATCAATTTTGGGTCATTTTCGTCATTTTTCTCCCCTCCAAAATTTACAGCTGATCCAGTGACAGTTCGAAAGGGGAAGAAAGTGTGCTTCCGCGAGCTGGGAAAAGCCGCAATTTCTGGAGAGAATGAGCATTAGAAACACGCAAAACAGCGAGTCAATGGACAAATTGCTTGATTGTGTTCCTTTTAACAAGAATCTGTGATTATTTCACCATGAGTTCGACACTCAAAAAGTGCCTTCAAGAAATATCCCAGAAGGAGGTAAAAATCCATCAATATTTCCTTGAACAAACGATGTGATTGTGGTATTTTCTTCAGGAAGGACTTCTCGGGATTGTCCTTGAGATACTCACCTCAAAGAGATTACTGGTGGATCATCAGGAGATCCTGGAAGATGTTATTCAATCGCCTCAGTGTAAACCTGTCAATTCCCACTGCTTCACCTTCAAGAAGTCGATGGGAATCTTTCTGGGTTCTCTGGGACTGACAGAGATGCTAAAAGCTGCCCAGATACAGTCAAAATTGATTCTGCTGCCGCCGATCTTTGCCTCTGGATATTGTCTGCTGTCTTCGGTGAAAGAGTATCGAGATCTGAAGAATCAGGGAAAAGTGTCGAAGATCAAGAAGTTCATAGAAGATCTCAATGGTTTTGACGCTTTTCTGCGCAGACAGATGGTGTTTCTCAAGGAAATGTCTCTGTTCAGGAGCAAGATCAAGTGTTCAGACGAATGGGAAGCCAATCTTACAGCGAGAACCATCAAATCTGTTAGGGAAGTGACTCAATTACTCTACAGAAACACGCAATATCTTGAGCAGAAGTTTGAGATTCCGGTGAAATATCAGGGAATTTATCAGTCACTGGACAAGCTCGAGAATTGTGACTACTTCCAGAAGACTGAAGAGGACTTTGAAGTCAAGCATATCAAGGAATTCTTCAATATTTTCCTCTACATTCAATCACAGTTTCTTCTCAAGATCGCACTGACGATGACTTTCTTTGAGAATGGATTCTCAGCTTGTGAGCGAAAGATGTCGCAGATTCAGGTGAAAATTCAGCAAGAATTGAAGGAAAACTCTGAGAATCTTGACTACTTTCTTCAGCCGCCTTCGGCGGAAGTCACGAGATTCACTGCGACGGATTGTCAGGACATCAGAGGACAGATGCGTCAATTTAACTGCCTGAAATCCGCATCAGGAGCCATTGTGACGAAGCTCTTGACTCTCGTCACACAGTTGAGACTCTTCGATGGGGATTTGCAGAGAGTCAGGGCGAAAGATGAGAAATCCCTGCAGAAGGAATTGGCGAAGATGAAGGAAGCCTTTGAAGCTCTCAGTGTTTCCTTCACTTGTATCAATTTGGAGTTTGAAAATCTCCACTTGATCTACAACAAGATCCTCAATTTGCCCAGCAACGCCATCGAAGACTACCAAATGCTCGTGCCTGAGCAGCAACAATCGCGGAAGATTGAGGATTTGTCCGTGATTCCTGCCACAGATGAATTCTTCCATCTGGACACATCGAAGGATCAGGAGTGGGAGAAGGAAGAGGCTGACTTTGATCTCGCCAACTACGAATACGATCGAGTGAATCAGAAATTGATCAAGTCATCATTCAAGCCAGTTCTTGTGCAACTCAGGAAGCGCATTCATCCTCTTCACGATGCCATGAAGAAGCGCGAGAGGCAATTTATGAAATCTCGCGGCGTCACACTCGCCGAAGAGTCTGACGGTGAATTTTCCGACAGTCTCGATGAGAAATCCAACGATTCTCTGTCCGATGACGAAGCTCAGCGTCCTGCAAAGCCTGGAAAGTACGAGGAGAATCGAGAGTTTCTGCAGGAAAAGCAGCAAGTTGGACTCTTCTTTAGTCTTCCACCACCTCAAAATTTACTCTCTGAAGATGTTCTTGAGTAGAAATATCACTTGTGTATTATCATATTAACATTTACACTCTTTATTGCATCTCTTCTATATAATAATTTATTATCATTTGTGATTTTTTCGCAAAATTCTTTTGCTTCGGCCACTTTCGCCACACAAGCGAAAAAATGAGTGGTTTTTCTTCTTCTCCAAATATATATTGTTCTGCTCTCTTATACTCGCTAAATTGCAATAAATGTTGGAATAATAAAAAAATAATTTGTTCTTGAGACAATTGAGACGAAAAAAAGAGAGAAACGATGAAGATGCAACAGTTCCGCTCATAAATCTTGGCACACACACTTCACTAAAAGATGTTTATTTAAAAGAAATTTCAATACTGAGACAAAAAACATGCAACATTCTCAATTTGTTCGATTTGTTCCCAATTTTCTGTTCTACATCAATATTCGCCCTGTATATAAATTCGTTCGCTTTGCCAACGTTTTATATCACTCGATATCCTTTTTTTCCTCAAATTTCGATACAACAATTCGATGCGTTTTTTTTTTTCAAGCGGAACTGCCTTTTGTGAGGATAAGAAAATAAAAAGATGTGAAAGAAGTTATGAAATGAATGAAGAAAACAGGACAAGATACCTAATCCCACTCGTGAACCGCCGGGAAACAGTTGGGATAGGTGAGATTGTAGAGTTGACTCTTCAGGAATTCCTCATAATTCTCCGGCTGTGGCTGAACCTGAGCCAATCCTTTATCATAAGCATACTTCATCACACTCTCGGCAATTTTCACAGAACACGTGAGAATTTGCTCCAGCGGCGGATAAACATTGCCCACTTCGTAGTCTTCGGCACGCACAAGATCAGCCAACTCCTTGGCAGAGATCAGGAAGACCTCCTCCGGGATGGTGAGACAGCCAGCCGAGATGACACCGAGAGCAATGCCGGGGAAGATGTAGGCATTGTTGCCCTGTCCCGTGTGATATGTCTTCCCATTGTGCTCCACTGGCGGGAATGGTGATCCCGAGGCGAAGATAACACGTCCATCGGTGTACTTGTACGCATCAGCAGCTGTGCACTCCGCCTTGGCGGTGGGATTGGACAGGGCAAAGATTACAGGACGTTCATTGAGTTTTCCCATCATCTCGAGAATTTCCGGCGTGAAAGCACCAGCAATTGCGGCAGCTCCAATGAGAATTGATGGCTTCACTGTCTCCACAACCTCCTTCAGTGTGTCAATGGGCGCGTGCTCCTGGGCAAAGTGAACCTTTTCACCCGTCACACCACCCTTGGGACGATTCTGCACAATTAATCCTCGCGAATCCACCAACCAAATCCTCTTCTTCGCCTCCTCACGTGACAAGCCCTCAATTTCCATCGCCATGCAGCAGAGATTGGCAATGCCCAAGGCAGCCTCACCAGCGCCCTGAAACACCAGCACATTGTCACTCATGCGGGTCTTTGTCACCTTCAGCGATGACAGAATTCCCGCCACAGTCACAGCAGCAGTTCCTTGGATATCATCATTGAATGTGCAATAGTCATTCCTGTACTTGTCCAGCAGCCTAAATGCATTCGCGTTGGCAAAGTCCTCAAACTGAATCAGACAATTGCGCCCAAAGCGTCTCACCACAGCCACCATGAACTCCTCAATGAACTCATCATACGCCTCGCCAGTGACTCTCTTCTGCCTCAGCCCATTGTACAGTGGATCATCGAGGATGGACTGCGTGTTTGTGCCCACATCCAGCGTGATTGGCAGACACTGATGGGGCTTAATGCCACCCAATGCCGTGTAGAGAGCCAACTTGCCCACCGGAATGCCCATTCCATTGGCTCCCAAATCGCCCAAGCCCAGAATCCTCTCGCCATCCGTCACAACAATCGCCCGCACATCGTGCTCCGGCCAATTCTTCAGCATCTCATACACATGTCCCTTGTCCTTGATCGTGATGAACATCCCGCGTGGCCACTGATAGATCATGCTGTACTTCTGACACGCCAATCCCACCGTCGGTGTGTACACCAGTGGCATAATCTTGGCTGTGTTGGCTTGCATGACCTGGAAAAAGAGCCTCTCGTTGCGATCCAGCAGATTCATGAGGTAGATAAACTTGTCCAGCTCATTCTCCAGACGATCCAGCAGTATCACGCAGTGCTCCACCTGCTCACTATCGCTCTTCACGCGTGCCGGCAGCAGTCCGTGAATGCCCAGCATCATTCTCTCCTTCCTCGTGAACGCCAAACCCTGCAAAAAGACACCAACATTAGCATAATGATAGACAGAGAAAATTTTTATTATCACTAATTGCTATCTATTCGCCATCAATTTGACTCTTAAGCCCAATTTCAGCAGTCCCAACACGCTCAATCACTACACTCTATTGTATAATTGGATGCAATTTCAGACTTCTTTCATGCACGTCGATCTTTATTTTTTCTCTTCTCTCTTCACAAACATGAGAAAATGCAATTATCAAGTTGTCGATATAAAATGCGCCTTGATATCAAAACACTGACAAGAGGAGAGAACGCATATTATCTCTCCTAATGCTCCATCTAATAAGCCCCCTTGTGGAAATGCTGAGTGATTTTAATGGCACACAAGCAGTAAAGAGAGCCTTCAATTAACCCGAGCGCAATTTTCCATCCACGACAGAAAAAAAAATCATCTCCCATTTGACTCTGTGGGTTTTGCCCGTGTAATTTTGAGACACCCATAAAAGTATGTTGATGGCGAAAAGATGCAAATTTCAAAAAGTCTCTCTCTAGGTCAATTCTATAGCAATTGCATGAGTAACAAATTACAAGAACAATTCATTCACCAATTAAGGTAGAGACAAAATTTTTCAAATTGTCGCAATTCACCAATCTTCAATCATGGATTAACACCTCATGGAAAGCAATTATACAACAACGCCAATTAGTGTCCAGATATCGCACACAACGTGAAAACATTCGACAAAAAGAAGGTCACAGAGAAAAAGAACATGTTTTTTCTCTCTCTTCATTGCTGGAGGAACACAGAGTGTGTGTATAGATTGATTTAATAATGTTGGCCCTTCAATTTTAGAATGGCTTCTGAAAGTGATACTGAGAAAACATATTTCCACTCTCGATATCAGGTCGTTTAGATCAGTAAATTGGATATCAACACCATTGTAATGCCCTCGAGCATGACATGAACATCTAAGAGAGTCAAAAACATAACTTTAAGAGTAGTTTACAGTATGGAAATGTACTGGAATTGGTAAACAGGGTCAGGAGGAAAAATTATGGGTCACTTCTATAGGTGGAATATTATGAGTAACAAATGTGTCTCGCTAATTGACGAAAGATGACACTGAGTATCTTTTATCTCTCTCGAGCACGCAATGGCTCAATAAGTCAATAAAAAGCACCCAATTTAAGTGAATATTATATCAATATCGCGACAATTGATTGGACAGAGGAGATAATGGCATTATCAACGATGTTTTATGCCTCAAATACCTTTCTTCCCACCTCACCATAATCTCTCAAGAGCGAGGGATCGTTGCAACTTTACAGCTTTTCATAGATTGTATTGGCGGCCGCCAAGCGGCGCTAGTGTTAAGTAAGAATAAAACACGAACAAGAAGACGTTGCAAACTTCAGTTAAGAGTTTATTTAATACGAATTTCTGCTGTCAAACGCGAACAGGACGAAATAGTACGAAGATGTCTTCACTGTAACACTTGAAAAGCTTTGAAAAGCCAATAAGTTTCCTCGGAAAAGATCTCAGGATGTCTGAAAAGACATAACCTCAATCTAATGCATTGAAATGTGCACAAATGACAATTTAAATCCAATAACTTTGTGTTAATTAACTTGAAAATGTCATTTTCATAAATTTCATGAATAACATTCTGTCAACGCATTTTAACGAATTCATACTTTTGACAGCTTATTCAAAATGTTATGAAAATAAAGTCACAACGACTCCTCAGGGTATAAAATTGCGTTAAAGCGAGAAAAGAATTATTCACGGAGAGGAATTTAGAGAATGCATTAATTAAATTCCTCCTTCATCCTTGGGATTCATTCACGTCTTCCAGTCTTTCTCTCTCTCTCTCTCTCTCTCGCTAAGCATGTGACGCGTGTGAACACCTGTGATCGAATTTAACAGACATCATTGCACGTCAGAAAGAGATTTTAAATGCAATCCAATCCCACACATATGGAGAGTTTATGTGTCATTCAAAGTCACTCGAATTGTCCTCCAGTCGCTCTCGATCACGAGAGAGTTCAAGACACTTTTCCAACACAACAAAAACTTGCTCTATATTATGTGCGTCTCAGCATGAACGAAAAAAAAAAATTCCTCCCAGACTCCAAGTCACGTGTTGCAAAAGACAAAACACAATCGGAGTGGCAAGAAAAAAAAAGACTGCTCAAGTTCGACTTTCTCAGTCAATGCGAGACTCAGCGAAAAGGTTACTAATCGCCTATCAGCTGACGAAATAGGTCAAACACCATGTCGAGCAGTGGCTCGAGAAATTGAACGCATGTGGAGTGAAAAGAGAAGTCCCACGAGTGTGTGAAAAAGAACGTTAATAAACGTTAAACATTCAACAATTCGCGCGCGCGAATGTTAAATTAATGTCAATTGCAATTCTAATCGCACACCTTATTTTTCTTCCATCTCTTCATCATGCCGTTCAATCTACATTGGAAATCATTTATTTCCCACAATATTCATCAATTCTACACTTCCTTTCACCCATAGAATGAGTTTTATGGCAAACTTGACTCACAAAGGGAAGTTATTTTGACATGCCTTACGCATCGATATGGCATTACTAATTGGAAAAGAAAAAATTCTCTTCTTTCAATGTTAGCATATTAAATTGGTAAAGTAGTTAAATTGGCTGATGCGACATCATATAAGTCATCAAGGAGGATTGAAAGTGTCAGAAGCCCCACAAATTGCTCAAAATCTCATAATAAACGATTGAAAGGAATGAATCAAATCACACAATAAAAATGCTCTAATAGCAAATTGTAGGTTTTCTCTCTCTCTCTCTCTCTCTCTCTCTCTCTCTCTCTCTGTGGCACACGATCATCGTAAGCCAAGTGTTTCTCTCTCTCTGATGATGTAATTTCATGGAAGGCAACAAGAATCATATAAACAACTCACTTTCCTCTTCAATTTACCTCAAAGAAAAAAAAAATGTGTAAGAAAAAACTATGTTGAGCAAATTTACGTCAATTTTTGCATCATACAAAGCATCATATTCAAGGTGAAATTAAATAAAAGATATATTTTTGTGCGTTCATCAGGCTAAAACTAAGAAAAAAAACCCCAACACAGGAAATTCAGTAATTGATCAGTGGGTATTTTTGCAGAGAAGTAATAGGAAAAGTTGGGAATTCATTGACCATTTCTGACGTGCTTTTGTCTTAGTCACTGTGGACAAATCGACGGGTGAATCGAAAACTATGACAAGTCAACTTTTCATAGTTTACGTCGTAGATTTTTTCTAAGAAAATTGCCTCAAATTGAAGTCAAACATATGAAAAACCGCTTTGAAAAATAATTATAAATCTCCAGAATTTCTCCTAAATGTTCTTAGACTTTGACTGAATATTTCTTATATTTTTTTCACTTAATTCACGTTGATTTTTAGAACTTTTCTAGATAAAATACACTCAAAAACTATTAAAAATTGACTCTGAAAAGTAATATTTTATGATTTTCTATTAAGTTTGCCATATTTTTGTCAAAATTTTCAATAAATACCAATAAAATGTATGAAAATAATTCAGAAAATAATTATTAGAAGGTGTTTTGTGGGTTTTTTTTACTTTCCATACTCTTCGATTCACCCGTCGAAATGGAAATCATCGTGTTACGCGATCGTGACACTGCTCAATGAAGAGTGTCTTGAATGGCGCAATACTCAGATGCCCATCACAGTCAGAGATGACACAGAAATTTGCGCGTCAAGAGATCGTCAATGAACTTGAAGGAAGGTTTCTCCCAATCATGCATTCGCACGATCATCTGTGACATTGTACATACTGAGAATATTGTGCTGAAAAGGCTCAAAATAGATCACCCAGTCGTATCGTGATGCTCATTTGAATAAAAATCATTCCAACACAGCGATGCCTTTTCTTCACGCCACTCTCGAGTGCCACACGCACTGATCCCCATCGTGATCGAGAAGGTAAAGATCACGGAAAACACACTATTTGGGAAGTTCAAGGCGGACTTTCAAATGAAACTGCCAAAAAAGTATCTAATTGCATATTTTTTTTCTAATTTACATCAACAACACTTCCTTTCAGCTCGCGAAAAAACACTTTTACGATCTCACCAAACAACTCTGTTGCTTCTCTCACTGTTGCTCAGTGATTTGCCAAGACAAAAAAAATCAGTTTATACCGAAATTTGTGGGTTTTTTTCCTTCCTTCATCATCTGAACGGTTGAATTATTAAGTGTTGAAGAAATAAAAAAAAATGAAATGCATTCCGCCAATATTATATCTTTTTTCACCGCATTTTCTACGCTCAAGCCTTAAAACGCTCAAAACAATCAATAGAAAACTTCCTTCCCCTTCTTTTCGTGGGTCTTTTGGGTGGTGCAAAATAGGTTTTTCACTTTCAATGACCTCTGCAGTCAATTTGGTTTTAGCTAAAAACAGTTCTCTTTCTGTTGAGAATGAGAATGTTGAGAGGAAAAGGCACAATAACACTACTTTTGCCACTTCATTTCCCGTGTTGTTTAATTTTGGGTTTTTGGGGGAAGTATTTGGTAAAATTCCATGCACAAAATGTCAGTTTCTTCGCTTTCTTGTCTCTCTGCGTCTCACGGACAATCAAAGAGACGAGAGGAGAAGAAAGTGTCTCTTGAGAGATGAATGGAAACTTTTTATTACACACTCTATAACATACCTTGTTGTATCGTCCATTCCGGAGTCTGTCCAGACCAGAGAGAGATCCAGGGATTTCGGAATCGTGAAAATCACCCGCTGGCCACTGGCCCACGCGATCCAAACTCTTGTAGTCACTCATGTTCGTACAGAAGCACCGACTGTGGGAGATTCAAGGGACAGAGTTGAGAGACAGCAGGGAATTTTTCGGTGTTAGAGAGAGATTGCCCAGGGAAAGATGAGTGTCGTGTGAGAGATTTTTGCCAACTAACCGATAAGCCGATGAATCGACTGATTTTCCACCTCCTGATGGGCTGCCTGAGCACTTGTGTTGGTGGCCCAGCTTTGTCTCTGTATTTCGCGCGTGCGTCTCGTGGGGACGATGGGCTGCCACTCCGCCGTTGCGATACACACTGTAAAAAGCGAGAGATGATGACGTATTAGAAGGTGAAACAGGCAATATAGAGAGAGGCTCGAATGCGTGGAAAGTTGCCCACAAACTGACACTTTGCTCATCGGGCCCCCGAACAAAAGCCAATCGCCCAGGGAACAACAAATTGATCTCCATGGATGGAATAATTTCGACATTATTCGGCGGGTCAATTGAATCAATATTTAGTGGAAGCAGAGGAAGGGTAAAAAAAAGAGACAATTTTCAGCGCACAAACAATCAAAACATGAGACAACTGAGACAATTTCTCGGGAAATTAAACATCGAAAGGTGTTTACTCGGCGTGAGGCAAAAATTCTGTGCTCTGGTTGATAAAGCTTATGGGTGGTGTGATAAAACATGTGTTGCCTGGCAACACACCCAGAGTGCCACAATAAAAACAAACTGTCCATTAGATTTTCGTCCATGAAAAAGACAACAACTCATCATCAATTGCGTGTCTCTTCTCAGCAAAACGGCGATCATCACGCCGCATTCACCTGATTCTCAATCGACTGGGAAGTCATTCTTGATTCAATTTCAGGCATTTCAGGAGAGACGAGTTTTTATTTTTCTTCTCATAATGACAAATCGCTAAAGCTGCGGGAAATTCACTGGCGATGATGATTAAGTCAGTTTGAGTAAGATTTATGTTCAGCAAGTGAGAAGTTCTTTTTGCGAATGTTTTTTTTCTTTGAGCTATTATTGCCAGTCGCTTTGCAAATCATCTGATAAGTCCGACAAAACGCTGAAAGATGCAACGTTTGGGATCATCTTTCTTATCACCAAAAGATGCAATTTAGTTATAATCAACGTGATAGAGAGAAACCAGTTACAAGATCAAGTTTGATTTAACGTGAATTCAATCCAAAAAATCGTATAATTTTCTCAGCATAGAGTTTTTCTGTGGAAAACACATCAAACAACTGATTATTTTCAATCGAATTTGCAATGAAAGTATTAATTTCAATTCTGCGCGAGGTTTGATGATTATCGATTTGATTATATAATCAAATTTCCCAATTTGTTTTTGCTGGTAAATAATTATCAAATTGCATCCAAAGTGAAATTCAATTTCCCAAAAAGCCCCATTAAATTTAATTCCTAATATTTCACCACACGTGCATTGATTTTGTGTCTACGCAAATTTAATTTTGCCAACATTTATTAATCACTCCCGGATTTTAAACACGCGCAAAGTGAAAAAAATTCTTTGTTATGAATTCTTTCATGCGTGAAAACTTGTAATTCTTTGTGTGTCTTTCTTTCTAGTCATGCAAAAATTATTCTTTTCCATGGATTCAAGACATTTTCAAGATCACACTGAGACACTGATTCATTCCTTCATTATGAAATCAATCAATTGAGTCAAAGAAAAAAAGCACCAATATCATCGAATTGAATGAATTGAATAAAAGATCCAAAATGTTCAAGTCAATGAACCTCCTTTTGCTCTCACTTCTTCGTAATCTTCCGACAATTGTAGAAATTACAAAACTTTCTAATAATTTTAATGGCATGAAATTACACGACAATTATGAGAAGCAGTGAAAAACCATTTTCACCCAGAGCAGAAAGAAAGAAAGAAAGGAGGAAAAAAGCACCGATAGTAGAGCTGATCGAAGTGTGATCTTTCGCCCAAGTGCCTAGACATTTTCCTTATCTCTGCGCGCAAAGTCTGTAGAAAACCAGTTGCAAATTACATAATATACAGTGGATGCATCTTGATATATGGGGAAGAGACAGCTCGCGATTATCGGGTGAGTAATTGGGGAGACACAACAGCGACACTTCCACATGTGAGGAGCGAGTGATCGCGACATGTGAGGTGATCAATGGAAGATGATGCGAATTTTTCTCACCCATTGTGGCCATTCACGTCATTCTTGTCAGCACATATCGAATTTGAGTTGCCCATCCTTGCTCAATAAATCCACTCAGCAACACAAACAACAACTTCAGCGTGAAGGAGAAAAAAGGAAAGTCACCCAGTGAAGAGTTGCAGTTGAAGATCCTTGAGAGGGCAAGAAAAGCACAAGATCACAGAGATGTTTTTCCACCAATTCTACTGACTGGAGGAAGTTTACAACCGAACTGCCACTGGTCAAGTTAGCGACTGAGCAACCAAAGCGCATGTAAAGTCCATTCTGCTGAGACAGAGAGTCTCACAGAGCGCGCCCCTCTTTTCTTGCGAACGCGCGGACTCCGACTTTGATCGACACACGACCGTCATTCCCTCAATACATCTCCACTTGAGAGTCGCAATCTAAGTGCTCGCGAGAAGGAAATCCTTGGTGACACCGCGAGGAGTCTCTCTCTCTTTAAATCCTCCCCCTTATCAAAGGACACCAGCGCCAATCACGAAGATTTATAGTGTATTTATTGAAATCTCCAGCGCGCGACAATGAGTCTCAATCACTGTAATTAAGTCACCTCTAATCACGGAATTCCAATGGAAATGTGTATCATTGCACTGATCTCTCTTCGATCCGATCGCTGCTGTTGCCAGCTCTGTATCTTCATGCAATTTGTGTCCACAAATCAAGCATTACGGCAAAAAAAAATACAATTGTGTCACACTATAAATTATTTATGTTTTTTTTCTCTCTGCACTCCAGCGCAAAAAAACCCGAGCTATTGAGACACGTGAAGTGAAAGAAAATTCAGAGACCGTGACCAAGGACAAGAGATGATTAGAATTCTCGCCAAGACACACATCAACCATTACTTCGGCGATTTTACACTAAGTCAGCTTCTTTTGGGGGAGAAAATTTGATCACACACGAGCAAAATTGCCAAAAAAAAGCTGTTTTTCTAATTGCAATAATCAACAGTAATTTACAAAACAATGCTAATATTTGCGAGATGATTTTTTTTCGTTTCAAAGCAAACAATGCAACCATTGAGGTCACCTTTTCCCAGGAAATTAATCTTTTCTGCATAGAAAACACGGGGAAAGTCACTGGACAATTTTTGAGGGATTTTAATGATCTCAATAAAATATTTAAATGTTGATTTGAATTACAAATATAATCAAAAATTAATATTTTCCAAGTAAAATTGCAAAATAATTCAATATTTAATATTTTTGACCAAATATTTAAATAAATTTAATTATATTTAAATATTTTCAGAATATTTAGTTAAAATTCTACTTTAAATAGCATAAAAGAGTCAGAAAATTTGCCACAAATAATCAATCGGATTAATTTTAATAAAATATACAGAAAATAATCAAATATTTCAATATTTTTAAGCATAATCGAACGAAATATTGAATAATCACAAAATTAATAGTCTGAAATCGCGAGTGATTTTCCCCTTATTGCGCTATTTGTTAAATTGTCGCACGCAATTCAGTGCAGTAGTTTGAGATTTCACGAGAATAGTTTAGTCCAAAGACATCTCTTCGCGATCCCGCTGTCTGAACGTGAATAAATATTAGCTGATATTCACTTTAATGAACTAGTTTCTTGCCTGAGATTCTATTTACTCTGTAATCACAATTATGCAGCTCAAGAAGCCAGTGTGATTGTTCTGCTTTACGCGGTGAAAAGACCTAGATTTCGATCTGAAAGAGGGAACATCACTTAAAGAAATCGTCAGTTTGTCTATCGATTGCTCATACATACTTAATGACCACCGTTGAATTACATTCACCTCAACATGCCACAGAGAAAATAACATTATTAGCAACCAATGAATAAAGTGCTTTTCCAACCCATTCTTCAGCACACAATTTACCGTCCTGCCGTGCGAATAATACGTCTGGTCACTCGGAAAGTGGAGTTCGCGAAGCGCGTTTACAAGTGAGCAGTTGAATTTCGTGTCACCGAATGAAGAGGAGAGTCATTTGAAACTCCAATATTTGAATATGAAATTTATTGATTAAAACGCGGCACCCACACGGCCCAGGACAAACGAACTTCAACAAGGGTTTGATCGATACTTTTTTCCGTGTCCACTCAACAGCACCTCGGCCATATAAGCACACACCAGAGAGGGAAACTTCGCCCTCCGAGTGACGCTCTCAGTAGTTTCACTGGCCAGTTGCCAGGTGGAAGTTGGTGGTATTTTTCCGTTTCCTTTCTCCCACTTTCTGTTCCTTCCTTCCCATCCATTAATCCCTCCTGGGGCTGGACGAGAGAGAGAGAGAGAGAGGCGACTTTTGTGTGATTATGGCAAAGACCCCAAAGACTATGGTGGAATTAATTGATGAGACTGCCGATGAGGAGGAGGAGGACGAGGAAATCCCAGAGGAGGAAATTGCATCAGTGGCAACATCGGAAAAATCATCAAATCTCTCCGTCCAGGAAGTCAGTGAACCACAACACAATGCAGAAACCACTGGACAGAGTGTCAAGCAGAGTCGCGAGGAAAATCTCGTGGATTCACAGAAGGATTATGATGAGGAAACCTTTGAGTATGAGTCAAATTTTGAGGTGGAAATCCAAAGCAATGTGCCCGAGGGAGTTCACCTTTTCAACGTCAGCCTCCTCCATTCTGCCCTCGATGACATTTCCCTGCCGCCCATGCGACGGAGACCTTTCAAGAATGGCACAAGACAGAGTTTGACCTTCACAAATGACCAAATGTGGGAGATTGAGAGGCAAAACCGCCTCCTCATGGAGAGAATCTTTCGCCCAGCCGGATCAAGTCGCTGCTCTCTCAGGCAAAGTGTGAGTTTTTTTGCAAGTTCAATCAGAATTCCCACAAATTGCATATCATGATCTTCCTGATTACAGGACTTTCAGCCAAATTCAAGGACTTCAAGTGCAGCAATCAATAGGAAGAAGCGCGAACGCCAAATACAGCTGGATAATCAAGTTTTGTGCAGAAAACTCCAAGCGATCAAATCACGACGACCAAAGTAACTCTGCAAGCACTCTTCTTTTTTAGTATAATATAAACCAAAATTGACACATATCAGTAAGCACAGACTTTTGAAACATTGATTGAAATGAGTGGATCAATAAATAAGATGTATGAGAAGATATTTGTGACTATGAGTTGAAGGAATTTTAAAGTATTTTGTGGGAAAATATACAAAACTAGCACAGCCAGTGACGCACATTTCATGCATATTAAATAATAATTTCTATTTTTCACATCGAGGGAGGCAAAATCAAGGCCTTCGCTTGTTGTTCCGCTAAAGGGGAAGTATTATTATGGTTAATTGGCCCCCAAAGAGTAGTGAATTATTCACGGAGAATGAAAAGCTTATCCTTTTTTCAACTGCAAGAATCATAAATTCTCATACACTCGAAAGATTGCTTTTTCTCAATTCAGTAAAGTCTTGTTTTTCCTTCAGTTTCTGTGTTGGCAGTATTTTGGCAAGAGCATAATTTACCAGCACAGAGTGTTAAAGGGATTTGCAAGTTGAAGGATTGATTTCCGGAACGCACAGTGACGCAACAAGTTACGGAGGTTGTGTTGGAGAAAAGAGGCCAAGAAACTCACATATAGAGAAAAATCTAAACAAACTTTATGTACTGAGGAAAGTTCCAATACAATGCTTTATAGAAGGAGGAATCATGCCACTCATCCATTGAACTTTTGCGCAAAATATGCCCACAAACTGAGAAATCCTTGGGGAGAAAATCTATGACGGAGGGAAAAAAGGTCAAAAGGACACCACACAATTTACCTCAATTGCAAAGCCTGCCGAGGGACTTTGTTAAGGAGTCTCTTTATTGAAAACATTTAGTCGTGTGACAACTTTATCCTTCTCCTGTATTTGCCCCGAAATCTGCCCAGAATCGTCCCGAAAATTGACTATATCTCTGCAACGTGAATTATGAAGGGAGAAATTCCACACAAAAGTCACCCAAATATGGGAGAGAGAGAGAGCTTTCGAGGATATGCGGAGTTGAAACAGGGTGAACTATCGAAATTCGCAATTGGAGAGGACACAGCATAAATGGTGTGTGTTTCACTCATTTCGAACATCGTCTGCGTCACAGAATTTGCGCATTGTTTTCCCTCAAAATGCTTCCAACGAAATCGACATGGCAACCGAATGTGGAATACATATGAGGGCTTTTCTTTTCATGAATACATATATATGGACATGGAAGTGGCGCGGGAAGAGCGGCGCCCCAGCATGCGCGCGCCATGAAAACTACATATTATCATGGGCGGTGGGGTGTGAGTGTGTTGGGAAAACACGAGGAAAAGTGTGATGTGGAGGAAAAGTCGGTGAAAGAGAGGGAAAGCAGGAGGCAAAGTGCAAAAAGAACTTGAGTGAGAATGTCAGAATTGGAGAGACGGCATATTAGAACATTACGCTTACGGAGTAAACGCAGTGCAGACACGGAAGGAGCTGCTTCGTGTTGAAATTTTTAGTGTGGTGGCCACCGACAGGACATTGGACACAGTGTGAGGGACAATTTTGAGGCATTTTGCGTCACATGAATCCGGAAATATCAGTGTGAAGAGCCATTCTTTGCCGTGTAATCTGGCTTTTTTCCTTACTCATCTCCACACACTTCGTTCGTGTGTTTGAGGCAACATAACTTTTATTATTATTCCTGGTGTGGAAAAGCGTGTGTGTGTTCTGCTGGTGGAGGACTTTGAAGTTGTCGCGTAGGCACAATTCCTGACCATCAAGTTCCCTCTTTCTCACTCCGGGAAAGGGTGGAAGAAAGAAGGAAGGAAAAAAACCCTTTTCCACCACATCATACAATACACACACACACACTGGTTGAATAGCTGTGGCAAAGAGTTGGAGGAAAATGAAGCTGACTTTCCCATCAGTGAGAGCGCAAAGAGAATGAAAAGTTGACAATAGTGACAAATTGTGTCTCCACACTTGGTGTTTAAGTGCTGAATTTCCATAGTTTTACAAAGTTACATAATTAAACAATACCACTGCGTGTATCCCTATTGATTCCACTCTCCACACAACCCCCGACAAAGCCAACATTTTCGGGCACAGCGCTCGCACGGGAAACTTTCACTGTTTTTCCACCACACACACTCTCTCTCCTCCCCCCGGCTGGTGGAAAAGAGGCGAAAGATGTGAAAAAGCCGAATCTCACAGGGTGAAATTGACACAGACGGCAAAGAGAACGCGGAAAATCGTGTGGTTTTTTGAGAGAGGATTTTTGCCTACAATTCCAGTGGAGCGATAATAAAAAAAAAACGTCCCTTCCGGCTGGAAACAAAGAGCAAAAGTACAGTGATTCATGTGAGAAGTGACAATAGGAAAAGGAGTGATTGACAGAGAATTCCGCTGTGTAAGAAATAATTCACACAATTTCCCAGTGCTGCTTCATTGCTCTTCCTCACACTGGGATTCCCCATGTGAATACAATATCCAGTGAGCGCTCTCTCGCTGAAAAATTAAAGGAAAATCGTGGTGGTGGTGGAGAAACTCAACCAAAAGAGTTGCTGTACACCGAGGAGGAGAACTCTGTTGCTTCGTCTTTGTTGTTCCCCGCGCGTCGCAGTGAGAACTTTCCCTGACGTGAGTAAGGAGTGTGAGCTGTGCTGAAGTTTTAATGAGGGCACTGTGAGACAGAGTCCCCGGGGAAGCAGATAAACTCGCTCACAGCACCCGGATAGACGCCGGTGCTTAGATGGTCGTCCACCGGGACGATCACACGGCGAGATAGAGCCTCCGCGCGGAGATGGTCCTGAGCACCGAGTGGTCCCAGGTGGAGGTCATCGATTTGATCAACGACGGCAACGGACTGGGCTTTATGCTCGTGGGCGGACGCAGCACTGGTGTGGTGATTAAGGCGCTGATTCCTGGCGGCGTGGCCGAGCGCGACGGACGCCTCCAGTGCGGTGATCACGTGCTGCAGATTGGCGAGGTCAATCTCCGTGGCTTCAGCTCCGAGCAAGTGGCCACGGTGCTGCGGCAGACTGGCGCCCAGGTGCGCCTCATCGTGGCACGACCAGTGGAGCCCTCGTCACCCGACTATCAGTCACTGGCCACGCACGCTCCCATCATTCCCACGAAACTGCTCTCCGATCCGGAGGAGCTTGAGCGCCAGCTCCTCCAGACAGCCGGATACACGCAGGCGACCCTCCTGGTTGCCTCGCCCACCCTCGTGGAGGGCCTCGAGGCCACCGTGGAGGTGATCGCCGTGACCCAGGACACAGTCAGCTGCACTGTGTCCCCGTCGACTGCCACAATGCCTCCGCTGCATCTTCCCTCCCCGCCATTGCTGCCCGATTCCTCACCGCCGGCCCTCATCAGCGACTACCTGGACCTGCCCGAGACGGAGACGTATCAGGTGGAGCTGCGCAAGAACGTGTACGGTCTCGGGATAACAGTGGCGGGCTACGTGTGCGAAGAGGAGGATCTCTCGGGGATCTTCGTGAAGAGTATCATTGAGGGAAGTGCCGCTGAGATGAGTGGTAAGATCCAAATTAATGATCGCATCGTGGCTGTCGATGGCAAGTCACTGAGCGGTGTCACCAATCATCAGGCCGTGGAGATACTGAGGAATACCGATATCGCTGTCAATTTAACACTCGAGCGCTTCCTCCGTGGCCGCAAGTACGAGCACCTCCAGCTGGCGCTCACGGAACCCCAACTCCCGCCCCCAGTGCCCACCAATCCACCCCCATCGAATCCCACCTCACCATCAATCACCGTGCTGCCGTGGATGCCACCGACAGACGACGCCGGCGGCGATGTCGACAGTATCATCAGCATCGACAGGGACCCGAACGTCATCGAGCCAGAACTGGAGTCCAACACCACCATTGACTCCAACGTGTTCGCCGTGGAGAACGGCGCTGCCTCCGAAGGAGAGTCCGACACAACGCCCACACCCACGCCCACTTGCGACTCCGCCACGGCTCAGTGGAACCGCGAGCTTCCCGACCTGAAGATCGTCGTGGCACATATCAACAAGCTCTCCGGCCTGGGCATCAGCCTCGAGGGCACAGTGGAGGTGGAGGGCGGCATTGAGATGCGTCCGCACCACTACATCCGCTCGATCCTGGAGGAGGGTCCGGTGGGTCGCGAGGGCACGCTGAAGCCCGGCGATGAGCTGCTGCAAGTCAACGAGCACCGACTGCAGGGGCTGAAGCACACCGATGTGGTGAAGGTGCTGAAGGAGCTGCCGACGAATGTGAAGCTTGTGTGCGCTCGCAGTCACAAGCCACCGTCTGTGATCAACACCTCCCAGAGTCCAGAGGCCTTTGAGGCGCGCAGCATCCTGGCCGGTGGGCTGCAGAGCCTCCAGAATCTCCTCACCAAGGCGCAATCGGAGAGTTCTCTCTACACCTCCAGCACGGCGACGTTGACGGACCAGCAGCGCTCCAAGAGCGTCGAGCAGGTGTCCGGACTGGCGCTGTGGACCACAGAAGTGATGTACATTGACATTGAGAAGACGGAGCGTGGCTTCGGGTTCTCCATTCTCGACTATCAGGATCCACTGGATCCCGAGGGAACTGTGATTGTGGTGCGCGGATTGATACCTGGCGGCTCGGCCGAGACGACGAATCTCATCTTCCCGGGCGACCGACTTGTCTCCGTCGCGGACCACCAGCTCCACGGCCGGACACTGGATCAGGCGGTGAGTATCCTCAAGGGAATGCCCGCGGGCGTCGTCCGCATCGGGCTGTGTCGTCCACTCTCCACCTCAGACAACAATGTGTCCTCCGCGGCGGAGACACCGACCACATAGCTAGACATCATAGAGATATTTTTCGAATTAGACATTTGAGAATTGATAAGAGAGTTGCGCTCTTGGATCTAAATCTTAATCTCAATGCAATTAGCCACAAAATGCGATAACTAGAGAGGATGGAAAGAAAGAAAATATTTTACGCCCAAAACACACTAATTACAAATTTAATATTTAACCATAAGTTCATTCACATCCTTTTGCGCTTAACAATGAGATTGTTGGCGTTACGATAGAGAATCCTCAAGGATGGAGTGTTGCAAAATTTAGCACATTTTCTCTATCTCTCCTCGCAATGTTGCGCGAGATATAAAGAATTTAGGGACTTGAAGGAAAAGAACAGCAACACACACAATACCACAACACTGCTTCTTAAAGACACACTCTTCACGCGCGCACCACCTTTGACTTTAAAAAAAAAACAGACACTCTCGTCTCCCTCTGTTGAACCCCGCCGGGGGATGGGGAGAGAGACAAACAAGGAGGGGCATAACTAGGCAATTCACAGAGACACGCCATTCGGGGAGATTTTCGCGAAATTATCTAACATGAATGGCCCTCGTAAGAACGTGCGAAATGGCACAGATTTCAGCAACATCAACAGTTCATATTTGCATAAATGGCAATGTTTGAGGTTCTGCCGAAGCACAGTCAAGAATATTTTCCCTTCGGCTTTAAGTAAATTGAAGAGATATCGCCATAATCTCACATTACATTATAAACGTGGAGGAGAAAAAAAAAAGATGTACGAAGCATTTTCTTCTGACGCTTTAAAAGGGGGCGAACAAACTTATTTGCCATATAAACTATCCAAGAGAAATGTGGGCAAATTGTGCCACGTCGAAAACTATCGCATATGTGAAATGAAAGGACACACACACACAGAAGGTTGTCTTGTGCTATTTGAATTTCAAGAACAAGAATATAATAGTCCTCCCTTCAAATTGGATTGTTTCGGGGGAACATGTGGTTCATATTGTATTTTTGTTGCTTTTCTTTGCTCACAAGGATTTCTCTATATTTCACAAATTGTATAAGAGTCTTTGCAGAGCTTCATTTACTATTCACATAACCTCATTCTTTTCTTCCCCAAACTAAATGGAAAACCACGCAACAATCAGAGAAAACCTGCATTGTAAACCATTTGTAAATATCCGCAGAAGAATAATTTATTTTTTCCACAGTGAAACTATACAAATTGAACAAATTGCATTATTTGGGGAAATTGGATTTGAACCGGAAATATTTCAGAATGATTCTAATGAAAAACAAGTTGCAATTTTACGTTTTCATAGCTTATATTGGCGGCCGCCCAGTGGCGCTAGTACAAAGTACGAATGGAATACGATCGAGAAGGCGTTGCAAAGCAGAATTTAAGCTTATTTAATACGAATTTCAGCTGTTGATTGAAGATTTGCTCATGTGAGCGTGTTTCGGGACACATAACCTTAATCTTATGCATTTAAATGTGCACAAATAGCCAGAAAAATCCAATAAATATGTGTTTATCTACATAGAAAACATCATTATTGTCTATTTCCTCGGTTTTCCCGTGAATTTTCGGCTTTTCTTGTCTTCACGCGGAAAAAATATGAATTGGCTTCAAACGTAAACGTTTCAAACGTTTCAGGTCTCGCAGAAGATAAATTCCGCGCTTTCGTAATTGTTATGAATTGTAATTTTGCAACGCAGTTTTACGAATCCATAACTTTGACAGCTTATTTAAAATGTTTTGAACGTTATATTGCAACGACGCCGATGTTTAATAAATTGTGTGCAGAGTATTTATGTTATCCGCAATAACTTCCATGTTAATATTGATGCTACATATTGAAAACCACTTCAGTTTTCGCGAGTAAAGCCCAGTTTGCTGTCGTAAATATCTGGGAAATATTGCAATGTCATAGTAGAGCAACTGTGGCGTCCACTCTGTGCTTCTTGACAACCTTCCAAACGAGAATTTGAGCATATGTGACAGTTTGTGGGGTCCATTAGGAAAATTGCATTCTTGGCGTGTCATAAAATGTGCTTAGTTATATCCCCCTTGGCACAAGCAACAACAACACAGCGCGAGATGAATTTTTCCAACAGAGGCGAAATATAAACATTCTCCAAAAGTGCACAGAGAGGGATAAACTCGAGGTGAGTTTGGGAAGAAAACAAGCTTTAAATGGGGTCAAACAGAGAATGTGGAAGGATAAAAATAATCCTTTTAAAGGATTTCTCTCCTTCCCTTTGTCGCACTTAATTCTTTGCCACATTCGCCACCCACTTTTTTTCCCACCTCCCCCCAAAAGAAATGCCATCATAGATGCGACATTTTCATTGGACTTCTCTGTGTTGAGCTTTCAGGAGATGCGCTTTATGAGGCGTAGCAACTTCAGCAGAGGATCATTAGATTCACTTTTAGGATTAAATGAAATCCACAGGGAGACACAAGGAGATTGCAATTAACCTCATTTTACGATCGCACAACGCACTTAAACTTTCTTTATTTCTCCAAAGGATAATTCAACCAAGATATTTCCCCACCCTATTTCAACAGGAGTTGTACGTCATATAAGCAGAAAATGTTTATATTTCCCTCCGAGGATAATCACGAAAACTTTTCTCTCACACACAAACACACTCACACATCGCACCAAATCCCACTCGCAGAGAGAGATAAGAAAGATGTTAGGATATAAAGAAATAGAAAAAGAGAAATATAAAAATTTCTTGCGCTCCATTTCTAAATTACATCTTATATCAAATGCTAAATTTCCGTGAAAAGATTGATGGTGAGAAATTTGAGGTTCAGCGCTAAAAACGCTTTTTAGTCATGCAAGATGCAAAATATTTAAATTAAATGAAAAAAAATATATTAACAATTTTTTATAATAAGTGCAAAACAATTTTAGGTAGAGTTTGAATAGAGAGAGAAAGCATTATAAAGAGAAAACAAACATAAGTTTTCCTGTTAGGCAAAAAAAAAAGAATTTTAACAAGATAAATAGTTGATAAAATGCGTTTAGAAAGGAAGAATTGTGAATATAGAAAGTCCCCATTTGACTTGAAGAAGAAGAAGAAAAAGAAGGAGAAAAACTATATATATTTAACAAAGAATATCTCTGGAAAGAAATGTCAAATGAAAAGCATATCGAGAAATTATCATTAAAAATCATTCATTGATCATTCTCATGAGGTGTGTATTATATATTATTTGGAGTGAAGGGAAAAGGAAAATCTGTAGTGAGTGTGGAAAACAATTAAGATGTATTAATCAGGGAAGAATTCTAATGATTGAATCGCGTGTCGCCACTTAATCAGTTTGAGTACTCTCGACAAATCCGAAACCGAATGGAGGCCAAAAAAAAAGGTAGTGAAAGAGACGAAGAAGAAGGCGTGAAAATTCTGGTATTTATACCAGAAGGAGTGAAAAATGAATTTTCTTCCCATTTTCCTTTAGCATTTTGGACAGGGAAAAATCACATTCAATAAAATACATAAATCGTTTCTCCGCTCAGAGGCAAAGGAAAAAAGAAATATGATAATAAAACAGTGAATTTTGGACACCGATTCTTATACCCAAAGAAAATTGACTCCTTCTCGTCTGCCAACGAGGCGCACCATTGAAGGTCTCTTTGCACACGACAAACCTATAACTTTATGTCATTTGGGGGCTATTTTGAAAATATTTTCTGCCATGTCACACACTAAATTTGTATTTGCTGAAGATTCTCATTCTCCATCGTAAAATATTATTTTCTCTCCTTCGATGAGTCCATAAATATTCTCAAATTCACTTTCAGTCTGAAATTCTCCTACACTGTCACTATTACTTCTCCACCGTATCTTATCTGTTTAGTCAATAAATTTGCACAAAAACTAATCGATTTGCCCCAACAAATCATTTTCCTCTCTTTCTCTCTGTTTTCCCACGCACAAAACAGACGCACACAGAGCGTCACAAATGGATATTTGGTTTGGAGAAGACAAATCACAACCACAATAATAAGTATATAGATTGGATATTCGCAAACTTGCATAAATGTTCAGCAATAGTGGAACTCAATTACCGACAAGGTCACAAAATAGAGCTAAAATACACATTTTAAAAAATCACACAGAGAGAAGATACTTAATATGAACAGTATATATTCGTCGGGTGAATGGAAAACTATGAAAAATAAAAAATTAGCATCAATATTGCTGCGAAATTTGCCAAATTTACCTCAGAACTCAATTAGAATGCTAATATTGCTTTGTAATAATTATTTTCTGAAATTAATTAATAGTTTTTGAGTACATTTTATCCACACAAGATCAAAAGAATCAACTTTTCATACTTTATATGAACTTTTCTCTAAAGTTTTTGAGTGAAAATGTTCAAAAATATGTCAAAAAATCTATTAATTTGAATTCTAAGAGCTTTCAATGAAAACCCTGAGAATCTAACATCAATATGTTTATAAAAAAAGGCGGTTTGAAAGGAATAACTACAATTTTTGAGACAATTTTCTTAGAAAAAATGTACGGCATAAACGATAAATAGTCGACTTTTTATAGTTTAAACTGAAAAGCATGAAAATATTAACATTTTTAAATAAGTTTTAGAACAGATTAACAGTTTTTCAAGACAACAATCGACTTTTCATAGTTTTCAATTCACCCGTCGAAGATTCTCAAGATTCTCGTGTATGAAAAGCAAGATGAAAATTTTCTGATAAAGCGTTTCATGTTTAAACTCATGGCAAAATTGATTATGGTACAATATTGGGTCAATATTTTTAAAAGTTTAATAAACTTTCCGATGTCTGATGCCAAAAGCTCGCCACTTAATTTTCACTCAATTTTTTTTGAGTGAAACATTGTGATACAGAATCTCAACTCGCGGTACATTTTGTGTAATAGAAATTTATGAGATTTTCATGAGGATAAAAAGTGTGTGTATGTGTGGAGATTCGCCCCACCACGCTCGAGTGCCGGAGGGAAAAGTTTAAGAAACTCATTGTTAATTTTACCCTCTTTAAGGACTTGCTCACAATTTTTTTTTCTCTCTTCGCCCATCACACACATCACATTTCCTCGAGAGTGTAATAAAGTGAATTTATCCCCCAAATGACGCCAAAATATTGCTATAAGCGCCTAATTTTATTTTTCTTTCATCCGTGTTGAGACTTTTTTTTCTCCCCCGCAAAATTCTCTTTCTCTCCCACTTGGAACAATTGACGAGAAGAACAATAAAAATACAATTATGATAATTTCACACTTGTCGAATGAATTGTGTGTAAGACAACACCCGTGGAGTGAAAGTGAAAATTTTTTCCATTTTTTCTTGCTCCCCCCCCTTCGCACACCCTGCAAAATTTCAAGCCAGCCGAGAGAAAAAGAGGAAAAACCACCACCAAGAATGGCATCGAGAGTTGAGGGAGAGTCATGAGCATGAAATGTGTGATAAATTCAAATATACTTCACCCTCTCCAACCCCAATGAGAGACAGTGGTGGTGGGAAGATGATGAGCATGAGGACATCCTCCACACAACATAAATCTGATCCTCGGCGAAGCGGTGGAAAAATTGCCGAAAAGAAGGAGGCGGATTATGTGTGTGGGGAAAAGATTAAAATTTCAAAAACGATAAGTCGCATGTTCTTCTCTTCAACCCTCACCATAAAATAACCCACACCCTAATTCACATTTGAACACATATATCCAACATATCAAATAAAAATCCCTCTATAATATCGTAAAATTTCCCAAGTTTTTCCCTCCGCCTTCAACATCTTCGTCTCTTTCCGTGATGTTTGGCTTCATCTATCCTATATATATATAGTGAGTTGCTCTCAACATTTTCCATCATTGTGCTCTCATTTTCAATTAAGAGAGCTCACAAAAGACGACCTGAGAATAAATTTGTTCAAGTTTCAGCGGGAAAATGTTCGTGCAAAGTGGACAGAAAGGCAAAAAAGAAGAAAAAAAACCAATTACCAATTGTGATATTCCCCACTCTCTTTCGCATTCTTCACATGGTGTATTTATATATTGAAAGAAAATATTCTAAAATTTTTACCTGAACAAAAAAGGTATACAGAAGCGCCGAAAGAGGAGAGTCACGGAAGGATAATTGAAAAGAGAGATTGAAAAATTCAAAAGAAATGATATCTGACAAGGTGCTTTCGCGATATGCACATCTAAGAAAGTTTCTGTACTTTCTTCATTGTCAGCAAAAAGTGACGCAACTCATTTTTACTACAACCACAAATAATATGTATGGAAAAATGCAAGAAGTTTGCAGATAAAATGTCTCTTTAGTTAAGAATAACGCGAAAAATACATTGAAAGCACACAATTTCCTTTCCCGCGATCCAAAGAAATTAATGAAATAATGCAGTATTAATGAAAAATTTCATTTCAACGCTCCTTTTTTCCATTAAAGTCAATAAGAACAGAAAAGAAATTGAATACACAAAAGAAATGGGGCAGTGAATTTTTTCCCTTCTCTATAATCAAATTCCCATAAATATGAACAATAAATATAATTCACGTTGTTCTTCTGCTAAAAGGAAAAATTTGTAATGAAATTTTAGGTAAATTTGTAGTCTATTTTCTAGTTAAATATTCCATTTCCATTCAATTTTAGAGCAGAAACCACTTAAGCTCTTCGGTCGTCTTCAAGTCATGACATAAAAAAAAGTCTTTTTATTGACTTCAAATGTCGATTCCAACTCAAAGTCATGTTTGTAAATGAATTCAAAAAGAATTTTTCACTCAACAGACAATATTTAATTAAATCAACTTCACTTTCTCTAATAACAAATAAAGACTTTTTGTAAAATTATCCTTTCTTTTGAGCGCAATTTTGCATAATTTTCCCCACATTATAATATTTTAAAAATATACACCAAAGAGCACGTTTTACAGTAGTTTCTGCAATTTAGAGATTTTATAAGTGACGAAGAATACTAATACTGTTACGTAGGGAGAAGAGAAAGAAAAACTTATCATTGTAAAATAATATACACAAAGAAAAAAATCCCATTGCCTTGTTATATAAAAATTATTAAAAGAAGAAAAATATCTAGTTGAAAAAAAAGAAGAAAGATTAGCGACAAAAAATTGACCAAGTAACATTTTTAGGAAATGTAGAGAGAAAATAACATAATATTCGCTTATAAGTTTAATTGGTCAACCAATTGAACAAGAGATGAGAGTAAACAAAAAAACAGAGAAAGAGAGAGAAAAAATCGAAATTCAAAGTAAATTTAATGTGATTACGACGAGACGCAATATTGAGAAAATGATGCGAGAATATTGAAAATATATAAAAGCTTTCCAATTTTATGTAAATTGAGAAATTGATTGTGAAAATCACTCCGAGAATTGAATGCGCAATTGAAATTTCTCGGCCCAGTATTGATATTTCATCAAAATATCTTTTTTTCTTGCATTTAGCACACACATTTTTTTTCTCTCCCTGGAATATGTGAAAGGGAAGAAGGAGAGGGAAAAAAGTCCAATTTGTATGAAGGTTTCTCCATTTGGAAAGATTTCTACAGATGAATTTTTTATATTGAGACACACAGCGCAAATCTTGGCTCGAGTAGTCGAATTTCCGCGATATTTGTGTGTGTGTAAACTTTTAGTCTCAATCAGAGAAAAAGGGGCTCTTAATAAAATTGAAATTAGCTCTTATAGTGACTGTGTTTTGGAAGGAGGAACATTGAGAATTGTCGTAAATTCTGCGCTCTTTCCCTGGCACAAACAGAAAAGTTAAAGCAAAAGGCAACCGTAATAATAATTCTCACACAAAATTAGAATCAAAAGTTACCTAATATTGTGTTCCAACCATAACTTTATGCAATTCATTACTTAGTATTTAGATTTATTTGACTATATGTAACGTAAAACCCCGACAATGGAATATTTCAGCGTCTGTAATATTCCACAGTTTCAAACAATGTTGTTTGAGGAGATAATTAGAGTGGAATCTTCTTACCTTGGAAATTGTCATAAATATTTACTATATAAACTTTTCAAACTTATACAGCTCCAAAGCACGTACAGGACAATCCAATACTGGAGTTTATGTCTTACAAGTCACGCAAGAAAGACAGAAAAATATTCCAGAAAAAGAATTCAATGAAATTGAGGCAATTAATCCTCACATTCTCTATAATTCACACGTGAGAATGAATAAAATGATAAAAATACTAATTTTATCAGCTACATTTACATATCGACGGGTTAACAGAAAACTATGGAAAGGCAAAATCATGAATTTTCAAGAAAGCGAAGTGAAAATTTTGTGTGAAAATCGCTTCGAAACTTGCCAAATTGACATAAAAATCCCCAAAATACTTTCTAATAATTGTTTCTGAATTATTCAGTCGATTTTTAATAGTTTTCGAGCACATTTTATCCAAACAACTTCTAAATAATCAATTTTTCTACAAAGTTTTCAATGAAAATAATTTATTTATTCAAAATCTAAGAATATTTTAGGCGAATTCTATAATTTAGAATGATTTTCTTTGAAAAAATGTACGTCGTAAACTATAAAAAGACATATGAAATTCTTTTTCAGTCGTATTTTTTGGATAAATATTAATTTATTAGTGTTGCTCCAAAAATACTTAATAAAAAATCGGCTTTTCATAGTTTTCACTTCACCCGGCGATATGTAAGTAGCCTAAAACAGTCTGATAAAACCTTATCAATATTTAACTTGGCTTAGCAAGACACATTTATTATTCTATTCGACAATTCATTGCAAGAATTGCTCCTCCCCAAATTACATTATCTACAACGCATTAATCCATCAAATTATGGCAAACGAATCGCCCTGAATTAGTACTTCAAAGTTCCATCTAGCGCACAATCCCAAAATAGAACTTATCTAGAAATCTAGCAAGGCATTCAATGGCGCAGTAAGAAAGCAATTTCTCAATTAATAACCCCAATCGAGAAATTATTAATATTCCACAAGGGGGTGTGAGAGAGAGAGAATTCCCCAATTATATCATTAACTATCCCCACAATTGCCATCGACAGAGCAGCAACAAATTTCAGTTGAGAACTAACAAATCAGGAATCAATACCCGAGACGAGAGATGAATGAACAGCTATACAGCTTCTCTGGTATCTCTATTCATCTGGAATACATAATGGTACTTTACTACATTGAATTTGCTCCCGATACGACGTCTTCCCCCCTCGCGTGGGGAGGAAAGGACGAAATGTGGAGACTTAGTGCAAGGGAAGTGAGTTTGCGGGTTACAAATTCGACAGTCAGGAAAACTCACTCTTAGCGTTTTTCATCACAGTCGTCTTCCCGCTGATTTCTTCTCATTCCACCACAGGAAAAAAGGAGGAGAGCGTAACAGAGGAAACGAAAATGTAATTCTCTGATTTATGAGTATTGTGTGCGGTGTGTGTGGTTTAGGCGGGCCGCCCGGAGATGCGATGAAAAAGGGAAAATCTCCCTTGACAATTGTATACAGTATTTCTTCAAAGGAGAGAAATAAAAAGCACGATGGAGAAACTTTCATATAAAATTCATTTTTCTTCTGTATAAAAGATCATTTTGCTATTGAAAAAAAAAATTTCCAAATACAACGATATAACCAAAGTGTGATGCCTTTACAACAAAATGGCATTGTTATTCCAGTGAAAAGTGAGTGAGAGAGAGAATCAATGCCCTCAGCATACCTTGTATCTCAATTTCACTTGAGCTTTCCGACACTGAAGAGAAAACTCCTCTAGAAGATCTTTCTTCCTTCCAATAACACTCTCAATTGGGTTTGCGCATTGCCAAACAAACTTGCATGATTTTTCAATTTTAATATTCTATACAGACAGAGAACATCACAGAAGAAATTTATACATTGAGGATAAGACTTCAGTGGAGAAACAGGAAGGAAAGTCAAAAGAAAGTGATACGAGTATTTTCTTGTTATCTAAATTCACAGTGATTGAATCTTTTCTCCCCTGCTTTTTATTCACGACAAGAAAAAAAAGAGTAGGAAGAATTTGTGAATTTCTCTATCAAGTGAAAAATTTATTAAACATGAAATATCAATCAATAAGGACGAGAGAAAGAGCGCAAGAATTTTAAAAGAGAAAGAAGAATAAGGAAGAAAATGTGTAGTCATCACTCAAAGATCAATAATGGGATCATTGTTCCACTCAACACCGTGATTTTCTTTTCCATTCAACACACAAGAAAATTAGATGAATAAATTTTGTATATATATTAGCAAAAAACCACATATTATGCACAAAAATTCACCATAACAGAATTTTCAAGGAGTTTGTCGAGATGAACATAATTTCCAGTGCAAAATGAGGATGAGAAAGAATTACGCAGAACAACTGAATGCTACGTAATGTAAACAATAAGACTATAAAATTATTAAATAAAATATAATAAAAAGAAGTCAGATACTGATATATTTCACTGGGTATATAAAAATCCATACTTCATTGTGATCTTCCCTTTATAGCTTTAGTTTTTTTCAATTTTTACGGCTTTCAGACTCTCCTTCACGAGCTTCTCCGCCAATTTATCATCCCGACTCAATTCAGACGATTCCACAATTTCACAATCACTGCAAGAGAGAGAGAGAGGGATGATTGAAATAGGGTGAACATGAGTGATTCACCATCGGGTGAAATATATGTGAAAATTATACAAGAAATATATTGATACTTGAAAAATTTCCCAGAAACTGCCTTAAGTTTCGGCTCTGTTGCCAAATAGATGGCTGTCTGTGCCCCCTGGGAAGGTGTCTTCATAAACAGCCACATCCACGGATATGTGATGACTTTGGCACAAATTGCCCTCATGATGGGTGAGCTGAGTAAACAGAAGGAATTATTAGTCAGTCTATCGCAGTATCTTTTCAGCTTTTATCACTGTGCTTTCCCTCCATCGCACACACACTCTCTCTCTCTCTCTTTCCCTCCCTCTTTCCATCGGAAAATCCATCCGAAATGGGGCTCCTCTGGCTCCAATTCCCACATGCAATTTATCCTCAATCAATGAATCTACTTTATTCCCAATTGCGATTAATGAGAAATGATACAATTGCAATTAATGTTTTCTCTGTTTCACAGTTTAGTTCCTTCTCCTGAAGTTCATTTAGGAAATTGAAATATATTATTTAAAGCACAAATGCTGCGGGAATCAATAAATTTCCATTAAAATCACATTCGACGGGTGAAGCGAAAACTATGAAAAGTCTATGAATATGACTATGAATATTTCTTATATCTTTTAATTTTTTTCACTTGAAAACCTTAAAGAAAAGTTCAAGTAAAGTATGAAAAGTTGATTTTTTAGAACTTGTTTGGATAAAATGTACTTGAAAACTATTAAAAATCGACTTTGGAAAGTAATATTTTCAGATTTTCTATGAATTTTACCATATGTTAATCAAAAACTCCAATAAATACCAATGAAATCAACTGAAATATTCACAAAATAATAAATACAGATCAATATTTTCACTTTAACGGACAATTTGAAGGCGTTTTGAAGTAAATTTTGCAAATTTCATAGCTTTAATAACGCTAAATTATTTACTTTTGATAGTTTTCGAGTCACCCGTCGACATATATTTCAGGTAATCCATGGAAATAAAATTGTACGGATTATGCTGAATGTATTTTTTCATCCAAGCGCATTTCCCCAATCAATGAATCAAACACATTTTCTGAATTAATACGAGATTCTCTGGTGTGTACAAAAAAAAACCAACGCGCCTATTGATAAAGCCATTCGCTCAGACCAAAAATCTGGTGTCGATATGTACAAAATGATAAACAGTATTCCGCAACAGAAGACCCAAAGTAATACACCGTGAACGGATATAAATTCCCTTTGATGTTCAAACATTGAAGGAAGCTCCACAATCAATACTGAGGATACTGGAGTAATTCTTGAGCAAACCCGTGAGGAGTATTTATCATTCGGAAGCCCCAACTTTCACCTTTGCCACATTGTGCGCAATGGGAGGCAATCAGCGTGTAGTTATCTCGGAAGTCTGTTTCTCCCGAAATAGCACAACGTGCAAATTGGCGTGGAGAGAGAGAGAGATTCACGGGGGCACGCAAATAGGATGGAGCAAAATAAATCACCTGTCGAGGTGTCCTGTTCCACGCACAAGGCCAGGTGTAAGTGAATTCGCCGTGACATTGGTGGTGTGCAGAACACGCGTGGCTAAGTAGCGCGTCGTGAGGATGCTCGCGAGCTTTGCATGTGCAAAAGCATCTCGTGGATGATACGCCGCAGCCCACGGACCGATGTTCAGCGGATCCTCATAATCCATCTTCGCCGTTGTGTGGGCATGTGCTGACACATTCACAATTCGTCCCTGTCGTGACTTCTGCAGCAGCGGCAACGTGAGCATAGTGAGAAGGAAGTGACCCAGATAATTGCACTGCAAATGCATCTCAAAACCATCAGCGGTTAATTCATATGGGTGAAACATTAGACCAGCATTATTTATCAAAATATCAATGTGGCTGCATTTGGTCTCTGCGGAGAGAGAGAGAGAGAAAGGCAGGAAATAGCAGATGATGATTGCATGTTTCGGGGGGTGGGTGGAAAATGGACATCAATCAGAAAACTCACCGAGTGTCTTCACGAAGCGACGAACACAGTCGAAGGACTTGAGATCCATGTAGTTTGCCTCAATTTTAGCATTTGGTTGCACCTTCTTCAGTGACATAATCATCTTCTCCGCCTTTTCCATGTTTCTCACCGCCAATATCACATGTCCTGACCTTGCACACAACTCTTTGCACACCTCCCAGCCAATTCCACCCGTGCCGCCCGTCATCACGACCACGAGACCGTCAATTTTGTTCTCAGATGGACACCTCTGTCCACCCATGATGGCCCTAAAAGGCGGCCCAGCAAGAAGTCACAAGTTTAGCTTAATTAAAATCCCTCACAAGCCCTCAGCCAACACTCACCTCACCGTCACAATTATGCCAACCACAAGTGCCGCAATGTACGGCCACCACGTGCTCAAGGGATCAGCCTTGATCAATTCCTCCTTTATCTGGTCCATTCTTCTTTCAGCAGAGCAAGCACCAACTTGCAAAGAGCCAAAATATCCACTATTTCAAACACTCCAGTCGCATCTTTCTCTCAACACCCCTCATATTCACTCTGCTCCACTCTAAACTACACCGCCATGACCGCGCCAGTGAGTTGCTAATTCAATTCATACGATGTGCTCCACGGAGGAAAGTTTCCCAAACTCCCAAACTAGCATAGCTGAATGACTGCTTGCAACACACTCACATACATATCGCGCATGTGACATATTATAATAATAATACTTCTGGGGCTTTCATACATGCGGAATTTTCGATTGAGATAAATTTCAATTTCCGCTCTTTCACTTACACACATCCCAAAGCTTTAGCACCCACATTATATTGACTCACTCCAACAGTTACGTGTTAAATTTATCGACAGACATAATCTTCAATTGGCAACATTACGCTCCAATGAAATTCTCAGGAGAACTTGTGATCAATTAGAAATCTAACAATGCTGACCATTTTGTGGAGAATTATCAGTTCTGCAAGTTTTCTGCACAGAATTTTAAGTTCCACAAAATTACAAGGGGGAGATAATACAGTCAGAAGTGGTGTACAGCTCAGCAGAAGTACTTAGGAAGTGAAAGTGTTGGGTAACTTACAATATTCCTTTCATGAGAGCTTTTTCTTTGAATGTTTTCCGTAAAAACTAACCTAATAATCACATTTATAGGTTAGGTAGCAAATTAAGGACAGATTTAGTGAATAATTCGCATTCTAGGACAACAATTCTTATACTCAGATAGAAAAGATTCCTAGTCATTAGCAGAATTGAGCAATAAATAGAGAAATTCTGAATATTTGATGCCAAGAAACACTGAAAATTGCAATAAACTCGAACATAACCTTAAAAATATTGATTTAGATGTTGAAAATGTTTATTTAAACAACTTTCCGGACAATTTTGACTGTGAATCAGCAATTTAAAGTTCATTGGCAAATCATAACAGATAATTTAGTGACCTAAAAAGCTTCTAAACTGAGTTTTTGAAGATCTCTTAGTGAAATTTTGAGGTTATGTTTGGTAAAGATCCCTAACAAAGCGATGTACAGATTGTCGGCATATTATTTCCCCCTTGTAAAATTACACTCAGCACTTTTGTACATCTGTATGCACATAAATTAAACACCATTCATTAGTTTCTGTGGTTATTTTTCAATAACTGAAAGCAATTAGCAAATTTGCATGTATGCAAATTTTCACAAAATATGAGAGCATTTTGGAAATTCACCCTCAAATATTGGCAAATATTTCCATGGCAATAATGTCAGTAACACCAGAGAGTCACTATCATCAATGCTTCTCTCTTCACACTCTCTTCTCAACTTCTCATTTCACTTGAGGTTGCGACGAAAAAACGGATATTCAATTGAGTGAATTGCATTTAATTAAAGACAATGAAATTGGATGTGATTTGGACATTTCACAGCGCTGTCACTACATCTAATTCAAATTATATTAGCCTTTTCAGCGTAATCTCATCGCTGGTGTTGTTAGAGCAGCAGTGACAGTGCTGAAGAAGGATTATTAAATTAAATTAAGAAGTGATTATTCAATTGTATTTAGAGAGTTTCTACATTGAAAGCTTGATAGGAAAGTGTCAGATAACTCTTGCTGAAATTAAAGTGTTCATCTTCAATTATTAATTGTGTAATAAATGCTCGTTGTTTGCTACCCAAGAGGCCCAACATATTCCCAACATAACACAAAATAAGGACTTACAAATGGAGAGCATTTAACCGTTAAAATTGAAGATTTTCCCATTCGCTTTTATGGTGAAGTCCTGATAAATTCCTAATGCGAATCCTATTAGATATTCTTCTGTATAGCTTTTTGAAGGCCATGAAGTGAGTTCAAGGGTTACTGTGTGTGTGTGTGTGTGTGTGTGGTCTTCCACATGTTCAGATATTCATGCAAATGTTTGCCATACACAGAACTTATGACCGGAATAACAGCCAAAAACCCTCTTTACGGTTTTGGGACTATCTCTCCAAGAGTGGCCTATCAATATTTAGTCCATTAGCTCATTCACTGCATAACAGATGATCTCCAACTTTGCACTCTGTCACAATTAAGGGAAGATTGGTCAAAGTAATAATCCATTCAGAGCGATTTCCTTCCCCAAACACACAACTCTGGAGTGTCGAACTGTTGTTCTCTCCGCCTGACTTTCGGATTCAGTTGAGTCTGATTAGTTTATTGTTCAACTTGTCTATTGAGACCGTGCTTCTCTTGTCTCTTGTCCAATATCCCATATGTCTCTAACATCCTTTCATTCCCTCCCACTCTCTTTCTCTCTCCTGCACAACACGTGAAGTACAATATCACCTGATAAATAACTAATGGATTGAAGGCCTCTCAAGAGACGACTAGACACAGTTTCTAATTCGACGGGTGCTTAGAAAACAAGCAAAAGCCAAAATATCCGTTCTTCAAATTCAAAATTGCTTGATAATTCCAATTATTTTCTATACTTTTCAGGGGATTTTATTGATTAGGTTTTGAAATATTAACTGAAATGTGCAGAATTGATAGACAAACTCACGATTGTACATTTTTCTTGTATATTTTATTAATAATTTATATAATTTCATTGATTTTATTCAGAGTTTAGAATTATTCGTTAAATATTTTTTGATTAAAAGCGGATTTAAGGAAGCAAAACAACTAAAAGAGCACAGAAAAATATCTATTTGTATAAATCTCTAAAATAATTGCAAATAAATGAAATTAAAAAGCCACTAAATCTAAAATGTCTCTTCTAATTCCATCAAATATCGACTTTCAATACTGCCCAGGTCGAAAAATGCTTCGTAATCTATAAAAAGTGAACAACTTTTGTAAGATAAATCTGATTTCTTTCATTTTATTGCCGATGCACTTAATCTAATATTTATTGACGTGGTGGAAGACATATAGATCTTTCCAAAAATAGATTAGACGTCAACTTTCAGAAGGACACTTTTGATAGTTTTCGACTTACCCGTCGAATTGTGCATTAATGAATAAAATAAAATGATAACACTGAGAATTTCAATATTCAGCAACTCTTATGACATACAAATTGAGACATATTCATTGATGTGTCTCAATAACAATCAAACACCATCCCCACAAGCTCTTTAATTATTCACACCACCAGAAATGGGGGTGGGAAGAAACTGAAGGCTTGGGGATGTGTTCGCCAGCAAACCAGAAACCACCAACTATGACGATGAATTGGAAGGCTGTGAAAGAGGAGAAATCGGACAGAAATGTAGCCAACATTTCCAATTTCATTATACCACCCTTGCTTCTCATCCCTTTCTACCCTTTCTTCCTCTCCTGACGCCAACACTCAAGTTTCTTCTCGTCTCCCGATGAATTATTTCCTATAGCGTCTCTCGAACCATTTTCCCAGACAGTTTACGGAGAGTCTCTTGTCTTCTCCAATATGCAAAGAGATGTGAGATGTTTTTCACCACTGGGAAAACCAACTCACATCCAGATGAAAAACAAATTTGTCTACCTGTGCAGAATGTTGCACACAGAGTGAATTAGAATTTAAACGTCTGTCTCGATATGGAAACAATAAATTTTAGCAATTTTCCCAACTCTTCATTTCTGCTATTTCTCCACCAGAACAAAAAAACCAACCCCCAAACTATATGATACAGTCCTGAAAGGGCTGATAAATAAATTATTTCACCCCTGAGCATAGTTGAAATATTGCACGAGTTGCATTTTCGAGAATATCAATTTTTTACTACTTTTTTCCCACCATCCAAATGCCAGTGGAAAAGCGCGCGATAGATGGAAAAATATAGTCAAGAGTAAACCACAAACAATGTTAATATAATTTCAGCTTTTCACTCATCTAAAATATTCCTGACACATCAAAATAGTGCATGAATGTGGAAAAAAGGAGAGCATTTCCAGTGATGGAAATGATGAAAAAGGGAATAAATTTGAAACAACCATGGAAATTCAAGGATTTTCACCATTGATTTTCTCTATTTTCTCTCTCTCTCTCTCGTCACCGTTTTCTCCTCCTGCACTTCACTTTGTCGTTTCATTAAATGAAGGATAAATACAGAGAGAACATTTAAAATTCCTTCAGTGATATATACTTGCATTTGCAAAGAGAAATTGTCAAAGTGAAATGGACACGATTTCCAGCAGCAACGGAAGATGCACGAAAAGTATATATATATATGGTAAGTATTTAAATAAGAGACTCGTCAATGTGCATAGATATAAAGATTTAGTTCTAAGATGTGCCAACTTGAGAATGTTGTCTTAAACAAGACGAGAATCCTTCAAACAAAATACAGGATAAGTTTGTGAAATGTAGCAAGTGCGAAAATGTATTAATACAGCTTAAAACCTCATTACATTTGTTGCTCCCTCTCACTCTCTGTCTCTGTCTCCCTCGAGTATTCAAATTAACGCATTCTCAAGGGGAATTACAATGAGTTGACAGAGAACATCATTTGGATAATTTCTCCAAATTCATCACTATTTTAACCCAATTAGTGAAGTTATTGGCATAAATTCTTGAATAAATAAATATCAATGAGCGATTTTTCTCTCTCTCTTTCTCTCTCAAAATTCCAACTGAAAATGAAGACAAATTTATCATGCATGAAGAATTTACATAAACTACTAATAATTTCCAAACACTCAGGTAGGAAAAGTTTCAATTTTCTGAATAGTTGGGTGTTGTTTAACAAACATGCTTAACTTAATGAACACTGTTCGTCAACAAGACACCATCGATAAGTGAATTTGTGAAACTTGCACAACCATTTTAAACGAAATTATTTGTCAAATTGAATATTCTCTACTCAAATTTATGACTTAAAATTGCCTTCGACATCTGTTGTCCTTCCTTCCTTCAAGATCAAACACTCCTTTCGATGAATGCCACAGAAACTTGATAGAGAGTTATTAAATTTGCATTTTCGTGTCTCTCTTGTGATGCCTATGATTCATCCAACACGCCAATTTCACGCTTTCCCATTGAGTTTCACAGCGATGAAATCTCATTTAGTGATTTAAGGTGAGATTTAAGGTGAGTCATAATCTTGTCCAGTGTGAATCACAAGATAACTTGAGATATATTCTTGACCAAAATTATCTCAAGAAAAAAAAGAGAGACATTTGCCCCATTTGCCATAATTTCATGGTAATTGGAGAATTTTTACAGCACCTTAATTCCTAATAATTTCCTAAGAAAACCCGCCTTAGCTGAGGCACATTTTTCTCTTGTGCGTTGAGAGTTCAATAGCATGTTGCTCAATTGCTGGCCATGGTCATTAGTGTCTCAATTTTCCCTCCCCAGGAGCGCGCGTCCCCATTTAACCGTCGAGGAGCCACTGTCTCGACATCACTTAATCCAGCGCACTTGATTCTTTGAGTTGCCGAAAGGGCATTGATTACACTTCGTTTTCTCTACTCTCTTTGGCTCTTTCTCTTTTCTTATGCCATTCTCTCCACACGGGGAAAATATATATATATGGGGAAGAATATGGGTGTTAATGTCAAGATGGAGAGCATGAAGTTGGATCTGTTTTGACCGGTCTCTCCCCTCCGTGTGTATTCTCCAACGGAGCCGCCAAAGACACATCTCTCCGTGGCCAAGTGGGTGTGAAAGAGAGATGACTATATGTGCTGGAAGCGCGGTATCCCCCCAAAATACTACACACAAACACACACACACACGCGTCCAACGACGGCAGAGCGCAATAGAATTTTCTCAAAAACTCACCCAGAGCAAGAGAGAGAGACACCGGGAGCACACAAGTCAGTCACAGAATCTCCATTCAACAGACTAGTTGGTTCGCTCGGCATTTTTGCCCCCCAGTCGCGCAAATGGAGGCACTCAGTTGTTGTCTGTGAAGTTGGTGCTCCTGGCGCTGCCACGATTGCTTCCAGCGAGCCGCCAAGAAATTGTGCTGCGTGGCACGAAGTGGTCCCTGAAACCAAGACGGAAAAGAGAGGGAGAGAGAGAGTTGAAGAAATTTCTTGTGGCTCCTGTTTGTGCAGTGTTTCTGTGAAGGGAATTTTTGGATTTCGGAATTCATATTCTACATGGTGATCAACTTCTTCTCTCTCATCATCATCTAATATACGGCGGAATCTTTATACCTCCTCTCGCCACATACATGCAGAAAATGGGTGTCTCGCTCTCTCGCGTCCAGAGGAATTAAGTGTATTTGGAAAAGTCACACACATACACACATCTCCTCACGGCTAAAGAGGCATTAGATCTCGCGCTCTCCCCCGAGAAACTCGTCAAGCAGCCAACACACAAAGTTGTGGATTCCATCAGAAGAGATTCGTGTCATCGCGCGTAGCATTTTTATCTGTCAACTCAATTTTCAGTGCCACAATCTCATTACGCTTTTTTTTTGCTCCTCCGCTCATCATCGCGCGTCCTCTGGCTGCGTTGTGTTTTGTGTGTGGACGACAACACCAGCAGAACAGCCACACTCTTAATCCTCTCCTCATCTGCGTTGTGTGGAAGAGGAGCCCCAAAATCCACGCTCAAAACCCTCCTGGTGAAAGTGAGAGAGAAAAAAAGTACAGAACGTGTCAAAACAAGAAGATACAATCCAATGTGAAAAAATAACCAATTGTGTGACAAGCAGAGAAAATAACCTCTAGTGACTTGCCAAATGATAGCATGTGAAGTTGGTGGATAAAAAACCATCCCCCTGAAGAAGAATCAATTTTATATGTGAAACAAACCCCTTGGTTCTCCTCCTGTTTTCCTCTTTTTTTTGCAACTCTACACAACACACCTTCTCTCTATACCTTTTTTTCCATTTAATTTTCCACACTCATTTGGTTGTGCCTGTGTGATTTTTTTTTTACCTCGCGCTACACATCCTCCCCCCACCCCACAGTGGACACACATCTCCTCTTCAGTGGCATCACGACAGACAGAAAGAGAGTTGAGAGAGAGAGAGGAGACACACCAGCAGCAACAGAGGTGAGTCGAGAGGTGGAAAAGTACCTAATAATTCATGATTTTTTATCACAAAAAAAACCATCAACTATCGCGTGAAGTGCCCCACCTGTACTCCTTATGCAGGAAAAAATTCAATTATCAATCTCCCAGCCAGAGCATTGCATTGCAAATCAATATTGATAGGACGATGAAGGGAGGGAAAAGCAGCTTCTGGAGAATCACTTCAGTTTCTCTCTTCTCGAATTTTCACATGAAATTTACCCTTCTATTTCACTTCAACGAGCCGGGTCACACTGGACGACACAAGGCTTGGAACAGGGACTAAAATAAACAGCTAGAGAATATTGGATAACTATTGAATACAAGAAATGGCCTCAAAGAGTTGAAATTGATATCAAAATTTCGTCTTAATATTCTCTGATGCAGAATTTTCTTCCTGATCCGGGAAAACAGGGAAAGTCAGAATCAAAATCTCTGCAGCATTAAGTCCGCTCATAAATAGTAATTATCATAGATTCTTGTGTTCTTATGTTTAAAGGCCTTTAGAGGTAATAAATAGATATTTTCTGGTATTTATTGTCCTCTATGAGACTGAAAATCATGAAAAACCAAGATTAATTCCTCAATAGATAATCGATGGCGTCGTCAAATCGATCGATATATCGAGAAATCGAGTTTCAGACACGTAATTTGAATGTCTTACAAACCCCTTGTTTTTGGGACGTTGAATGGAAAAGTTTTTCTTTCTACTTTAATGCAAGTTGGAAAAGAAGTGCTTTTCTAATTAGCTTACTTGGCACAATTGCAAGTTTTACTCGTTTTACTCAAACTCGAGATTCTTCATTTGGAGGAAAATGAGAGAAAAAAACACTGTAAAATTAACAATTGAGCATTGTAATTGTGAAGGAATGCAGAGAATTGCAGTGATTTTGGCTAGAGAATTTCAACTAAAATCTTGTAAGAATCAACAGTTGGTTCGCCAGATTCATCAGCATTGTGACTCACATTTCATCTCTTATTGTGTCTAGTCTTTTGCCACCCACTGTACTTGTGGTTTTTCATCAAATTCCACTCAGTGTGACCTCCTTTATGGGATGGCACAGAAAGCGACAGAGAAGAGATTTTATTCTTCGTCTGGTGAGGAAGTACATTAGAGAATTTGTTGCTTCTTCGCCTCTTGTCATTCACTCGAAAGAAAGGTAACGGGATATTACACTTAAATACCACACGGCAAACCAAGCGAGAGAGCATACATGTGCGAGACTTTTTCGCTCTTTCACTCTTTCAACCATTTTTAAACAATATAATTTTAATGCGTGTTTGATGACCTTACCATTCAATAATTCAGTTCAGTGCGTCAGCATTCAGAGATTCCATTGGCAAAAGTGTGTGTTGTTGTTGTGTGCTTACGAAGGTGTGTTTGACTGAAGAGTCAAACAGACAGTGTGAGCGAGAGGCGTATAGACCAACAGGCTCTACCGGCTCTCGAAGTACGTTTTTTTTGCCATCCAACGCAACCCCACGGCTAAACTTGGGCAGAGACGCAACCCTCCATTGAAGAATTATTTGAGCATCATTGAAGGGTGTCCTTGTAGAGAAATTAGTGTCCTTCTTCGACATCATCTCTTTCAAGCTTTTAGAGGTTCAAGAGGGGTCAAATGCTCAAGATGCCGAACCACTCAGTGCCTTTAGTGGGAGCTGGAAGAAGAGGAGAAATTGAAGAGTCAGATGTAAACGTGAAAAGCTAGAATTATTTATTTACAAAATCTCCTGAGAAATCTCTAATTTTTCCATCATCTCTCCCACCACTGACCGATTTTCCACCAAATTTTCCCCCCACACTCACTGTTTTTTTTCCTCCCGTTGTTCCTTACCCATGAATTTCTCATCCCCTTCACTGCTGCCCCTCTTTTCTCGAGTGATATTTATTCTTGGCACGGAATCATTCCTTTTTCTTCTATATATACACAACATCATCATCAGTGGCGGGCATAAGTAACAACACACACAGAGAGAGAGAAGAAATATGGAAAAAAATGAAAATATTTCATTTCCCCTCACAAGATATTTTTTCCTTCCTATTGAAAGACTCTAGTTCTCATTTCTTTTTATTTTATACGCTCCTTCTCTTCCTCTCTTCTCACTCTCTTTCTCTTCATTTCACCCAAATACAAAAGAGACGACAGAGGAAAATAAAAACACGAAGGAAATAATGAAAAAAAATCATTAATTTCCTCCCATTCCGCCCAATGGTGGGAGCATCCCCAACAACAACCCCTCAAGCACAATATTGAAACTGGATGAGCAAAGGACCGAGCAATGTGAAAATTTTCGCGATTTTCCTCGTGCCACTGACTCTTCACTCCTTCTCGCTTCGGTCACAGGGCGCTCATGCCGACGAGGAAAAGCTTTCAGAATAACAATAATTTATTGCTTAATGGTATGTGCGAGAGCTAGAGGAAAATAATTTTGGTAATTTCGCAAAGGCTGTGCGTCTCAAAGAAATCTAACTTGGGCATAAATAAACACACGCACACACAGGCGCGCATTTCGCGCCTATCAAGAAAATTACAAGGGGGAGATAATATGGCATTTCTCTGCAGAATCTGTAACACTTTAGGCACTTATGAACGACTTTAAATGCATTTTCTTATCACAATGTAATCCAGGTTTTATCGTCTCAAGATGTTGAAACATTTAAGAATCTTAGATTTCATTTATAAGAATTTGCTTACAAAAGTTCTTATTATATTTTGAGGTTATGATTGTGTCTTCAAAAATCTTTCTCAGACTAATTTTAATGCTTTAAAACCTGAAAATGAGTAAATATGGCGAAAATCTCAATATTTCTACTAAAAACTTAGGTTAACATTCTTTTACACTTTAAATTAAGTTTTTGAGGTTATGATTGACTTTAAAGCTGTTTCTTATCACTGAAATTTAACTAATCTGAAGATTTTCGTGAAAAAGAGTCATATTCTCAGAGTAAACACTGATTCTGATAATTTTTAGGGTCATTTAACCATCAGAATCTGCTTTAAATCAATCAACATAACCTAGAAATGCCGTAAGAAAGATTTTTTAATGGCTCAATTTGTTGAAACAGTTGCTTTTTCAGTGGAAATACACTAAATATTTCGCCACTTCCAATTTCTAACACTTCTCTGAGAACTGTACACCACTTCCGATCATAATATCTGCCCCTTGGAAAATTAGAAGATAAAGAGAAGTCACATAGTCAATTGTTGGTAGATCAGCGTGGAAAACCGCTGCTTCTTTGATTGATTTCCAGCCACTCTGGTGATCTCGATGTGTTGTTGTAAAATATAGCTCTAGAAATCCCAATCAAACCACCCAATAATCAAAGAGAACATTTCGTACCGATATCTCTAACTGTTTACCGTCCGGCATTAATTAGAGGCGCAAAAACATTGGGAGAAAAAGAACAACAGAGTGTGGAAGGGGCAAATAAGCACAGAGTGGTAATTAATTTTCAATTCACGACACAAGACTTCAACATCATTTGTACCAACCACCGAAAGAGTGTCTGTGTGTGTGTGTGTGTGTGTGTGTGTTTGATGGGCAGGTGCAAAATTTGCGCGAAAAATGAGGGAAAAATCAATGAGCTTTTGCTGCCACACAATTTTCTAACAGGTTGGCCATAGAGACGCGCCGCCAGTGTGTGTTGTGTTGTGTTGTGGAATAGCGCAAATCCCACGAGATCGGGCGAAGATGTATTGGAAAAAAAAATTGTAGAAAATGTTTTTCATCATCTAAAACAATTAAATAACACCATGAGTCAAGGACACCACTATAGCATTCAGAGAGTCATGATTGCTAATGCCCACTTCCCACCCTCTTCAATTGCCTCTCTCTCTCTCTCTCGTTTGCTCTTTAGCCGCAGCGGGAAAGAAGAAGAAAAAACTAACAGTCAAACACATGCAAGATTTGCTAGTGACGATGAAAAATCTATATGAGAAAGAGCAGTAGAAAAATTATTTGTAATCACAGACAGAAATAGAAGAAGAAATTATAACGTATATTGAGGAGGGAGTCACCATAGAATTCAATGAAATTCTTCCTCGCATTTTCTCCGTGTTGAATTTTTCATCAATGCCACCATTGAGAGGGTGTTTATTGAAGGAAGAAGAAAAAAATATATAAATGAGAATATTCCCTCTACATTCTCTCACTCCATTCTCAACCCATCTCGACATCAAGAAGCTGGAATTTACCTTCTCCTCATAGCACTTCTAATTGCATTTACGTACCAATTAGTTTAATTGATTTTCATACAACACACAACACATTAATCACATTATATTTCATCTCCCACGTCTTTTCTTCTCCTCTGTTCCCTTCTTTTCAGGTGAAGCTGTGAAAATTGCGAAGAGATTAGCGGAAGGCGAGAGTGAGGAGGGAGACGACGAGGGAGAGAGAGAGGAGGACTTTTTAACTCATTGAAGGCGCACAGAGGCGTGCCATCATTGAGTGGCTGAGAGGCAGAAAAGGACAATCGCCCCAGAGGAACGTGCAAAATCGCCTGGGGAAGATGGAGGATCCAGAAATTACATTTCTTTTTCAATTCGGCAATCTACGTGACACGGTGACTGTGGCAATTCCAACCCTCAATCTCAAATCACTCAAGGACAGGGCGTGTGACTTTATCAACACAAAGGTGAGAAAGATTGTCAAATCACTCACATTTTCTTCCCTTTTTGTCTGTGGAATGTCGTACATCCAATGCTGTTTTTCCCCAATCCACATTATTTTTTTCCCTTGACAGGGTGTAGCAACCAAAGTGCTCCGAGCGCAATTTACCAAAGCTTTCAACTTCCGTTCACATTGATTTTTCTTCCTTCTTGTGGTGCACACAGGGAAAAAAAGACGTTAGGCACAAGGGGGAGATAATACAGTGCCTTAAACATATGTTTTCCTTACATTCCAACCGCTTCAAGTATCATAACCTCAAATTTAGGCCGCAATTGTCATAAACTACTAAATTTTTACTCGTAAGACCCTGAAAAAACTTACAGAGAAACAGAATTTAAGAAATATTTAAAGTTTTCAGCAGATATTTTAATGTGATTAAATTTTTATTCGCTTTTTTGGATACGCTGCTGATCATAACCTAAAAATTACCTTGAGATACATTAAAATAAAGCCCAGCAATTGCCAACAAATGAGCTGAAATTTGCTATTTTAGAGTAGAAAATCAAATAGACAATTTTGTATCCTGAAACCAAGTCTGAAACTATATTTTAGAGGTTATGATCAATATTAGCGTAATTAACACAGTTTAATATTTAATCACAAACGCTGAACTTTGCTAAGGAATATGAACTAATTCAATTTGAGTGCATAAAATTGTGTTTTCCGATGATATTTAGTCACTAAATTGTGCTTAAAGTTAGTTACATAACCTAGAAAAACTAGAAAACTAGAAATTGATATTGAGGAAAATAGTGTGAAAAACCTTCAAGTTTTGCGTTAATTTACTTCGAAAGTAGCTCTTAAACACCCTAATGTTGCAAATATTCCAGCACTTCCACTTCTTAACACTTCTGCTGAATTGTACACCACTTTCTGACCATAATATCTCCCCCTTTGGTTAGGCACTGTCAAAAGCATACACTCTTTGTCAGCGACTTGTCATTGTACTTTGCCTCCTTCATTACCTTGTTAGGTGAAAAAAAAGAGAATAGAATTCTTTTTCGTTGTTCAGAATTAGATCACATCATGACAAACACAAACACTCAGCACAATTGAGGCGCTGCGAAACAATAAAAAGAAATCAATTGGCAGCGAGTGACAAAAGTTACCGCCACTGAGCGTTCCCACAGCTTGTCTTGGAGCATGATTTGCGGGTGGCAAAAGAAGCCACCCACGCAAGTTTCTCTAATCTTCAGTGATGCGAAAAGTCGCCAATGGAAGAAGCTTGTAAGATTTATTTGAACTTTCACAGCACGACTCGGCAAAATTCTGATAAGTTTCAGTGGAATTCAGTTGAGAGGAAAATCCCCTCTTATATAAATCCATAATAATAAAAATAAATTCACCATACAATTTATCATCACAGAAATTAGTACCAAATCATGACTAATCAATATACAATTTAATCAATCTTCAATCTATAAAAGTGCTCTTGAGATGCTGTGTTTGTGAGAAGGAATTATTTATGACATTTTCATACAATGAAATTAATATTGGCTAAAGCATCAAGAGTGGAAATAACTCAAGGAGACACACTAAAATCACTTTGATTTCTTTTCATTCCCTCTCAAATTTCCTTCCTCTTTTTTTTCTTTACCCTTCTCCTGGAGATAAACTTTTATTGTCCACACGCCTCTCCTTCGGCATCCTTGAGTAATTTTTCTTTTTATTATTTAATCTCCAGTCAAACATGCCAAATGCGAATCTCTCCTCGATCATTCACTCATTTTTATGGTTCACTCGAAGAACAATTCAACATTACATACTGTTGAAATCAATTAAGGCACACGAGGCACAAGAAAATTGTCATGGCAAAATCACAAGGCATTTTGTTGTAACACAATCCTTTAATCAAATCCCCGAGAAAGTGCTGAGTGGCATGCCACAAGTGGTACTTTGGCTTCAATTCAATCGTGGGTGAATTTATCTGGAATGGCCCAAAACAACCACCATGATAGGCATGAATCTCGAATTCAAATCAACTCTAAGTGAATTGCACATCATTAATTTCCCAGAACACCACCTCCGAGTCTGTCCACAGAACTCCACAAAGTTTACACTACAAGACATATAGAGGAGTGTTTATTTTACACAGTTTTCTACGAAGGGTTGCTAATGTAGATTTTGAACACCTCAGCATCTTACGTCCGAAGAAAGCTCCGTTCGAGATTTAGACATCTTAGAAAATATGTCCAGAGAGAAAAAGAGTGGAAAATGAAGGAGAAAAATAGATTTTAGGTGTCAAATTGTCTCTTCGGGAGAAATTTTAAGTCTGAAGACAGATTTTAAAGCGTTGAAAGAATTACGTGATAGAGAATTTTGTACTTTATACTTTAAGAAAAGAAATAAATCTGTGAGAAAAAGTGTATTTTGAGGGTAGAAAATGGAATTTGAGGATATTTTTCCAGTTTCACACTCGTTTTTATCGTAAAACCTTGCGTAAAACCGTAAATATCCGATTAAAGATCAAGTATTATAGTAATATCGTCTATTCATTGGTGTTGACAAGCTTTTCAGCTAAGAAATTCGCATTTTCTCTTTAAAAATTGTTCACAATTCTTTTATAAATAAATTTTGAAGAGATAACAAGATAAAATATCTGTTTATTTTTCAAGAATAACCACGAAATCGCTCTGCAATGAAATGAATATTAATAGAAGAGAATTTGAATTTGCATCTCAAGCTAAAAGTGACACTGCATCCCCAACATTAGCAACCCCTTGTGTGTTATGTGTGTGTCTCAAGGGCTGAAAAAAATAGTTCAGCATAAAATGTATCAAATAGCGACTTTAAATCATCTCAAATTCCCATCAATTTGTCGCTCTCTCGGGTGGTGGGAAAGCAAAGTCAATTCATTAGATGAAATTGAAGATGTACACCGTAAGGGTGGGCGTATTGAGGGGAAGGCAGAAAAAAAAGTAATAAAATAATAGGGATATTTCGTTGTTCATCTTCACCCAAACACACAACTTCTTTTGGCGTCCGCTCTTCGCTCTCTATATTCCACTCATGTGTTTCACGTCACAAATTCTCATCTTCCTCTCTCCATCATCAGCCCCACGGCTATTCCCACACTACCTCCACCTTTCCTGGCCCTCTTCCATCTTCCCATCCACTGTGTTTTTTTCCTTCCTCTCCTTCGCCGCCGCCGCCGCCACTTTTCCGAGTCAGTCGTCAGTCAGTCAAGTAGGAGCGCTTCTTGAGCTGACGATGACGATGAGGAATAGAGCGTATAGAGAAGTGGAGAGATTTTCCACGGAGTGCGGGAATGATTGAAAGAAAAAATATGTCAATGCTAACAGTTTTATCTAATCAAGGAAATTCCACCCAATACGAAATTGTGTGTGGCAAACGAGCATCTCTCAACGTGACGGTGGCGCTCATTTGCCCTTATTCCCTTCCCTTCCCAGATTACATACAACATACAGGAGATGAGCACATGCCCTGTGACACAGAGCATTCTCAAGTGCTGCCCCACGATGGATGATATGATAAAAGCGAGGCGGGGGTGTGTGCATTCCCCAATGTTTGTACTACACATGACGTATAGAGACATGTGAAACACGATCGACGAAAAAATGGAGGAAAAATCCAAACTAAACTCACACACGTAATACTCTTACGCGTAATTGATAAGCACATTTCCAAGAGCATCATTATCGTATCACTATAATGTGCTTCGAATGTGTGTAAATTGGCACTTTGGGCTTTCACACAATCAAGCGCCGCCGAAGAGGCGCATAGAAAACTTTGTCCACCGCGCTGAATATCAACAATTAAGGTATAAACAGTCACAAAACACCGCAAACTGTTGGCGTTGATGTTCTCTCATTTGTGATTTCACGGGGAAAATTGTTTCATCATCTTGCCTTTCTCTCTCTCCCCCTTTTCTGCTTATCTTCTCCCGAGCAGTGATTCCGCATCAGAGGAAAGTGTAGGGAAAATTGAATGAGAAAACTGACCTCCGATTGAGGGACAAATTGCTCTGAACAATTGATCAGCAGTGGAATGGCAAATAATTCAAACGTCCATTTGATCTCAATTTGTGATTGATTCATTATTGCACGGAATTCGTGATTTCTTCGTGAATATGTGAACGAAAAATCGTCTAAGATTTCTTGTGATGTTTTTTTGCCAGTGTTGAATTTGTGTGGTTTTGTGTGTCAATCTCCAGATAAAAGTTTGCGCTTATAGGAATAAATTATATCCGCTATGGAGAATTATTATCAATATGAAAATCTCACAACTTTAATTAGATGTCTGTGCGCAATGCCAAAGCATCTCTCACATATCTCCAGTTTATTTCCTCGTCAATCAGAAAAACCCATTACAGATTATATTCTTCCAATTGAAATATCGATTTATGAGTGTAATTTGAAATTCCATTAACATTCACAAGTGAATCGATTGCGCAAATTTCCACCCTCATTGGAGTTCAATTGGCAAAAAGTTGCCCTCATGCACTGAACTCTCTCTCTCTCTTTTTCTCTCTTTCCTTCGCTCTCTCTCTCTCCAGAAGTGGAGCATTGGATTTGTGTAATTGAGGAAGAAATGGTGTGTCTCTATGTGTGTGTAGATGAAGAAAATGCTTGAGAAAATGTGAAAGAACTCACGAAATTGATGGGGAAGGAAGAAACATTAATAATTTCCGGTCTTTTTGCCTCTCTCTGTTGCAGATTCCTGAAAATGGCCTAAGCCACTTGGCAGATCGTCTACTGTTATTTCGGCACGACTACAATAGCCCAAATGTCCTCCAACTGGTCAATTCAGCGGCGGAAATTGTTGATGAGACTCTCATTGAAATTGTACTGACGGCAAATGGTGAGATTTCACTTCTTGTCTTGAAGAAATTCAACACAACTTACGCGCCACTCTCTTTCTCTCTCTCTCTTTCATTTTCTCACAAATCGTGGGCAAAAAAAAAAACAAAGCAGCACTACCATATTCCAGTGGGAGTACCAGAGAAGATATACCAACAGTCTATCCTCACTCACTGTCTGTTCACTCCTACAAGGCACCCACTTTCTGTGACTTTTGCGGCGAAATGCTGTTCGGTCTAGTCCGACAAGGACTGAAATGTGATGGTGAGTGGCTTTTTGTGTGCAATTGCTGCTGCAGAATAAGAATTATAAGAATCCATATCAATTCACCATGTAGGATGTGGACAGAATTACCATAAGAGGTGTGTTGTGAAAGTTCCAAACAACTGCCATCGATCGGCAGATCCCACGCGAAAGACTTCCACATTGCAGCCGCCACGATGTCCGTCCGGCTGCTCCAACAACTCCTCCCTCGCCGACGATCAATCAACGACCGGCTCGGGATCGTCTTTGGTAAGAAAGATGCAGCAATTGATGAATGACATAAGAAATTGACAACTCAACATTCCAAAAATTCACATGATTTTTCCTTAATCCGTCCAATCCTTTTCTCTCTATAGAGGATAATTTTTTTTTAGAAGGATAAACAATTGTCTAGAATACTCTCTTAAAACTTCACCTTTCAATGCAGGAGTAATTGATATTCAGGTCACTAATGTGGCTTTTAGCAAGACCAATAATATATGTTGCAACTTTTCACAGCTATAAGAAGACATTCTTGAAACACTTTAACACCCAAAAGAATTCGACCAAATCAGTGATGTGATTAAAGAACCGGCTGCCAATGTGCCTGTGAATTAATAAGATTGCTCAAAATATATTCCTCAATCACAGGGTGATTCGTTGAATTTAATGCGCAAGAAAAAGAAGCCAATTTGGAGATATTTCTGCTGTACAATTTTCGCCAAAGCACATTTCCCTTTGACATGAAGGAAAATGCTTTGATACAACTTTTCTTTTACTTGTAACTGCAAAAAATACATTTCAATTGCTTCAGAAATTCCATAAAAGTGGCATGATGTGTGAATGTCTTTGAGAAAGGTGGAAGTGCAAATAGAAATACTCTGTAAATATTGAATTACTCCTGGATTAAAGTGATGAAGTATTTTTTGGTGATGGGTCTACAAGTGATAAGATCTGAAATTATGAAGATAATGTAATACTTTTTTATATTTTTGGTTGTGTCTTCCTAGCAAATATTCTTTCTCATTTTTTTTTGTAAGAATGAAAAAAAAAAACCATTTCTTTTTACCCAATAAATGATTATGATTTGCAAAATTTTTGCTTATTTTGTCCTTTTCTTTTCTTGTTTTGGCGGTTTATCGTTGTTTTTTTTTTGTGGTGAAATTCCAGATCTTGTCACTGTGTATGCCTTGTTAAATTCCATCTTTTTCCCCTTCCCTTGAAATATTCTATGTGCAAAAAAGTGCTTATAGAGCGTCTTTCTTCGTTTCTTTCACCCCCCGAAATTCCAGTTGAATAGATCCCCAGTTCCGGGCCATTCTTATGGCAGTAGCAATTCCGGCCGAATAAGCATACCACATCGATTCTTCCTGCACTCGTACACACGACCCACAGTGTGCCAATATTGCAAGAAACTCCTCCGTGGTCTCTTCAAGCAGGGCGTTCAATGTCGCGACTGTCACTACAATGCTCACAAGAAATGTGTGGACAAAGTGCCAAAAGATTGTGTTGGAGATTGCTCAACTGGTTAGTGTGGCCCCAAAATTGCTTATTGAATAGTTGACAATGTTACACACTCTGTCTTTTCCCATTAGATACATTTGCTCCAGACCTCAATGATAGCAGCATCAGCAGCGAACGAGACTTTAAGGACGAATTCGAAGACAGTGACTTCGATGACAATGCATTCAACAATCATAGACAGAATGTGCCACCAGTTAAAGTGAATGGTACCATTCATGAGCCAGAACTCGACCTCCTCGACGCCACTTCCGAACAGTCCAGGCAATCCAGGTGAGCGCCAAATTGCACACACACAAAATAGCCAGAAATCAAGGGGAAAATCACAAGGCGATTGAAACTTAAGTATTTTCGGCAAAATATTGAAAGATTTTCTGGGATATTTAATCAAAACTTCAATATATTTAGATTTTTGATCATTATCTCCACATATGGTCGCCAGAGGGCAGCAAAATAGGCGTGGGGGACGCTATTCATGTTCAAGAAAGAAGGAAATTTAAGATTAAAGCGTCGCGGTGACAATTTTCGTGATTTATTCGTGTCTTTTTAAATATATTCAAAAAATTACAGATTATCAAGAGTGTTTAAAAAACTGCTGCCCTCTAGCGGCAATTTGTGGAGAAAATAATCACTAAATAAATGAAAATCACGAAGAATCACATATTTATAAATATTCACAAAGTTAAGTGGTCTAAAATGGCGAGTGATTTTCCCCTTTGCCAGAACTTTAGTTGAGAGATGATTGAGTCTCGAATTATAAGAGCAAACTTGAAGGATTTCAAGACGCCATTCAATTGAGCGCGCGCAAAAAACCTTCAGCGCCGCACATGATATATTCCCTCTTTCAATGGTAATCATCTTTTCACTTCATATAGTCATTATTTTACTATTTTCCAATGGCGCGGAGTTTTATTATTGTCTCACAGAGAGACGTTTTTCAATTTTTGAAATTAATGCTTAATGGCTCAAGGATATAACCCTCAACTGGGTGTCTTCAAGTCATAAACTCTCTCTATCTTGCCTCTGTAAATTGCAGTGAGATTTGCAGAGAAGCATTAAATGAAAGAGATTCAATTTTGCCAACTCAAACTTTACCCTGTGTCAGTTCTTCATCCTCCCCCAGCGCCAACATACCCCTCATGAGAATCGTGCAGTCCGTGAAGCACACCAAACGACGCGGCGACCGGGCGATGAAGGAAGGCTGGCTGGTGCACTTCACCAACAAAGACAAGACCGTGAAGCGTCACTATTGGCGTCTCGACTCCAAATCCATCACGCTCTTCGTCTCGGATCAGGGCAGCAAGTACTACAAGGAGATCCCATTGAATGAGATAATGGCCGTGGACACTGCGCGAACACTGGTGGGCGATGTTTATCACTGTTTCGAGATCAGGACTGCAACTGTTGACTACTACGTGGGTCAGGATCCGCTCAAGGATGGCGAACTGATGATACTGCCACCGCCCGACAGTGGAGTTGGTGCGTACTTAGCCAAAAGCTGGGAGACTGCCATCAAGCAAGCCCTCATGCCCGTGACCAAGACCTCGGCGACTGACAATGAGGAGAATGTCCAAGATATGGGACAACTCTATCAAATATTCCCCGATGAAGTGCTCGGATCGGGACAATTTGGCACGGTTTACGGTGGAATTCATCGCAAGACACATCGAGAGGTTGCCATAAAGGTGATTGACAAAATGAGATTCCCAACGAAGCAGGAGGCACAGCTGAAGAATGAAGTTGCAATCCTTCAGGTGAGCTTTTATTTTATCATAAAATACCCAACAACAAACACTCAACTAAATCCATACCCAGGGCAAATCTCATAACACACACATAAGAGCCCCTGTTTATGTAATCAGAGACCATTGCGGAAAATGCTTGACTGAAATGACATCAAAGGCAGATGAAAAGCGTATCTGGGATGACAAAGAATTCCAACAGCAAAAATTTTCACCATAAAATATACACACAGAAAGGACACCCAATTCCATTGCCTCTCTCACACACACTCTTTCCACATCTTTTTTTTCTGCAGAACATCTCCCACTGTGGCGTTGTGAATCTCGAGAGAATGTTCGAGACACCAGAGAGAATATTTGTTGTGATGGAGAAACTCAAGAATGACATGCTGGAGATGATTTTGTCAAGTGAAAAGGGAAAATTGAGTGAACGAGTTACAAAGTTTCTCATAACACAAATTCTTGTTGCACTTAAGCATCTCCATAGTAAGAATATCGTTCACTGTGACCTCAAGCCGGAGAATGTTCTTTTATCATCTGACAATGAATTCCCACAAGTGAAGCTGTGTGACTTTGGCTTTGCTCGCATCATTGGGGAGAAGTCCTTTAGGAGGTCCGTGGTGGGAACACCGGCCTATTTGGCACCTGAGGTCCTGCGGAATAAGGGATACAATCGATCACTGGATATGTGGAGTGTCGGTGTGATAATCTACGTGAGTCTGAGTGGCACTTTTCCCTTCAACGAGGACGAAGACATCAATGTTCAGATACAAAATGCCGCATTTATGTATCCACCAAATCCGTGGAAGGAAATCTCGTCAGATGGTAAGAGACAAGCAATGGCAAATTCGATGCTCAGACAGACAATAATAATAATGCGTGGCATTAATCCCAACATTACAGCCATTGATCTGATCAATAATCTCCTGCAAGTGAAGCAGCGAAAGCGCTTCACGGTGGATAAGAGTTTGCAGCACACTTGGCTCCAAGACTCCCAGACATGGAATGATCTGCGCGCCCTGGAGGCCTCCGTGGGCATCAGATATCTCACACATGAGTCCGACGATGCCCGCTGGGCGGCCACAGGACCCTGACCCCTGGACTCACCGGAGCACTCCCCGAAAATCGACGCCGTTCGCGGGAAGGCGATGAAATGGGTTCGTGGAACATTGTGTAAATTTGCAAAGGCCTAAAAAACAAAACACTATAAATATATATTTGTTAATAATTTTACTAGGAAATTATTAAAAAAAAAACACGCGCATTATACACCAATTTTAAAGAAAAAAATGAGATAGGATTTACAAGAGAGAAGCAACATGATAAGAATGATTGATGTAATTGCCCAAGAGTGAATATTTGCTAAGAGAAAAACCACTTACAAGAAGTCTCAAAATATAGGTTTATAAATCTACACACTAATATGTGAGATTACTGATATAAATGATTAATGAAATATATTTCTTGTGGAATGAATAATCTCATATGACCACAAGAGTGGATAGAATTGCTTCAAGAAAGAAAACATAAGAAAAAACAGTGGATAAAGTGAGTTAGAGAAGTATGAAACATGAATTTATCTTTCTCAAAGAAAACCAAAATAATGGGTTTATTGGCAAAATACAATTTATATCGAAGATAAAAATATAGGTTTTAAAAGAGATACATAATTATTGAATTATAAAAAGCTGTATCCCATAGAAATACTCTCATTTAAACATACAAAAAAGAAAAGATATATAATCTAAAATCATTAATAAAATGATATTTGAAAAGGAAGAAAAGAAAAATACATTAACATTCCTTAAGAGATTTTTTTTTGGATAACAACGAAAATCATGTAAAAATTTTTTACACAAATTGCACATAAATTCAAAACATTTTTTAAATCAAAATTGCGTGTGACCTTTGATATTACAAAAAAAAATAAAAACCTTCAAAGGACATTTTTGCTTAAAATTATTCTCTTTTTTCACTTCATGTGTCGAAATTTCTTGTGTACTAAAAAGTGCCTGTATTTTATGCATGTTCAAATTGGTAAAAGAAAAACATTCATAAGTAAAGATTTTCAAAAGAATTGGTCGAAAATTGTAAAGGTTTTAAAATTTCTGTTTTTACATTCATGTGATTTTTTTCTTATCATCTGTTTTTTTTGATCAACACACTTTGAGAAATCGGAGAAAAAGCACGAAGAAAATAAGGAAAGATAAATTTCAATATTAATGCTCATAAAGTGGCCAAAAAATAAAATAGTGACTTTAGCAATCTTTTAAAGGAAAATGTGTAAAGAAATGCCGATAGAAAAACTTACAATAAAACATGTCTAAACTCTAAAAAGCATGAAATATAAATAGAATATAATAATTGAATAATATGACATCACTACAATAAAAGAGGAAAAAAAGAAGAAGAGAAATTCATTTCCAAACGCATTGTGAATAACTTTAAAAAGGGACCTCTGACATTAAGGAAACCTTCCTTTTATCACTGTGTAGCTAAAGCTCCTTATATTTTGTAACGTACCTAAATGAGAGAGAAGGATGATTAAAGGCTCCAATGATGTGTCTAATTAGTAACTTTGGCTCTTTAATAAAAGGAAAAACCCATCAAGATGAAAATTAATAATCATTGTTCTCAATGTCAGTGTGTTTGTCGATATAAATTCATATATATTATGATTAATTACTAAATTGCTGTAATTAAAGGTTGCCCAACAACATCCAAGCATATTTCACACAGAGAGTGACAAAACCCATAGAAATACAAAAAGACGATGTTAGCGGTGAAGGCATAAGAAGCATAGAACAAGAATAATATAAAATCGAAGGAAAAATTATATTTTGTATATAAACAAATTGACTTATCATCTATTTTATACGCAATTCTCTCTCTCTCTCTCTCTCCTCACGAGTCTCTGTCCAAATTTCATGTTCCTCCTTGTCCTTTGAGAAAGGCAACAAGAATAACACGAAAAAGAACTTTTCCATTTATTCCATCGTCATTTGTAGTCATTAATTTCATTTCCTTCGACAATCCAACCCAAGAAAAAACCAAGAAAGAATGGAATGTTTGTACAAGAATGATTTTTTTTCTGTCTTCCACCATGAATTTTTGTGTTGAAATAAAAATTTTTCGTCTCCCACAAGAAAAAATCATCAAATCTTTCTTTATGCGTTGGCCGTCTTAAGACATTGATCAGCCCGAAAGTGCCTCATTATCGCCAAAAAGTTTAATAATAATGTGAACATATCCTGTTAAAGCGAAAACTCTTCGGCTGAAATCTAATCAATACACAAGGTATTAAGTTGCGCCAGAGCGAAATTCAATTCAGCCTTCTTCTCCACCGTCTGAGAATCCAGGTGAGAAAGAGAGACATTTCTAATGAGCTCAGAAACACACACAGCAGCTCATGACATGGGGGAGATTATATGGTCAGAAGTGGTGTACAGAAATCATTAGAAGTCTTAGAAAGTGAAAGTGTCGCATTTTATGCAATATTTTTTACACAACTTTGAAGTTTCTCTTGATTATTTTTGTCCTAGTTCTAATTTTGACATATTTTTCTAGGTTATGTGACTGATTTAAGACTAAAAATCATCCTAAAATGGAAATCCTTGAGCCTAAATTGAACGCATTTTCACTTTATTGATAGAATTGCGGATTTTTACTCAATGAAAATCGTGATTTTAGAAGAAAAAAATGTTTAAGTGAAACAGAACCTCAATTTTTCTTAATAAACTGTAAAGATTTTGAATAAGAGATAAAAAAGAAAACCGAAATTAAGGATTATAATCAAGAAAAAAACGTAAAAGTGCCATTTTAACGGAAGAAAGTCATAAAATATTTTATGAAAACGTGAATTCTTAAGTTGTCAGTTAGATTTCAGTTAGTTTTCGGTTAGATTTCAGTTAGATTATGGTTAGATTTTAGTTATATTCCAGTTATTGGTTGATTTTAGTCTTATTCAAAACAATCGAATGTTCAGGATTCTTCATACAAATTTGTGGAAGCGTCAGAAAGTGATGTACAGATTTCAGCCATATTATCTTCCCCTTGGCTCATGATTTTCTCTCTCTGAAAATCTGAATATTCTCATCCTTCAACTCAGTAGCCAAACTTGGGTTAATTGATCGCAATCCTCCGCCCTAAAATGCCTCTGAGTCTATTTTATGCAAATTTATGGCATGACTAAAGAGTAAATCCAATTTTCACAAGTCATCCTGTGCATTTTGTGCCCTTCCAGAGGAATGTGAGTGGCGGAAATCATAATGAAATCAACCCTGCAGATGCAAAAGAAATTAATACACTTTGTGTAGAAGGTGAAAAGATCTGCATATGAATTGCTTCTAGTCCACTTCTTTTATCACAATTTTCACTCAAGTTTCTGCTGTTCTGCATTCCAAATGGCAAATGATAATTTAAATAAATTGAAATAATTTCCATAATAGATTGCTCTCTTTCTTTTCTCTCCTCTCTCTGTTAAATTAAAGTTGTTTTCCCCCCCACCCAGAAAATGAAGCAATTTCATTTTAACCACACTTATTGTTTTCTTTCCTTAATGACTGTGTGGAGCAATAAAATAATTTAGAACTTTTCCCTTTGCAAGCAAATTGAATTAAAAAAAAAACCCCATGGTTTTGCAGTAATTTTAGGGTAAACCAACTGAAAAAAAACATTGACTTTCCAATTCTCAAGTAGAAAATCAGATTAGAAGAAAGTTTTAAAGTAAATAATTCCCTTAATTAAACGTTTAAATGATTTAAATCTGTAGCTATTCGAATTTATGGAATGATTTGAACCAAAAAGAACTAGAATTCTTCTCATGTTGCGCATTTACACAACTTTCCAACCTAATTTCAGAGCAAAATACCTCCAATTGACCTTTTAATACAGCGAAAAATGCAAATTAAGCCCAGAAAGTCGTGTCGTATCTGTCTCTAAGTGACAAATACAGATGATTTTCCGCGCGAATAACGTGCTAACGATCTCAAAAGGAAATCATATCCACCTCCAGAAGTACACATTTGCGCCAACAAACATGGGGGGAAGAATTGTGATGAATTATCACCCCCACACTTTTTCGGCATTTTTCATCTCATTAGCGCTCTTTTCCACTCGTTTATCACACCAGTGTGTCTGTGTTTCATATGGAAATTATGTTAAACATCGAGCTGAGCAAGTGTCACTAATTTGTTAAAATAATCACTCAAGGAACAATTACTGTGTGGGTGGGATCAAAATGAAATCTTCATCCATCAGCGAAACATGGGAAATGCTTAGGCAGTTTTCACGCTCTGGAAGTGAGCATAATCAAAGTGTGTCAGTTGTGTGATTTCTCAGCTTTTATTACACATATTTTGTCTAAATTCTTGTCTTTATAATTCATGGAACTCTTGCATTTACCTGAGGAAATTCTACAATTAATTATGAACTTCCTGGATCCGCAGGATCTGTTGAACCTTAGCTTGACTTGCTGGCGATTGAGTGAATCCACAAAATCATATCTAAATCATCTCTGCATCATGACGCAACTCGGTCTTGTGAGAGCAACAAGAAAAATAAGATTGTCGTACATAAGTTGAGGAGAATCTTCAAGAATTCCAGCGCAAGAGTCAGTGAATGCCTCAGTGAAGAGTGAAAATTCCTCAAGTGAGACACGACAGTCTCCCAAATGCCAGTTTGAATGGAGTTGTCGCTGAGGATGGAGACGATTTGTGTGCTTCTTGCAATCTTCAGCAGCATTTTTCCACCCATTGACGCCGAGTGGGTGAAAATTTCCATTGATCCGGGCGAGAGACAGGGTGTTAGTGAATCTGGACAGGCATTCGGTGGATCACAGTTCCTCAGAGACACTCTGGCAGTGAGTGAGAAGGGATTGTTGGATGATTTCCAGCACTATGAGTGGAAGAAGAGCCATGTGAATCGCGAGTGGGTGACAAAGAAAAGTCCTGCAATTGCTGTCTCATGGATTATGCCCGAGAAGACACCGGAAACCACCACTTTCACCCCCACAAAAGCCCCGGAAATGACAACAGTCGGAACAACAGAGGCAGGAAGCACGGAGAGTTCAGCAAAGCCAATCAAGAAGCAGAACAGAGACTTTAGCTTTAGCGGATTCTTCGCCTTTCTCAAGAGTATCCAAGATTCTTTCATGAATCGGACAAAGAGAAGCATTGAGGACAAGCTGAAATACCTCAAGGATATTCGTGACAAACTACTGAGAGAAATAGGTGGGCAGGAATTAAGTGAATCTCATCCAGTCGTTTCCTGAATGTTCTTTTGTGTTGCAGAAAAGAAAATCAACGCTCTTTGGCCAGCCGAAGAAATTCCCCCGAAGAGAGTCAAGAGACACATCATACCTAGTCCAGAAGGACACATGGATTTTCCATCATCCGAAGGCGCTCTCATGACGATCTGCTTCCTCACATTCGCCGTCTTCCTGATCAAATTAGTTCTTGTAAGTCATTTTGTGTCCAACTAGACGCCATTTTTCTTACCTTTTTCATCTGCAGCAAGTGATAAACACAATTAAGAGCAAACACTACAGCTTCAATGGATTTGACACGAAAACTCCAGCACCAATCAAGATCATCAAGAATAATAGAAATGCCAGGCGATTTTCCCTCACAAACACTGAAAATGTGCAAACAATCGCGAGCGTCACGGAAGCGATTCATCCGGCAAAAGGACGATTTTAGTTCAAATGTTCCACACCAGGTGTGTGATCAGAGATCATCTTGAGAAAAATCCAAAGTTTAATTGTATACCATCGTGATTTCGTAGTTTAAATGCTTTAATTGAGTGAAATAAATTTCCTAAGTACTTTTATGTGTGCATTTTGCGTGATTTATTTGTGTTTGAGCGCGATTTTCCAGGCACTGATTTTGCCACCAGGTGTCGTTGCACGGCAATCAGCTGTTTTACAGACGCGCACGTGTGTGAGGAAAACAACATGAAGCGCACGAAGAGTAAAATTTCTGCCGTGACAACACTTAGAAAATCCGCGAATAATCCTATTCTGGGTGAGTAAATGCCGCAGAAAACTAATCAGCAACAGTTAATCCTTCACATTTTCATTCCAGTCAAGTTCCAGAATGGAGATTTGCTGCCCGGCGCGCAAGAGAACCTCGAGTGTCACTTGGCAGTGGATAAGCATGACAAGAAGTCCAAGAAGCTCATTGTCTCTAGCGACGCCTCGGCGTACATCGGAAATGTGGAGCGAGATCCGCAGATGAACACATTCATCGCCATCCGGAATAGCGTGACGAACAAGATGAGATTCGTTCAGGTGGAAACGTGTTCGCTGCTGAGCGAACATGTGCTCAAGGTTGGGAATGACAGCGCCGTCCGGACGGCCATGGATGACAACGAGCGCTCGCTGTACATGCAGTTCGGTGGGAAGAGGGCAATTAAGGCGTTCGACAAGTACAACAGGATGAAAGTGAATGTGGACATCGTGAAGGACGATCTGGACAGCACACTTCAGAGTCACAGTGAAGCTGTCAAGGATGAGCAAGACACTCCTGACTTCGGGGAGAATGCAGAGAGCCCAATTGTGCCGCCCATGAACAAGGATGCGAAGAATGTGAGGGAATTGTATTCAGTGGTGGAGATTCTGTCGCCGGAATTGCTGTCAGAGCTCGATAGTGTGGCTCAGGAAGTCACAAAGACACCTCCAGAGGAGCTTCCGTAAGTTTTCCATCCCACAAAGCCTGCAATTTGAAGATAATGTCTGAAAATCCACTGTTTTTTGCAGGATCGACAATGACTTTGTCCTTCATCGTATTCGCAAAGTTCAGCAATCCAGCAAACTGGACTCCGAGGAGAGTCTGCTGAAGATCAAGGCGCTGATCTATCTCGATGCCCTGATGAATCTCGTGAAGAAGATCAGGAGGGGGCAGAATTTCACACACGTGAGCTTCTCTGACATCTGTGACAATGTTGAGATGGACATTCGGAAGCGCTTCATTGAGCCCAAGACGTCGAAAGTGGTGAAGACGGCTTACACAACGCGCAAAGCCGTCTGCCACATCCTCATCCTGGGCATTTTGCTGTCAGAGAAGCTCGAGATAAGCGTGACTGAGATGGTGGAGCAGCTGAAGACGACCAACAGGAAGGAACTCTTTGAATTCGCCATCTATTTGGGACTGAAAGTGTCTTCGAAGGAGTTCTTGGGCCTGAGATTGCCATCGGAAATGGATGAGAAGCGTCGCATGAAGCCCGAGGGAAGGAAGCGGAGAAAGTGAAGAAAATCATATTTTGAGGTATATGAAATTCATTTTATTGACAAAAATAGTTTGTTTTTCTTCCTATATGACAATTCTCTTAAAGTATATTCAGGAGGCTCTGGAATAGCGCTTGACAGATTGTGGTGGAAATCAAGGCCTACTTCTCTCTAGAGCAATTGGAGTTCATTGTTCTCAGCATTTTCCTCCTCGGCATCCACAGGTCTCTCCACATTGGCTATTGTTATTGATCCCGTGCAGTCGTTGATCTTGTAAATGCCCACGAGATGATTAGACAACTCGAACATGTTCGATCGCAAGGATATGATAATGAACTGGGCATTTTTCGTGCGTTCCTGTGAAAGTAAAGAGAGAAGAACAGTGAAATTATTCAACTCAAGGACAACGAATCCCTTCGCAGAGCCTCACCTTGATGTAGTGAGCCACAATTGAGACATTCTTGAAGTCCAGCGCCGCATCGATTTCGTCCATGACGTAGAGAGGCGACGGTTTGTAGTAGTGCAAGGCGAAGACGAGCGCCAGTGATGAGAGTGTCTTCTCGCCACCCGAGAGATTCGAGATGATTTTCCAGGACTTCTTGGGCGGACGCACGTGAAACATGATGCCCTCGCTGAAGGGATCCATCGAGTCCACAATCTCCAATTCGGCATCCCCGCCAAGTGTGATCATCTGGTACATTTGCTTCAACTTCCTGGCAATGATGGTGAATCCCTGCATGAATTCCGTGTGGCGCTTCTTCTTCACATCATCATACAGCGCTTGAAAGTCATTGCGACGCTTCGTCACCTCTTCCAGCGCCATCACGCGCTGCAAATACACCTCACGCTTCTTATTGTACTCCTCAATCACGGACAAATTGGGCTTGGAGTTCCTCAAAGTGTCCTCCATCGTCGTTATCTGATAGGCAATGTCATTGAGTGTGTACGATTCCAATTCCCTCTCTGTGTACGTCTTCAGTGGCGGCATTTCCGTCTCTCCCGGAACCTCCTTCAGCTCGAGACTCTTCATCTGATTCGTCCACTTGTGCTCCATATCCTTGCGCTCCTTAATCCTCTTCTCAATGGCCTGATGTTTGTCATCAATCTCCACCTTCTCCAGCTTTCCCTGTCCCTCCAACTTCTGTATCTCCGCAATTCTCTTCGTTGCTCCCACATTCTTACTCTGCGCCTCCTTAATTTCCTTCTTCATCTCCTCAATCTCCTCCTTGCACTTCTCACCCTCCTGCTCCAGCTCCGTGCGTTCCTCACTCTTCTTCTTGATACAATCCGCCGCCTCTTGAATCTCCTCCTCCAGATTCTTAATCTTATTCTCCAGCTTCTGCCTCGTGTGTCCAGCACTGTTCAAGTTTGCCATCATCTTATTCACATGTGCAGCCAATTTCTCAATATTCTTCGACAATTCCTCAATCTTCATCTTCACTGACTTCACTTTGGAGTCCGTAATCTCCTTAATTTTCCGATTAATATGGAGAATCTGATCAGAAATCTCCTTTGCCACCTCCTCAGACTTCTCCAACTTCGACTTCTTGCTGCCCATTTGCTTCTCCAGCGCCTTCACGCGCTCCGGATCAGATTGCGTCTCATTCTTCTTCACCTCCTGACGCTCCATCTGCTCACGCATGTGCGGCAACTGTTGGCGAAAACTCTTAATATCCAGCAGCATCTTCTTCTCCTCCGACTCCTTGGTGCGAATCAACGTGGTCAGCTCGTGGATTCGCCTCGTCAGCTGACCCTGATGCATCTGCAGATTGTTGAGCTCTGACTGAAGATTGTTTGCCATCTCTTGCATGCCCTCAATCTCTCGGCGAGACTTTGGCGTGGCTCCGGATGTCTTTGTCGCCACCTTTTGTCCCATGCGTCCACGCATCATTGATCTCCCACCGCCTGACATCGTGCCCGCCAGCTCAATCACATCCCCGCGCAGTGACACGACACGATAGCGCGTGGCGCCGTAAGCAATCCTCGATGCCTGATCGAGATCCGTCGCCACCAGTGTGTCGTGCAGGGCAAAGTAGAACGCCACAGACACCCGCGGATCCTCCACTTTGATCAGATCAAAGAGACGCGGCACATTCTCCGGATAGGATTGCCTCTGATCGCAGTACTGCTGCAGATGATCCACCTTCTCCAGCGCAATGAACGTCGCCCGGCCAGTGTCGTGCTTCTTCAGGTACTCAATGCACGCCTGAGCCGTATTCACCGTGTCCACCACGATGTTATCCAGCCGACCACAGCAGGTCGAGATGGCCACATCGTACTTGGCATCGATGCCACCCAAATCCCCCAAACGCCCAAGAATGCCCGGAATGTCGCCCGACTGTTTCTGTCGCATCAGCGCATTCACCACCTTGTCACGCGACTGGGCAGCTTGCATATTGTTCGTGACATCCTCAACATTGGTCTTGAGTTGCTGAATCTTCTCACGCAGTCGCGTCTCTTCCAGCTTGGACTCCTTCAGCTCATGTTCGGCACTCTTGAGATCCTCCCTCGCCTTGGGCAGCACTCTCGTGACCTCCTGCAGCTTCTCCTCCTTCTCACTCAACGACTGCTGCGCCTCCTCAAAAGCCACCTTCAACGAATTGTACTTCCGCGCCTCCATCACCTCATTGTACTGCACCATCTTCAGCTCCGACTCCACCACCTGCAGTGCCGCTCGATCCGCATTCACCGCCTCCTGCAGTCCAATCATCTTGTTCTCCAGCGGCTCACGCTGCTCATTCAGCGCCCGCGTCGCATCCTCCAGCTTCGCGAGATTGCTGGCCAACAGATCCTCCTGAGTCACCTTGTCGCGCGACAAACTCTCAATCTTCTCTCGACACTCCTCAATCTCCTTCTTCGTCTTCTCCGGCATTGCCTTCTGCTTCTCCAGATTCTCCTTCTCCTTCTCCACCTGCGCCATCGCCTCCTTCCGCCGCGCATTCGTCGACTGCATGAGCGACTGAACTTCAGCATACTGACAAGATATCTTCTCATGTCGCTTCTGCTGCGCCTTCATTTTCTTCACGAGATTAGAATACTCCTGACTGTCCTTCTTCACAACACCCTCCAACTCCACACGCTCATCGCGCAGCTTCTCATACTTCTCAGTGTGCTTCTTCAGCTCCTCCACAATTTCACCCTTTTGCTCCTCATCTTCAATCATCTCCTTCACATTGTCGCCAATTTTCTTCTGCAACAGCTTATTTTTCACTCTTATCAGCTGATTCTCATTCTTCAGATACTCAATTGCCTTCTCATATGGCTCCTCCAGATCCTTCAGCTCTCTGTCAGCCAACTTGCAGCGATTGTGCTTCCCCGTTCGCTCCTCATTGAACATCACCACCTTGTCGTTGATCTTCACGAGGGGCTCTTTGTACCGCGACGTGCCCACAATATCCTCCAAGTATTCCAGCAGTCCACACTCATTCTTGTGCGTCTCCGTATTCACCACCTTTGGCTTCATCATGGCAATGGACTCCACTTCGCCCTGCAGAATGAGGAAGCGATTGTGATCCAAGTCGATGCCGTGCTTCTTCAGCAGACGCGACACTTCCTTGAACTGCACGCGACGCTCGTTGATCTGATAGTATGAGGAGTTGTCCTTAAAGGCGCTCCGCGAGACGACAAAGCTCGAGTTTGGCAAGTCTTCGAAGCTCCCATCTGGCTTGTCCACAATCTCCTTGAAGTGCACTGCCACACAGCAGCTATTGACGTTGGGAAAGGCGGCGGATTTGTGGAGCAACACTGAGAGCTTCTTGGAGCGAATCTTCTGTGCTCTGTAGCCAAAAACAAACAGCATAGAGTCAATGACGTTGCTCTTCCCACTGCCATTGGGCCCCACGATGGCTGAGAAGCTCTGTGAATGACAAACAAGCGGTGAGAAAAGTCTCTCAGCTTCTCAGAGAGCGAATTTCTCACGTGATGGAATGGTCCGAGGATCGTTTCTCCGGCGTAACTCTTGAAGTTCTCATTCACGATGCGTGTGATGATCAAGCGGGGCCCTTTGCTCTCTGCCGAGCAGTACGGTGGCACCGGCGGTGGAATGTAGATGTCCCCTATTCGTGTGCCTCCTGAAAATACAGAAAAGGCGCCAGTGAGACTCTCTCATTAACGGACAATTCCGGACTTCCTCACCTTCTTCATCGTCTGACATCTGCAACTCAAAGTCCACCTCCATCCCATCCGGCGCCCTCTCCTCCTCTTCCGTACTCATTTCTCCTGCTTTTAGAAGCACTTTAGCCCCTCAATTCCTGAGACAATGCAGAAAACCAACAATTAATAAACACAAACTTTCCCGAAGTGAGGTTATGATTCAGCGTCCTTTTTAATCATACAATTTCACGTGGAAATACATCAATTTCCGCTGAAACCACAACGCGATATGATGAATTAAGAGCTTATACATGCACAGATTGAACAATATTACGGGAAATATCCTTATAAAGTGTAGAAAATACAGAAATCGCAGCTTGGCGGAACGTCTGGAACTTTTAAATGGACAAATGACGTTTGAACTGAGAAACCGTTGACTGCAATCTCATCGATTTCACGAATATGCCTTCATTGGAAAATATACAGATAAATAATGCATTTTTATAATCACAAAATGTTTTAAATTCCCATATGTCCCACAAGTACTTAAAATTGTGAATCAAAACAGCGGAAAATGCGAAATATTCAGAAAATTCTGCGCTATGGCCGAACTGAATGAATAGTGGGTTTATTGTGGCCTATGGCCGAACTGTTTGCCACCCCTGGCGTCTATCGATTTATTTGCATCGACTGTCAAATTATCGCTGTGTTTGGTTGTGTAAAAAACCCTTGTTTTTCCTCAATCTCCGTGAAAATCATGGGAAAACTACTTTCAAATACGTGGTCCTTCTTCAAGAAGATTGACGAGAAGACGGCACAGTGCAATTTATGTCTGAAAGTAGTGAAAACGTCAGGAAACACAACCAACGCCAGGAACCACCTGAAGATCAAGCACAAGCTTCTGGAGCAGGAAACAAGGCCAATTTCTATTAAAATTGACATCGACGATAAGAGTGATAAGACTCGATACATTAAGGATGAGCAGGTGAGCGTGAGAATAGGGGAAATCCTTCTCGGAATCTTGTGATATCAAATGCTCCGTGGCGCCGATTCTGGGGTCACAATAATCGATTAATATCGGAAATTTGGGATTCCCTCTGATATTTTATTCGAATTCCTTCCACTTTTCCCCAGTCTCAGGAGGACATTGAGATCCTGGAGCAGGTGGAGGAGGTCCAGATTGAGGAGCAGATGCCCCAGGATGAACAGTGTGCCGAGGACAAGGAGGAGTCGTCAGAGGTCTACTGTCTGGAAGTGCTGGAAGAGGAAGATAGTGCTTATGAGAACTTGCGTCCTGTGGAGTCCAAGGGACGCTCCTCGGGATACGTGGCGAAGAGACTGCTCAACGACGGGAAGAGGGGTCGCAGGGAGAGTGGCGAATCGGTGTCCAAGATGCCCAAGTATGACTTCTCCTCCGCTGTGGACATTTTCTTCGCTTCCATGGCGGCGACAGTGAAGCAAATGCCTCCGGACAAGATCATCCTCATGAAGCAGAAAATCTCCGAAATTGTGTTCCAGGAGGAAATGGCACAGCTTATGAATGAAGATTATGAGTAATGATGATTCCTACAGTTAATTATATTGTGTTTAATACCCGAAAAGTAGAAATCTTATCAAATCTTGATTTTTGATGAATGAGGATTATGAGTAAAGATTGTTCTTGCAAGTACGAAATTGGTCTCTTTTTCCCCTTCTTTGTATGGAAAAGTGTAGTTTTTCCATTGGATTTGCAAAGATCCACTTCTTCTTAGGCAAATAAGTGATTTATTACATGTAACTGAAGAGAAAGAGGTTTATTTGCATTTTCTGCCCTTTTCATTGGAAAATCTGCACTGAATGATTCTTGTAGTCGCTCACGATGACCTCCAAGTCTGGAGTGACGTGGATTCCAGACACCCACTTGAACAGCCGGGAAGATCCTCGTCCTCCGATTGTCTTGATCAGGCGTCCATCCTTGGTGAAGATCTTGAAGGGAATCGCTTAATGAGTCTTGCTGAAAAGCCAGCAAATTACAGTAAAATTACCTGAACTCTGGCATTTCCACTGTCGCCCAGGAAGATGAAGCCGTGCGGTCCGATCGTGAGGACTTCGGGATACTTGAATTGTCCCTTCTGCGTGCCCATCTTCCCGAATTCGCTCACTTTCTCGCCCAATCCGTTGAAGATCTTCACTCTGCAGTGTCCACTGTCCAGGACGACAATGTTGCTCCCGTGCAGAGCCAGTGCTGTGGGCGATTGAAGGTCGGCCAGTTTGGAGATGGTATTCTGGAGTGCGGAAGCAATCATCTGCGTCTTCTTCACCTGTCCAAACTGCAGGATCATCTGTCCAGTGATCCTGTTCAGGCACTGCACGCGATCATTCCCAGTGTCACACACGAAGATGGTGTTTTCGGGACCGAGAGCGATTCCTTCGGGGGATCTCAAGCATCCCTCGAGATCACCTTTCGCCCCAATCACGCGCTGCAATTCGCCGTGGCGCGAGAAGACGAAGATGCAGTGCTTCCACTTGTCAGACACGAAGATCTCCTGGGAATCACTGGACAGAGCGATGCTGTGCGGATAGATCATGTCCTCGTGGAAGATCCTGTGGATGATGCGTCCCTTCTTGCGCTCAATCGCGAAGATGATCTTGCTGTCCGATCCTGCGATGTACAGCAGCTGATCGCCAATGATCTCATCCACCCAGGGCGCCAGGAAGACGCCCAGCGGCCGAGGACACTTGCCCCAGAACAGCTTGGGCTTCAGATCCCTCGACATGATGTACTTCACCAGGCTGGCCTTGTCCTCCAGCGGATTACTGTCTTCCTGCTCTGGCGAATCCTCTTCGGTTTCTTCGCCACCTTCAGGATTGTTCAACTCAATCCTGAACTCCTCCTCGTTGAACATCATCCGCGTGTCGTCACACTTGGACACATCTTGAAGGATGCCGGAGACTCTCTTGTGCATCTGGAGGAAGTACGTGCTCGTCTCCTGGTGAATTTTCCCACTCAAATCTCTCTTTGTGCTCTCAATTGCATCCACAATTGTCTGGCATTTGGCTGTGGCTTCGCCGATCATCTGTTCCGCACTCTCGAGCACCAGCACTTCTTTTCTCCGCAGTTCCTGGATCTGTCTGTCCACGAACTGACTCACGTGGCTCCTCAGCTGCTCCATGCGATCCTAAAATTCAATGGATTCATTCAAATTCTCTCTCACTCGCTGTGCCAGATTTTAATAGTGCATTGTCTAACTGACCTTTATGCCGTCCAACTTGTGCGTTAGACATTCTTCGGCGCTCTTCAGCTGATCCGCCAAGTTGCTGAGCTGATTGCTGAGATCGCCCATGTGCGCCGTCCAGCAGATCTGGCAGAACTTCTGGCGACAGTGGCTGCAATCCCTGAAGCAATCGTGGGCGGCATTTGGCACCATTTCGCACCTCACGCAGCGATCTTCCTGCTGGAGAAAGTATATAAAAATCAGCGTCACCCTGCTTCTTATCACTCTCATTATATTGTACATCAGTGATAAGTCGAAGAGGCACACTTTACTGGGAATTCCATACCACTTGAGTGACTGGCGATAGGGAGGCATTTCCGAGGAGCTTCAGCAGCGAACAGATGTAGAGATTGGTGGGAAGATCGCCGAGATGGGCCGTAATTGTCATCCTGCAAGTCGGACACTCTCTTCTGCTGCCGCCGCTGCAGATCGCCTCGAGGCAGTTGTGGCAGAATGTGTGCTGACACGCCAGCATTTTGGGATTCTGCAGGCGATCGAAGCAAATGCCACACTGCACGAGATCCTCAATGGGAGCCAATGATCCGCGATTGTCGAATCTCATGCTCTTGCTGCGCAGCACAACCGGAGGATTTCTCTGGCTCATTTTTCCCTCTTTCTCCTGATTTGACTTGGAAGCACAAGATATTGCAAAGACGGAATGAAAAACCAAGAAAGTCTAAGGAATCAATCTGCAAGAGGACATCAAAATTCATCCATTCACGCCTCGGATTTCATCTTGAATATTTATTAGCAACAATGGGAAGAATATATCCAGGCATATAAATTGCAATCTTGATACAGATCAACAAAGAGATCAATAAAGATGATCGGAGTTTATGTCTTACCGGACTTTATTACCGAAGAAGTCACAACAGCTGTAAATGCAACAAAATGTAAGACAATCTGAATGGATTGAATGAAGAAATCTACACAATTCAGCACACTCACTCTTCTTGCTTGCAAAAGCATCGACTGACGAGGAAGTGGACGCTCTGTGGTCGGGCAATTTCCCAACAATTGAATCTTATCACACTCTTATCGATCATTTCATCTGGCAATTCAATTAGCCGGAATTGGTGTTTTGCCAGAGTTATTGAGCGCGAAGTGGCTTTTTGTGTGCGCGATGAGAATATCGCGAGCATTTGGCTGGTTCAGGCTGTTCAGGGTGGGGAAGACGTCGTGCGATCAGCCCGATGACGTCGATCTTGGTCAACTTCTTCAGCGCCAAGAGGCATCCACGGCAATTTTCTCTCCGTGCAGTTCAATATCGACTGTCGCTGGAACACCATCGCGAGTCCGCGGAAGTCTTTTGCGCGCAAAAGTTGGATCGTGTGAGTTTGTGGCGCGAGAGTGATTATGGAAAAGTGTGCCTGAGAGTGCAAGAATGATAAAAAGTGATAAGGCAGCAGTTTAGAGCTGAAATCTCAAGGATTAAATTGCCTCTTCTAATTGTAGAAGTAAGCGAAAAACCCCCCGAGAAAGATCATTGATCCTCACGATCGCGAGCGCGCGATTTGGTGAAATGTGTCAAATAACAAAAGTGGCGATCGTACGAATTTGATTCACTTCTTATACGTGATAATATCTACCCATTGTTTGTGCTCGTCAATTGAGCATTTTAGTCACGATTGCAGGGCGAAAATTTGATGGCACACATTGTTGGCCTGTCGCAGTGCATAAATAGCCAATATGATCAATTGCGATCACCTTTTGCAGCGCGACAACCTGTTGCGGACGATCTTTTCCTCAAGTCTCATGAGATCATGACATAGTTACGTAAAAGCAAATCTAGGGTTTCTTGCTGAGAAACTCTGTAATACTTTTTGCCCGTGCTTAATTGATTGGCGCAGCAATTAATCCCAAGAATGGCGCTGAAGAGAGCCGCCAATCCTGTCCCAGAGCCGAAGGATCTGTCCGATGATCCACAGATCGCAACGGTCTCATTCCAAATATGCCACAGATCATAAATCCGCGACTAATTCACACACAATTAATCAAACTCTTCTTGTCGGTGGCGGAAAGAGAGATGTTTAGAGAAAATTGATCGTTATTGCTGTTTAAGTAGTGCATAGTCGGTAAATCGCGACGTGGGGCGCGCTTTTTGTGCCACCCACAGGTGATAATCTGTCTACACTTTGGACTTTATTGGCTCATATTAAAATGCCCGTGGAGAGAAATTGCTAATCGCGCACATGTTGAGCTTCTTAACCAAGTGAAAAGTCAATCTAATTTCCCTTTTTATTCATAAATCGCATAAATCACTAAACGTGCTGTGACGATCATATTTTCAGTGTAATTTCATTGCAGGTCACTTTGAAATTACTGTATTAGTTTCTTCACTAGACAATCGTAAAATTGTCTCATTTGCTTTTTCTGCAAGTGATCTAGATTTTTTCCTCCTCGAAGATCAATCAAAATGTGATCAGACATTGAGTAATAATGTATCATTTGCAACAAAATAGGAACTCATTAAAATTATCAGCGCATTTTTTCTCGTCTGCGCGTGAATTTGAAAAAAATTCGGAATGTTTTTCTAAGCATCACCGCATTTTTTCCTCCATCTTTCTAAGCCACACAGATGACAAAGTGGGATATTGGAAAACAGGTGATTGTGATCGAAATTCTTGGGCAGCTTCTCGGGCATCAGCTCTTCTCCTTCTTGTCAGACGAGATTGCGTGCGCGCATGAGGAAAAAAGCGTGTTCTGACCCAGATTTATCAACGGTGTCTCAATATTCAAATAAAACCAATGAAAGTTTGAGAATAAGTGTCATCATATATAATTCATTGATGAGATCGACTTCTATTAAGTAGGGAAAATCACAGACTGCAGACGATGAAGAATTGGGACAAATTCTCTCTGTTTCTCAAGCACTCCTTGTCGAAATGAACCCACTCAGAGACACTCAGACGATTGCAGCACAACTCGCGATGCCATAAACTCGTTATGATCACATCATTCTTGCCCTTTTCGCGTGATCTTCCTCCTCTTGTAAAACCTGTGCAGTCACCAAGGGGGAGATAATATGGCTCTGAAGTGGTTTACAGTTAAGCGGAAGTAAGGAAGTGTTGAAATATTTGCAATATTTGTGTATGAGAAGCATTCTTCTCAAATTAGCGCACTTTCTTGGATTCCTTCCGGCAATTCTGCAAAAGACTTGGCAAAAGAAAATGAGTTCCAATGTTTTTCTAGGTTATGCGACTAATTGTAGTGGAACTAAATAAGTAAATACCAATTTTTGCTCACATCCTAGACATCTTATAATAAGAAGTGAGATTTTACACTTAAAGAATCATACGCGTACATAGAAAACAGTTTTCGAGTTGACCATAACCTCAAAATACTTTTTCGTATGGAAATAATGTTATTTTCAGGACTTTCATGCATTTTACAATTAAACGGAAGAGTTTTGAGCTGTGTTTTGTTGCGAATCCTCTTTTCAATTTGCTTAAAGGACTTGAAGTCTGTCCAGAAATCGTAAATTCAAGTATTTGAGGGACTTAAGCCTGTTCTTGAAACAGAAGAACCCAGATTTCAGACATATTATCTCCCCCTTGACAGAGATTGATTTTAACAGCTTCTTAAATCACGTCAATTTGTCTTTATTCTCACACATCTCTTTAATGTGATTTCGAAGCTTCCATCAGTCTGCCGAGTCTCTCGCCCTCGCGCCGTCTTGTTATCTCATGCAACGCGTTGGCAAATAAATGGCTGCAACCTTGAACTTGTTGCACAACTTCCTCTCGCTCGCGGACGCGATGCCATTAAAGTGTCTCTGTCGGTGCATCCAGCGTCAAGGTGGGTCAATTGAATATTCTGGGGAATTGACACACAAAATTCTGCACAACAGCCACGCTTTTTCCGTTATGATGTCGCCATCGTGCGCATTCTGTGTGTGTTTCTTCGTGGCCATAAAAAAGGTACCTAACTCTCCAGTGCCAATAGATATCCAATAAAATTCACCAATAATCACTTTAAGCTAATTGTGATACGAATTTATAATGCGCATCCGCAACACTCTGTCAATGCAATTGTGCGACCCAGAAATTTCGCTTCTACAGTTTTTCCTTCTACTTCGTCAAAATTTCATTTTCTTCTTAATCTCAATCCACACTAGACTCATTAGTGTCTGGGATATCATCAAAACCGGAACGTAAGTCTTCCTCCTCGGCCGTAAATTCATCACTTGAGCACCTGATGCATCTCTGAGTCACTGATCAATGGCATTCTCGCCGTTTTGTCGTCACGTTTGCACAGAATCATCTTCAGAGTTGATTTCACGCTAGATTGAGAGCTCATCTTCCTTCTCGGTTTCATTTGAATTGATTCTTCAGTTGTGCCACTTTCAGTCAAGAATTTGCTATTATGCATATTTTCTCTGATCGAAGTACAGTTTGATGAGAAGATGCAGAAATTGACCTGCAAAATTCAATTCTATTGTTGATATTCAAACCAATAAGAGGCTAAAATCGCTAAAATCTGTACAATTGCCTTAATTACTGCTTAACTTCAAGCAGTTTCCCGCATTTTTGGACAGATTTTCATATTTATTTCTATGCTTAAAGTACGTAGATTAGTGAGGAAAGAAGCTTCCAAGAAAATAACACCATTTTTGGGAAAATATTTTCCCCTTGAGCACAGCAAGGATGAGAATTAGCGCCACTGGCGCCCAGCATTTAAACTATGAATCCATCAAGCATCAATTCTGGCGCGAAAGTTTCCCACGTCTTCCCGAGATGTGCAGTATAGAATCTTCTGGGCGCTTTCTCGCCATTCTTGGCCACTGAAACCCGTTCTCGGTTTCCTCATTGTCCGCAAAAAGTGGTTTCCTTTGTGGGTCAATAGGAAAGTTGAGTTTCTCCGATCTCTGGAGACTTTTCTGGAATTTAGCACAGCGAATCTGAGTAGCCAGTGAGACGCAAAAGCATCTGTTCGGTGAATTTTCACGCTGATTTTTTTTCTGTCGAAAAACTCTGGAGAAATGAGGGAAATTCTGCATCTTCAAGCTGGCCAGTGTGGCAATCAGATTGGTGTGAAGTTCTGGGAGGTGATTTCGGATGAGCACGGGATTCTGGCTGATGGGAAGTTCGCGGGCGACACGGATCTGCAGCAGGAGCGGCTGAATGTGTACTACAACGAGTCCACGTGTGGAAATTACGTGCCGCGCGCCGTGATGGTGGACTTGGAGCCCGGCACGATGGACTCCGTGCGCAGCAGCGCCTTCGGCGGCCTCTTCCGGCCGGACAACTTCATCTTCGGGCAGTCCGGCGCGGGCAACAACTGGGCCAAGGGACACTACACCGAGGGCGCCGAGCTGGCGGACTCGGTGCTGGACGTGGTGCGTCGCGAGGCGGAGGCGTGCGACTGCCTGCAGGGCTTCCAGCTGACGCACTCCCTGGGCGGCGGCACGGGCTCCGGCATGGGCACGCTGCTCATCTCGAAGATCCGCGAGGAGTATCCGGACAGGATCATGAACACCTTCTCGGTGGTGCCGTCGCCGAAGGTCTCTGACACCGTCGTGGAGCCGTACAACACCACGCTGAGCATCCATCAGCTGGTGGAGAACACCGACGAGACGTTCTGCATGGACAACGAGGCGCTGTACGACATCTGCTTCCGCACGCTGAAGCTGCAGACGCCGACGTACAGTGATCTCAATCATCTGGTCTCGATGACGATGTCCGGCATCACGACGTGCCTGCGATTTCCCGGCCAGCTGAATGCCGATCTGCGGAAGTTGGCCGTGAATATGGTTCCCTTTCCGCGCCTGCACTTCTTCGTGCCGGGATTTGCGCCGCTGACAGCGCGTGGGGATCAGCAATTCCGCGCCATCACGATTCCCGAGCTCACGCAGCAGATGTTCGACGCCAAGAACATGATGACGGCGTGTGATCCGCGCCACGGACGCTATCTCACCGTGGCGGCGATCTTCCGCGGACGGATGAGCATGAAGGAAGTGGACGAGCAGATGCTGAACATCCAGAACAAGAACAGCAGCTACTTCGTGGAGTGGATCCCGAACAACTGCAAGACGGCGGTGTGTGACATTCCGCCGCGTGGCCTGAAGCTGTGCGCCACGTTCATCGGCAACACCACGGCCATCCAGGAGATCTTCCGGCGCGTGTCGGAGCAGTTCACGTCCATGTTCAGGCGCAAGGCCTTCCTGCACTGGTACATGGGCGAGGGAATGGACGAGATGGAGTTCTCCGAGGCGGAGAACAACATGAATGATCTCATCAGCGAGTATCAGCAGTACCAGGAAGCGGGAATGCAGGATCAGGACTTCGAGGGGGGCGAGGAGGAGGAAGAGGAGGAGACTTTCGTTAAAACTGAAAATTAATCATTGACACATCATCCTGACCTACAAATTGTTCGTTCTGTCGCACTTTGTGTGCAAATAAATTTCACACTTTTGCTTTCAACTCACGGTGAGAAATCTCTTGCATCCCAAAGGGGAAAATATCAGTGGAAGTTTGAGGAAGAGTTGAAATATTGGTAATTTTTTTTTACACTGAAAAGCTACGGTTTTTAAGCCACTTCTTGAGATGAAAAAGCCTAAATTAGATTACAATAAAATGGATAAAATTCTTCAGACAGACTTGAGGCAGATTTTCTCCCCCTTGGCGCGTCCGTTGGAGTTCAATGATCTCAGCCAGAAGCGGAGAGGATCTTTTATCTTGTCGGTCGGCGCTTTTCGAGCGAGAGAAAAGTGAAAGGAGAGACGGAATTGTGTCTCAATTGGGAATTGAGAGCAGTGTTTATTATGCCCAGATGATCGTGATTTTCACCTGTGATCGTGAGGCGATTCATTCATGATCTTGAGGAGTGCATAATAAGATGTTATCTCGCTCTCTTTTTCAGCTCAAAGAGTGAGACAGAATGGAGGCGCGCTGGCGATGGTTACCGCTCGTGATTGTGCTGATTGTGTGGCAAGTCAGATCGCAGGAGGTGAAGGACATCGAGGCGGAGAGAGAAGGAGTGCCGGAAGGGGACGCCAAGCCACATTCCAGACAGAAGCGTCTGATCTGGATCACAGAGGATGGACGATTGGCTCTGCCGCCAGGAACTTCTCTGACAATTTCACCCACTCTGGCCTTGCCGCTAATCCGACATCCTCCGCCAGGATTCTTCTCCAACATCACCATCAGTTTGCCTCTGACCAGTAAGATTTTCCTGGGTTTTTTTCTCGTCTGTTTTCCTGACATTTTGTCTTTTGTGCACAGTTGATTTCGACAAATTGGGCCTCACGGACAATGAAAATCCCCTCGGTGTGCTGCCCAATGTGTTTGCCAGATCAATGGGCAGAGCCACAGGCATGATTCTCTCCAACTACATCTCGTCCTACATGAAGGGACGCAAGAGGAGGGAAGCTGAGGCGACAGAGGATAAATCCTCACCTTTCAAAATCACAATGATGGACGGAGAAGCGGATGATTTTCCACCTGAACTCCCGGAGAAGCACAAATTCATCTTTCACGGTGGCGAAAGAGCTCTCTTATATGTGGCTCTTGAGGATCTTCTCGGCACTTTTGGGCTGGATGGCAAGGCGTGCATTTTGAGAGCGATCTGCGAAGTTCACTCACGGAAACTTCACAACTTTGGACTGTTTGGAGAGATTGTGAAGCTCTTTCTCACGTGAGTTCTCATTATTCAAGTCACTCGAAGCATTTTCACTGATTTTCCCTGCTTTCAGTGCCTCCAAGAGTCCCTTTTCGCACCTCCTGGACGAATACGTGACGGCGCAACGGGTCGGCGAGGGCGTTTTGGGGCCGGGCGAGTGCTTTCCGTACTACAAAAAGTGCCCCAAGAGTATCTTCAGGAGTAGCATAGATCACAAATACCAAAACTACAAGGAGGAGGAGAGCAGCGCAGAGAATGATGTTCATACACACGATTTTAGTCAATTCATGTAGCACGCGCGCGTGTGCTTTATAGAAAAGCTCTCCAAAAATCTATCGTTGCACTGTGGCCATATTGGCTGGGAGATGCACAACTTTATAGTCACGATCGAAGGCCATCAATTTCTTTTTATTGTACACACACTTCAGATGAATTTTCTTGTGTAATAAAGATCGCATGTGGATGAAAGTCGTTGAGCTTTTTCTTTTGGCGCTTCAATTTCGAACGGTTGTGCTGTTGGAGGGTTTTTTTCTTTCGCACTCGAGCATCTTCGAATCTGGAAGTCCGAAGGCGCGTTGCGCGTGTGTGTGTGTGTTGTGTCAAAATAATCGAGAAAATTTTGCGTGAAAAAAGTTTTCTCTTCACTTTTCGTGGGTTTTCTCGCCCAAATTGGTCGGTGTGGATTTGACGCGGAGGTGGAAATTGATTGTCCCGATAGTGCTGGTGCGGTTGCGAGTGGCGGAAGAGTGGGAAAACAGGGCTGGAAAGTGGTGTGATGTGCGATTGAATTGGTGGCACCCTTTGGTACGTGCAATCTCGCGGAGTGACTGGCGAGCGCCCCCTTGCGCCGCCGAAGATGAGAAAGTGCCACTTCCTCTCCCCAGTGCCCAGTGGATTCTCGGGAGCGCGCGCGAACGTCCCAGTCGAGTCATCGCTGCCCAGGAAGCCGCGCCATGGCTGAGGACTACTCGGCGCAGAGCAACAGCGATGAGTCAGACACGCCGGAGCTGAAGGGATATCTGTCCAAGTGGACCAACTACATCCACGGCTGGCAGCCCAGGTTCATCGTGCTGAAGGATGGCACGCTGTCGTACTACAAGAGCGAGCAGGAGAGCGACTTCGGCTGTCGCGGGGCGATCAGCCTCCAGAAGGCCACAATCAAGGTGAGAGAGCGCGGGAATTCCCGCCGCTCCCGCGCGCACAGCCGCACAATCAGGGCTGTGGGCGCGCCGCCGAGCGCCGCACGGGCGGAAATGCGAGAATGGCCATCGTAAAATCCAACGGCCGCGCCAGTCACCCTTCGCGATGCCTCCCAATCGCCCATCAATTGCTCTACAGACAGATTCTCGCGCTCGGCACGCAACGCCGGTGTGCTGGTGAGGCAGTAAAAATCCCCTAATCATGGGCCGCTTCGTGAGGAGTCATCCGCGCGTCCCATGCCAAGTGGCTCGACTCAAAACGCCGCCCTCGAATCCGCAGCATTCCATCGTCTGAGAAATCTCCACTTTTACGACATTCGCATTTGCATGCGACGGAATTAATTGAATTATATTTCGCTCGTTTGGACACTCGTTCGAGTGATTCATCATCAGTGTTGTGTGTCAATTTGTACACTTGAATTCCTCAATATAGCACAAATGATTCTTGCGCATTTGTGGAATCATCGCGGCAAAAAATTGTTCATAAATCATCTGGTTTTATTGGCAAAGATAAATGGAAATTGGCGGAATTGTGAAAGTGTATCGCATTAATAAAATGATATTCACATCATATCTTCTGCATGAAGGGAAGAGAAATTGCACTTTTGACTGTCTTCTAAACTGCTTTCATTGATGAAGCTAAGAAGGGATGATTTTATGGGGAGAATGTCGATTTTAAATAGAGAAAAATAGTCTTTTTCAAATTCTATAAAGCTTGGGTTCAATTCTGAGCAACAGATTTTATGTTTTGATGTGTTTTCGCTTGATATTTCACAATATGTCATGTCAAAATGATGTTTTTGACGTTTAATTGAACCTTTTTCGACGCGATTTCCACATTTCTAAAGATAATTTTCGGCTTCATTCATATTCTAACGACATTTTTTGGTTGATGACAGGTTTGACATCTGTCATCTGTCCATGCTGGCCAATTGACAAGTGCTTTGGAGGATAATTTTTGGTTAATTCCGAATTAAAAATAAACAAATTAACTTTTTTGATGATTTTTACGCGAAATGTAAGATATTGGTCATTGTCTTTGGCCACAAAGTGCTTTCTAGTGCTGAATTATTTCAATTGAGAAGTTTAATTGTCGAATTCGATTCTTTTCTGCTAACACGATAACATGTGTTAAGCGTCACACGTCACACAATGTGAGTGGGAATGAGTTTCTCCTTTATTCCGGTCGGGAATTGATCCTAATTTCGGTAAAAACTAAAAAATTTGAAGCTGATATTGAGACTCAGCGTTAACACTGTTGCATGGCGTGTGCGATCTTGAGTTAATCGAATGTTGGCTGAAGAATATTTTCTCCAAAAGCCTCCAATTGCCTTTGATGTTGTGTACTTGGAGAGCCTTATCTCTCTCTGGGTGGCACTTTATCGCTGAAGAGAGACGCGCAATTGAGAGTGAGTGGAAGAAAAAATGAGTAATCAGCACTTGGAAAAGTTTTTATTTTCCTTCTCGGCCAGCGTTTTGCTTCGCCAATTTGGCCAATTGGCCGAATAAAAGGCCACTGCGAAGGGGGGGTGAAAATGTTGCGAATTCTCCGGCTGAATTGTTTACGAGAGAATGCTGTTGTGGGTGTGTTTTGTGTGGCTGTGTGCGTGTCGTGTGGATTTATGATGGAATGCTGCGTGGAGGAGAAGAAGAGTGAGGCATTGATTGGGATTTATTGATCAATTTTCCATATGGGAGAATGTTTTCCGATGCCGTGAGCGTGTGTGTGTGAGTGTGTGTAAATGTTTTGGCTTGTTATATGTCTCTATCATCAATTTATCAATTATCTCGTTCAATTTCTGGGATGTTTCTCGCGTGTGTGATTTACCAGTATTGCAGCTATTTCGGTACATGTTTTGTGTAGCTGCCTTCGTGCCAATCACGCGCGCGGCAATGAAACTCTGAGGGCAAATCTCTCTTCATTCACACAATTTCCACAATTATTTCCCAATTTCATGCATGAATTTCAAGCTTGGAGAGGAAATTGTTGACGAATCTCTGTTCTTTTCTTCCTTCCTCTGCAGTCGCATGAGTTCGATGAGTGTCGCTTCGATGTGTCCATCAGCAACTGCGTGTGGTATCTGCGGGCGGAGAATCCGGAGGACAAGACGCACTGGATCGAAGTGCTGCAGAGCTACAAGACGGACACGAGCAGCGACGTGTCGCTGAGGCGCCACGGAAGCTCCGTGTCCCTGCAATCCACCACACTGTCCACGGCCAGCGGCAGCAGCCTGAAGCGCGCCAACAGGAATCTGCGCGAGAAGCTGCACGAGATTGAGACGTTCAAAGACATTCTCTACGGCCAAATTGAAACGCTTCAAAGGTGAGAAATTGTGTGTTGTGTGTCTTGGCTAAAAGTGTGTCGCGGGAATTCTCGTCGATCTCGAGAGTTTTTAGGCATTAAAATTCATTTATTAACTCCTTTTCATATTTCGTAAATGCTCCTCTGTCACAATTTAAGAAGGTTTGTGTCTCATTCTACCATCAAAGTGTTGTTCAATTGTCAGTGTTTTTTTGTATTTATGTGGTTGGAAAATGGATTTTTCTTTCTACAATTGGTGGAAGAAAGACTGTTAAAAATAAGCAAAATCATGATCTAACAGAAGAAATTAGTTCTTAAGAGTTGAAGATCATTTTCTGACCTTTCCAAAATGTCATTGTTTTTGAAAATCCGTGGAAAAATAGCGATGTTATGAATATATTTCATTCGGAAAAAGGAGTTTGTCAAAATACCTTTGAAAAACAGGTAAAAACGTGCTCTGATACAAATAATATGTTCCAGAGAGTTATAGGTTGCAGAATTACCTTTCCAAAATGCTATGAATTTTGAAAATCCGAGGAAAATTTAGTGTTTTTTGAGTACATTTTGATAACATTGTAAAAAATTGTTATTTAGACCATTTTGCAATAATTTGTCACCTTTTATATCTTCGGAAGTGTTGTAGAATATGAAATTCTCTTTCCAAATCAGTGTTATTTTCGGCAATTGAGATAAAATTGTGGAATGCAAAATGTCTCAAAAGACAATGTAAATATTCATCAAATTGAGTTGTATTTGAGCACTTTTAGTGAAATAAAGCATTTTCTTGCCATGTTTAGATATGAAAACACTGTTCATAATTGTTAGAATTTAGAATTCTTCCCTCGAATGTTGTGTTGTTTAATCAATCTTCAGGTCTTTTTCTCTCTGTGAATTTCTGTCCTCTTTCTCAGTGATTGTTTGGGTGTGCTTAATGGGTTTTTAATGGTGTATTTTGTGTGGATTCTTGCAGGTATTTCGATGCTTGTGCCGAGATCAATGGCCAGAGAGATGGACAACCACTGGAGATGGTTGACGGATTGCGTCCGATTGACTTTAAGGGTGAAGCCATAACATTCCGAGCCACAACAGCTGGTGTTCTGTCCACACTTCAGCACTGTCTCGAGATGATTGCCCAGCGAGATGACAGTTGGCGGAGGAAACTCGATCGGGAGATTGAGAAGAGGAAGAGACTTGAGGATCTCTACAGGTTAGAGAGAGAGAGAGAAATTTGTACAGGCATCACAGGATTTTGCTAACTATTGTTACTGCTTTGCAGACAAGTGAAGGAGAGACTCGAGAGAGTGAGAAATTCATCCCTTCCTGGCCCTGACATGGAGGTGAGTTTGATGACAGACGATCCGCGCACGCTTGATTTATTTGCATGCGGAATTGCGCGACAATGAAGTGTGCAAAAAGGCAGCACTTGTAGTAAAAATCTATTGTCAATATTTTCCCATCCATTTCCCATGGCTTTTTCGTCAATGCAGAAGAAAGAGGAGTCAAAGTGAAATGGACATTATGTAAGCGGCGCTGTCGCGTGCACGCGAGAGAGAGAAAGAGATGAATGTGTGTGGAGATTCATATGAAAGAATCCACTTTATATGATGTGTGGTGACATCAATTTTATGACCCTCTCAATAACTTTCTTGATGTCCCCGCGAAGAGTGTGAGAGGGAAACAGGTGTGAGTGGATCAAATTGCATATACGTGAAATTACGGCCTTTGCTTTACTCTCGCTTTCCGCGATGGAAAAAATAAAATTGATTTGCAGACTCAAGTGATGCCAAAGACACACATTTTATGCAAATTTATTCACATGTGAAAGCAATTGTGGAGACAAAAAGATGTTAAAATAATATTTATGAGGCTTTTCTCCCTCTTTTTCACGAAAAAATGTGTGTTTCGCTCACAGCTTTGAAAAGAAGGTGGGAAGAAAGACGTTAGATTGTCGCTGTCAATTGCGTGATTCGATCTGAAGAGAGTGAAAAAGGCAAAAATGTCTCTTTCTTCACTCGCGGAGTTTGAGATGAAAGAGAGATGACAAGAAGCGGTAGCGAAAGAGAGGCGAAATGTGGTGGAAAATGTGTAGTTTTGGAAGTCAGTGTGTCAGTGTTGATCACTTTTGGGAGTCAAAGCACGCATTTTCCATGACATAACTCTGCGTTTAACCCACTTGACGTAATGTTGAGGCGCACAAGATTGACTTATATTGCATCTAATGCGTGGGGAGGGAAAAAGAGAGGATTTGTCGATATTTGTTTGCTCTTTTTTGACATTGGTTTGTGGTGGATTTTATTTTCTTGTAAATTAATCTTTTAATTGGTCATTGAGACACAGCCGAAAAAATTGGGTGAAGAATTTGGTGGTAAAAGGAGCGCGAAATATGCTGAAATCCTAAAGCTTTCTATGTGCAACGATTTTTTTGCTCAATGCGGGAATTTTAAATTGAAAAACCTAAAAAAAAGACGAAAATTTAGGGGAAAGGAGAGTAATTTAGCTGCTGAAATTCACTTAAAACGCCTGAAATCTTTAATGATCTTGACTTCATTGGAAAGCTGTTGCAAAGCCCTAGAAACTTAATTAAACAACTGAAATTCATTTAACTACCACAAGAGGCGCTTATGTCGATGAGAGAATTCTCAAAATTTCAAAGTAAAAAATTCCCACTAAAACTATATAATGTGTTAAAGAATTTAAAACAGTTTTTGGTATTCTGGACTACAAATGTAAGCGTTAAATTTGCAAATATGTTTAAAATTTCACCAAATTCATTCACATTAGATAAAAATATTTGCAATTCCGATAGACACATGTGTTAAATCGTTTTGTACCGCCTTAACATGTTATTTTCAAATGATCTTCAAAGGTTTTTCAGGGGAACATAAAAGATTTCTGCATGTAAATCGAATTCACTATATCAATCGGCAAAAGACCAAGCTCTGCTCAATTGGTATTCCTGGATAGCTTGTGGCGGGCATGCCACTGTCATGGCGGCCTTCTCCTCCCGACGAGATCCTCGCTGTTACCATTATTTGACGATAGTGGCAGCACTGAAGGTGACGCGGAGAAACGCGCGAATCAGTCAGATTTACTGCAATTTCAAATTGCCACATTTTGAATTTAAGCTTCATTTATTAAACAACAAGTGTGTAAAATTGCCCCGTTTTCCCCTAAATGTGGAAGATTTTGACATTGATTGTTATTTCTTGCTCTGCTGAAGAATAAGAGAAAAAAAGCCTCTAAAGAGTTTTTTGGAAAGGTTATAATTTTTGTAGCATTCTACTGAGTTTCAACTAATTGGCAAATCACTCTGAATTATCACATCTAATCTAAATGACAAGTGGTTTATCAATGAGAGCAATTATTTCGTGGCTAATCTCTCGATGAGGCCATAGACTCGATGCTTTTCGAGTCTCTCGCTGTAATCTTCGTTTGACCTCTTGGCATTGACCGTCGCATTCCGAAATTTGATTGTATTTATCGTATTTATCAAATTTTTGTCGCGAATATTAGTGATCAATTGGAGGCAATTGTGGCCAAAAAAAACGGGCTGTCAATTGAATTAGAGATGGTGTTAAAAATTGGTGGCTCTTCGGCGCCCACTCTTGAACTCTTCGGCGCAGTTCAAATCACACACCAAACAAACACTCTGTGATTTCGGCCAGCGCGCGCGGGGGGCGGCGGGGGGCGGCGGAGGAGCGTATCAATGAATGGGTGGTCAGAAAGAGGTGAAAACAATACGGCGAAAAAGTGTCCGGAGTGCCAATGAGAGTCAATATCGCCACGGAGTTAATCAGTTTTGTGTTGGATTTCAATTGGAACGGTCGCGACTGTCCAACTGGAGGCTTTTCAGCAGGTTTTTCTCTCTCTCTCTCGCTGTTCAAATTGGTGTGAATTTCTGTGTTTTGATAAAAAAAGGGGAGAAAAGTGGGAAAACAGTGCAAAATGCCCTCCTTGGCGTCTCTGGGATTGTACAAGAAGGCCTTCAGGAATAGGAAGAATGTAAGTGAAGACATTTTAAGGGGTCAAAGAGCGAATTGCAATGGCTTTTCGGCTAATGTGATGAATTTGCTTAGCCCAAATTGTAGCAAAAGTCTCAGAATTGTGAGCAAAGGAAGTGAAGAGAGTGATTTTCAGTGTTTTTTTCTGACCGCCAAAGAGATTAAACTCGAGCCAAGAATAAATTTCCATGACGGAAATGACGGATATAATTCAATTTTTTGCATCTCCATTCAACTGTCGTTGCTGATAAAATTTAATTATGCGCACTCGAATGATGATGGATGCAAATGATGATGTTGGCTTTCTGTGAGGGAGATTTGATTATGTGGTTTTTCATGTCTGTAGAAATTTGATTTTGAAATTGATACTTTTTTTTTCTCTTCACCAAAAAGATTGTATATTTTGTAAGATTTTCGTGTGCTACTTTTACTCAGAAAAAAATAAGAGAGAAAAATCAACTTATAGATGTCATTAAGATATAAAAAAAAAGGTACAAATGCCACGGAAGAATAAAGTTAATTTCGATTTGGGTTTTATTATATAATAAAACAGTGGCAAAATAGTGGTTTTGCTGGGCATTTTGTAAAGTTCATTTGATGGTGAGAAGAGGGAAAAATGCACAATTGTAACTGATAGGAAATATAAGCGTCAGTCTGTTTGGCCTTATCACACTTTCTCGTTTGCTTCCAATTCCAGTTATCGTGTGAGTCAATTTATTGTGTGTCAAAAGGCAAGATTAAATCTCTTTTGGCGAATAGCATGCAAAAATGTTGGAAAAACTGTGATGAAATTACTCAATGCGATCATGCAAATCCACACATTGTAATTCCATAATTTCTCTTTCATAGTCAAAGGTTGGAAGTTAAAGGAATGCTTGAAGGCAGAAAATGGGTCGTTTAGAGTGTCATTTTTGGCCATGTGAAAGTTTATGTAATTAGACAACATAATTTTTCGTTGATTGCTGAAAATTCAGCATAATAATGTGACTGGCGTGTTGCATAAAAATGTCTTTCTTTGTGTTTAGTCAAGGGGGAGAAAATTTGCCTCAAACTGAAGTTTTCATTCGATATTTTTATATGATAAATTTACTTATTTCACCATAACCTAAAAATATCACGCAGAAATCTTTAAAAACCCTGTTTGAAAGCTTTCTAGAACACAAAATCAACTGCTGAGCTTTGCTAATGAACTCAAAATTGTTCAGAAAGATTCTTGAATTGTCAATTTCTAAGTTTAAATGACTTTTTTTGAGGTTATGTTCGATCTTAGCACAATTTACAGTATTTCTTGGCTTCAAAGATCCAGAATAGCGACTTTTATTGCATGAAAATGCTTAATTTTGTTAATAAACAGCAAATTTTACGACTTAATCATAAGACTTTATGTGCTGAAATCAGTTACATAACCTAGAAAAGCAAAGATATCAATTTTTTCAATTTTTCCTGTGTGAAAATCAAAAGAAATTCAAATAAACGAGCTAATTTGTTAGTAAAATACTTTCTGGGAATGAAATTGTATAAATTTCTGAACATTTTGTAATATTTATCGAAATATTTCCTCCTTGTGTTCAGTCATTTGGTCAGCGGTTTAAGTGTGAGAATTCCTAAAGTATCAGCAGAGTTTTGTTACTGATATGAGATTGTCTTGTCTCGAGCGATGGAACTATTAGAGTTTGTTTACACGTGAAATTCCTCATATTTAAACTATAAATATGTTCTCGGCAAATACAGAACATTTACCATTTGTCAACACATCAGATTGAGAGTCTGTTTGCGATCAAATATCCGCTGTGCCATTTGCAGGAAGGACCTCACTCGACGCTGCCCGAGGATGAGTTCTTCGACGCCGTGGAGTCGGGTCTGGACAAGATGGAGGAGGACACACAGATGCGCGTGCGCCTCAAGCTGCAGTCGCAGCTCAGCTGTCCGGACGCCTATCCGGACGAGGACGCCGTGGCGGCGGTGGACGAGGAGGAGTTCGGCACTGGCGGCGAGGCGCAGACGCACCGGCTGTGGCAGGAGATCGACCACATGTGCGTGGAGCAGCTGAGCCATGCGCGCCAGGGCGTTGGCGAGGGTGGCAATGGGTGGCAGCTGTTCGCCGACGAGGGCGAGATGAAGATGTACAGGCGCGAGGAGGAGGTGAACGGCATGGTGATCGACCCGCTGAAGGCCTGTCACGTCGTCCAGGGCGTCACGGCGCGCGAGATGTGCCACTACTTCTTCAGCCCGGAGTACAGAATGGATTGGGAGAGTGAGTAGAGAAGACAAAGCTTATCAACTGCTTTCCCTATCATGCATGCGCACACATTAAGCCACAAGTGGAGTAATTGGGATTTTCTGGGGAAATTTGAATCATTATCAATCATTTGTTCAACACGCGCATGAAATCATCAACTATTGATTGATCAATTGCTCTTGACAGAGCATTTATTACTTCTTGACACTGTCTTCTAGTTCATAGAGTTTAGCCAAATCCAACACGAGGCGTTCCCTCTTCCTGGGCCTTTCCTCTGCTTCTGCTGACACTGATCCTGAAGATTGCGTCTCCTGGAGAGTTCCAACGTCCGGAAACCAATTGTTCCTCCCGCTTAAGACACTCATTTGGGTCGCTGTGCTTTCCGCACTCACATCCTGACCTGATTTCTCATCACTTCCGCCACTGCTCCTGGACATGGCGTCCTGCATTTGCTGTCGAATCATTAGCTGCTTCACCTCGGGAATGTGTGTGATGCTGGGCTTCATGTGACACTTGGATTTGTCCGGTTTAATGGGCTGAATGGACGACGATTCACTCATTCTTCTGATCACACTCTCGCGATAGCGTTCCATGAAGCTCACGGGAGTTATTTTGCTGATTGAACTCATTGAATCTTCCTTATCACTTGCCTTGTTATCACTGAAATTCCTCTTCCACGGATCACTTGAAGTCTTACTTGGCGGTTTCTTGAAGAAATCTTCACTGTCATGATCTGGAGATTCATCCAATTTGAATCTGGAAGTGCTTGAGTTGAAGAATTCCTCACTATTGTCCTGCGTCAGGACGATTTGCGATGACAAAACCATCTCATATTCACTCTGGATCTCTTCATCATCATCTTCAGTCAGGATATTCACAATTTCACTGCTGTCTTTAGTAGTTCTTCCATCGCGAGATGGACCTGGTGTGCAGAAGAAGTCATCTGAGGATGTCTTCTTGGTCGTGTTGAAGAAATCAACCTCCTTGGCTGCTTGATTTGATGAATTTTCCATGGATTTTGGCTTGAAAGGTGTTCTTAGATTGAAGTTAATCGACGGAGATTTCTTCTGCACTTTAGGCGGGACAATTTCTCTCTCTTCCGGCAATATCTTGGGCGGTGATGAAGTGACTGATGAACTGCTGACGTTGGAAATCTCCCGGATTTGCTCCACTGGAGTGTTTATTATCGATCTAAAGACACTTGTGATGTTGTTAAGATTTCTGTCATTCGTTAAATCCTCACGAATTGACTCAAGATTGAGGGCAACTTTGGATTTACGTGGAAGATTCTCATCACTGACGGTGGAGAAGGATGTATTGAGAACGTCAGGAGCAGATTTTGTCCTCACATTCATGAGAAATTGAGGATCTGCCGTTTCGATGAACTTCTTCAGAATCTTATCCACTTCTTGTCGCACAAAATCCTCTGATGACTCTGAAGTTGATCGGAGAATACTTGCAAGATTAGCATAGAGATCATAAAGTTTCCTCTCATTCTCCAGAGTGTCTTTACAACCAGGCTTCTCAGGATTGTCTTCAAATTCTGCTCTCTCGCTGACACTTTCCAGCTTCTTGTACAATTCCTCTGCCCGCGGAATGACGTGTTTGGGGAATGAAATCTGTCTGGCCAAGGACAATCCGTAGGCTTTCAGCGGCGTCACACCGAGTTTCACTTTGTGCGTGTAATCCAGGACAACTTGACCATTCTCCTGGACATTCTCCGTGGCCTCGAGATAGAGATTGACCATGTTGAAGTGATAATCGGGCAGTTTTGTCAGCTCCTTGAAGTGTGTGGTGAGAAAGATGAAGGGAGATGTGATATTCTGCAGCTTCTTCACATCCTTCGCCGCCTGATCGGGATTTATGACACTTTCTGTGTCACGCTCAAAGTATCTCCCATCGTTGCTGAATCCCTTCAAGCCCGCCAGTTCTTCGCACATTCCCCACGCCCAGATTTTGCCCTCACGTGGATTCGTGCTGCGTCCCAATTCGTCCACAATCACGACGCTGTTCGGCGTGATGTTCCTCAAGATGTAGTTTGTCTGGCGCACTTCGTGATCGAAATTCGACACGCCGCGCTGAACGGTGTCTTCGAAGCCCATGCGGGAGAAGAGTTTGTCGCAGATGCGAAAAGTGGCTTGTGTGGCGGGAACAAAGGCCCCAATCTGTGCCATAATTTGCAGCATTGCCACTGTCTTAATGTACACCGTCTTGCCGCCCATATTCGGTCCGGTGATCATGAAGAAGTTGTAATCCGACGTGGCGCACACGTTATTGGGCACGGGTGAGACGTGATTGTAGCCAAACTCGAGGAATGGATGAATGCCGTCCGTGATCTTGAGTTCAGGGCCAAATGATGGACATGTGTAGCCATCGAGGGTGGCCAAAGTGGCGAAATTCTGAATGAGATCAATCTCCAGAATCACCGCTGTCAGCATATAGAAGCACTCGATGTCCTTGCGAATCTCCACGAGCATATTATCAATCACTTGATTGCTGATGATGAGAATTTCATTGATAACATCGCGAATTCTTCTGTCCAAACTCGCAATTTCGTCATTTCGTAGCAGAATTTTCCCACCACGTCGAGAAATGATGTCAAAGTCCGTCGGAATGTTGGGCGGAGGTTTCTTGGTGTCGAAAGTCAGGATCACATGATAGCCTCTGATGGTGTTGTGAGTCAATTCGAGGGACATTTCGTGTGTTTGACTCAGAGATTTCACGTACGTCTTCAGCTTCTCCAGCAGACAATAGTAGAGACGCCGGGAGATGTCCAGGAAGACATTGCTGCCCTCCTTGACGGCGTGAATGCGCTGGAAGAACTGCTTCTGGCCACGTTCGTGCTGAATATCACTGACAATGTGCTTGTTGATCTCCGCCAAGATGCTGCTGTAGCGCGTGTCCTCCAAACCCTGACGCATCACGTCGAAATTCTTGTGCACCAGCGACGACAGGATGTCATTGAGCTGAGGAATGGCTTCGAGGCAGGATTTGAATGTGATTATGTGACTTATCATCAACTCAGCCGCTCGAATGGCGTCCGTTTGGGAGACAACAACGCAGAGTTTCTGCATTTTGTCCACACTCTTGAACTTCTTCAGCACTTGTCGCAGTGTCTCGAGCAGTGGTTGATTCTCAATGAGCTCCTGCACGGTCTCCTGATACTCCTGGATGTGCTTGACGTCACAGAAGGGCGCCAAGATGCGCGCTCTGAGTGATCTCTTGCCGATGTTTGTGACACATTTGTCCAGGAGTTGATAGAGACAACTGTTTTTGCTCTTTCTCGGCATCAACGAAGCCACCAATTCCAGTCTCTTCGACGTCTCGACGTCTGGGAGAGGGAAAAACAGAGATTAGAGGAAGTTCTGGAGGAAATAACTGAAATCTTACCGATCATCATTGAGCCGTATTTGGCCTCGTAGATAATCTGGAGGCTCTTCGGCGCAAAGACGACACACAGCACTGTCCTGAGATAGCGGAAAAGTCCTCCGGCCGCCGCCAGAGCGTAATACTTCCCTTCCAGGGCCAATTTGACGCTCTGACAGTGCGAGGAGCAGAGCTCATTGATGCTCTCCAGAGCCTCGACGTCGTTGAAGAACTTCCTCATTGCTGGCTTTATCTTCACGCTGGGGAAGGCCTTGAAGATGATCTTCAGGAGCTTGGAGTCCTTCACGAGGCGATCCTCGGTTAGAACTGTGTTCGGCACGATTATCTCAACGGGATCCAGCATTTGGATCTTGATAACTGTTCCTGTGTACCACATATCATCGCTCAGCTGCGATAGAATCAGCGTTGGGGAGTTGATGTCAATGGCAGCGATTCCCACTTCTCCCCGGGCGTTGTTTCTGCCCTCCGTGATGACTGGAAGAGTGAAGAATCGCATGAGAATCTCTCTTGTTGTGTTTCCGGAAGAGTTTCTTACCCAGAATTACGTGAGGTTCGACAGAAGCACTGCTATTTCCTGCTGTTTGACCACTTCCGGGATTTCTTGATGTCTTGCCATGTGGCTTCTTGGCCTCTGCTGCCGGCGGTGGTCTGAGGAATCCTGATCCTGTCTCGGAGAAGAAGTTTTCCAGCATTCCTCGACTCGTGCCGGCTTTCGGCTGTTCACTGATTTCAGGGACATTTCTCGTGTTTCCTGCCAAAATCAACAGGATAAAAGATTGTCGGGCAGCTGAAGAAGGGATTCAACTTACTCTTCACGGGATTTTTGGCGTTGTGAGGTGGTTTTTGTTGGATGAAATTCATGATTTTCTCTCACAAAAGAAGCATCAAAAGTAATCACACGCAATCGCCATATTGGTTTTTGAGGTTTTTGATCAAAGGGCGCCACCTGATGTGGAACATTGAAGTGTATAAAATCCTTTTCGCGGGTTGAAAATCAACCGTTTCGGGAGAATGAAACTATTTTTTTTTTTAATTTCTTACCCCAAAATAGCACAAGAATTGCTTGATTGATTGACCTTAAGCGCTTCTATCATTTATTATCTGTCTCTATCACCTATTTTTGTGCTTTCTTTGTGGCAAATTGCTTTCTCACCTGTCTCGACGTGCTTTTGTTTGTCTCGCACCATCAATTTGGTTTTTTTCCCCCTTCTTCGTGTGTGCTTCGCTGATAAGAATCTCATCGTTTGCCTGATGGGAGAGAAAATTAATTAAGTCTCTTTTTCTAATGTGTGTGTGTTTGTTTGTTTTGTTTTTTTGTCCATCTTGGAAATACAGCCACGCTGGAGAATATGACCATTTTGGAGACAATCTCGCCAGACACTCTGGTCTTTCTGCAGACACACAAGCGCATCTGGCCAGCCAGTCAGCGTGACGCCCTGTTTTGGTCACACATGCGTCGAGTGACGGATGAGGTTGAGGATCCGGACTCTCACGATGCCTGGATTGTCTGCAATCATTCCACAGAGCATGAAACTTATCCGGTAAGTCCGCCATTTGATCCACCATTTTGAACAGCTCTAAAATACATTTTCGTCATTTATTCAGCTTCTTTAGCATGGATTTGCCTCAAATTTCAGTATGTTATTGTTGACCTCAAGACCTTTCTGACGAACCAACGAACTTACGAATCTAGATCCTTCTGGATCCTAGATTTGAGGGTGGAAATCCTGGAAATTAAAATAGCCATAACTTCGCTTTTTATCGTCCGATTTGAATGATTTTGGTGTCATTGGAAAGGTCTTGTGAAACTCTACAAATGTTCATAGATACAGAAGTTTATCTGACCACCGCTAGAGGCGCTAGAGTCTGATGTTTGAAAATTGAGCTGTTTTGATAGCTTATTATTTTCGTCCCTTTTATATGGTGTTTTCCTTACACATTTTCTCCCTGTTTGTCTCTCTTGCAGCCAGCAAATACGGGCAAGTGTGTTCGCATCTATTTAACCGTGATACTGTACTGTCAGACGTACGTCGGCGAGGCGGTGAATGGGAAGGTGTCGAGGAAGGATTTATCGTGCAAGATAACGTATTGCTCGGTGGTGAATCCCGGTGGGTGGGCGCCAGCCACAGTTCTGCGCGCTGTGTACAAAAAAGAGTATCCAAAGTTCCTCAAACGCTTCACGCAATATGTTGTGGATCAGTGCAAAAATAAGCCCATTATGTTCTGAGAGGAGCGATTGTGAGTGAAATGAGCGGATGACGGAGGATTTTGTCACGCGGCGCGAAAGTGGACGTGAAGCTAATGAGGGGGAAAATACACTTCATCTGCCATAAGATTTGAGGATGAGCGAAGAGAGAGAGAGCGTCTTGTGCGAGACCATCAAGAGCGTCACAGAGAGGATGTGCAGAAATGTGGAAACAACAATCGAGAGTGGCCAAGTTTTCGAGGGTGGGAAGAAAAGCGCTACAAAAGTATATAAAAAAAAAACATGTGGGAATGAATGAGCATTTCTTGCTTCTCAATATTTTGATATTTGTTTCTCTATATTTAGGCTTAAGCGGGGATTGGAAAGGAGGAAATGCTGCGATGAAAAGCGGGAGGGAGATGAAAAAGTGTAGGGAAAGATCAATTGTTATTTTGTATAATGTGTAAAATTCTCTTAGGAAAGAAAGAAAGAAAAATAAAGAAAATGTGGAGTCTATTTTAGCGTGAAAGCGTGAAATTGTGAGTAAAGAAATGATATTCATATTAGCTTTTTTTCTATGAATGTAAATTATGTACCTAAGGAAGTATAAAAGAAAAGAGAACATTTGATGAAGAATCCCTTATTAAACTTTTTCGATGTTATACATATATATACATATATATATATATTGAGGAAAAACAACTGGACGGAGATGAAAACTTTCAAACTACTGCATTGTAATAAATGTGATTGATTAAAAACACGTGATTTTTCTCTTCATCGATTAACATTTATTATCATTTTGCCGGGTTTTTCTCTTCACTTTCTTCTCTCTAAAATTATCCTTACAAGACAGGAAGAATTATGAAGAATTTTCTAAATAAATCTAACAAAAATGTGGGTTTTTTCTTAATATTTCTCATCATCTTTCCCTAAAAATACACTAAAAAGTTCTGAAATATCAACTCAGGAATTATTCTTGAAGCAATTTCAGGATTTTTCTTAAATCAAAACTATTTTTTTCTTCAAATTTCTCTCTGTGCACAATTTTTGAAAGAAAAATTAAGTAAGAAATGATTAAAATGATTAAATTTGTGTCATATAAGAGAATTTAAAGGGAATTTCTCAGCTTCTTGTCACTCTAATTAATCCTTCACTCCTTTTCTTCAGCACATTTATTTATATTTTCTTTAAATTGTTCAATATCTTCAATATATGAATATTTTTATACTTTTTTCTCCTATTATATTCTTCTCTCTCTCTCTTTTCCTTACAATTGTAGTAATATTTTGTTTCCTTCCATTGTTTGTGTTTGCAATCTTCCTGGCGTAACAAAAAAAAAAGATCCTCATAATTACTATTTAGTTTAGTTAAGTTTATATTGTCATCTCTAAAATGTTACAATCTTGGGCTATTTTTCATCATTTGGTGAAGTTATTTTTTGTGTTGTCTCTTGGCGAAAAAGAGCGTCAAGTTGTGGAGTATTAGAAAAGAAAACGAGTTTATATACTTCTCTTTCTCATAGAAAATCTTGGCACAATCCTTCCACTTCGCGCTTAAATACTCGCAATAAATGCCCTTAAATTTTACAATAATTTACTTGCTCTGCTAAAATATCCCTTTTTTTTTCTTTACAAAATCGAAAGACAGTCAGGTTGTGTGGCTTTTCCTTGTCTATTTTTTTTTGGCTGTTTCCGCAACAAAAGGTGCTCTCGAAACATGAAGGATGAATGAATGTTATTCGATTTTAGTCACAAATAATGTCTCTAATTCATCATTTCAACCTTTCACTCTATTCAAGATATGTCATAATCATAAATGTTTCATCACTAGACGTTTTTTTTCTCTCCTAAAGTGAAGTCAAATCAATTTATAAAATTGAACTACATATAATTTGTCAAGGAGCGCATCGAATACGTTTTTTTCTTTCTTCTTTTAAATTTATGTACAGAATAATTTCAAAATATATATATGCTCAAATATTCATTAGTAAAAACGTATAAAATCAACAAATTCTTGAGCTAAAAATATCTCTATCTACCCTTTTTTATTCCACACCTCATATTGTATATTACAGTGCTTCTCCTTCCTTCATCCCTTTGTCATAATCAATCGCGCGCATTTTCCTCAAAGCATTTTCCGCCCTTAACAATTCATAATCTCAATAACTGTCCAGCCTTCGCACGCTGCCCTTCATTACACATTAATCTGAAAAGCCTCCCGCTGAAGCTTCTGCGTGGCGCGAATCCTGGGCGAGTGGCCGGTCTTCTTGTCGCCGCCCGCCGCCGAGGGCGAATCCAGAAAGTGATGCGGTGGATTTATGTGGTCGTCTGAGTAATTCGGATAGTTCGATATACTGCAAAGAGTCGAGAAAAGAGAGAAAATTGCTCAATAATGTTGGGACGGAATTACTTTCGCAGGAAAATTAATTATTAACTCGCTCTACAGTTGTTTGCATTTTCAGAGAGCGAGAGTGAGTGAGAGAGAGAGAGAGTGTGAGAAGAGCTGGGAAAACTCCTTGAAACTTTAATATGGCAATCAAGTGATGAGAAAGCAAGTGTTTGATATTATAGAACATGGTAAAATTTCAACAACAAAACGACTTTTAGTAGTGTATTTTCTCCAAAGTTCAATTACAAAAGTTAATTGCTTTCTGTGGATTAAAACGAACAAATTTAAAGTTCGACAGGAAGCAAGAAATCTAGACTAGAGAAATTTAAGGAGTTAGTAATTAAGGAACATGCTTGATTTATTGCTATAAGAAAAATTCTCACAATAATTGGATTGTCACTGTTTGATGAAAAGAGAGTAATTCTTCATGAAAGAAGTAAATTGAACTGATTTCGAACTTTATTCAATCAATTTGCCGATTAGTTTTCATCAAGGGGGAGATAATGTGGCTAAAATCTTAACAAAACGCTCTGAAAATTCTCAATTTGCATGCAAAACACTTTCTGCTCTTAATAAAACCAGTCTTGAGCATCTTTTTTTTTACCATAACCTAAAAATATCATCAAGAAACCCTTCCAAACTTGGTTTAGAATACTTCTAGAAGAAAACTAGAAGAATTTATCTTATTATAATCAGATATTAAAGACAAAATTGCTGATTTTCTAACTCAAAACAGTCAGAAAGTGTTCCGAAATTGTATTTTTGAGGTTATGTTAACACACTTTCGTTGCTTTTTAAAATCGAAAGGTTCAAAAAAGTGATTTAGCGATTCATTTTATTTGTTTACGGCTGAACACAAGGCTAAACCATAAGAATTCATGTGCTAGAATGTTAGTTTGGTCAAGATCATTCACATAACCTAGAAAAGCATTTGTATAACTTCTTTAAAAGTGAAAATTGAAAGAGAATCAAAATAATTACGCTAATTTGATAAGAAATAAGCATTGAAAAACGTATTATTTTAATTTTGACACACTTCCAAATTTAGCCATATTATCTCCTCCTTGGTTTTCAGTTCAATTGCGCCACTCACTCAAAACTTCATGCAATATTTAGAAAGAAAAATACTATATTGAACAGTTTGCATGATTGAGAGCACTTTTCTCGACGGCAAACTCAAATAAGTTATCGTTATTGAATAAACCCCAGAAGCAATTACTTAGGAAATTCACAAAAATACGCTGTGAATTCCGAGCATTCTCTTGGTCGCGTTCACGTGTGCAGTTTGAGACATTGACAGAGTATTATGAGACAAAGATGTGACAAAAGTGGGTGTGCTTGAGTGCAAAATATTGCCATTGACTTACATTCAGAATCTAAAGAGCTCATCGTGAGCAGAGAGATCGTGAGGATTAAGGTGTGAAGTTCTTTTGATGCTTGAACAAGAAGAGAAAAGAATCTTCAATCGGGGCCACTTTTTCCGTGGTGTTTTGTGGGGGGGGGTGTTTTTGGGGAAGTTGGTGGTGGGAAGAGGGCGCGCTTTCTGGGGGGAGAATTTGTCCAATTTGTCGTCTTTTGCCGCTCACCTGAATGTCGTCTCTTCGTTGTGACTCGAGTAGCCGCTGGAGCTGCGAACGTGTCTCTTTGGCAGATTCTGCGTGGCTTTGGCGCCCTTTCGTGCCACATAGGGTGGCTTCACCTTCCTGGTTGATATGTTCGACGGCGAATTCTCCGACGATGATGACGTCTCATCCTGGGAATCTGTGCGGGAGAGGACGAGAGGAGAGAGCGTGAGACGAATTCGATGTAAACTGGGCATTTTAACACACTTTTGCGCATTCGTGTTTTGGTGAATGAAATCTCTGGTGAGGCGGAAATTTTGCGTTCAGACATTTCAGGGCAGGAGATTGCAAGACGTTCAATATTACGTGACCGAAACTCGATTCCTGCACACAATCGATATTTTCTTGAGAAATTTTTTCATGGTTTTCATGGTTTTCTGTGTCATAGAAGACAATAAACGCCAGAAAATATGTATTTCTTGCCTCTAAATGCTTTTAAACACAATAATCTTGAATTTTTCAAGATGCTTTAGTCTTTTGCCGACTAGCCACTTGAAAGACAATTCCAGTGAAGCGTATGCTTCAGCTGGAACATTCCACAGCAACCGCTTGGACTGTTAAGTTTTGTTATCGAAATGCTTAATTTTTCACATTCTTAGCAATCGATGTGATTCGAAAACAAGTCTGTAACATCAGAGAAATGATATTATTTATTCGTAAATTCATATTCTGCCCGGAAAATTGAGTTTTCATAGGTTTTTCAGCATCTTCGGTGTGATTTGGTATGTTTTCAAAGCACAAATCGGCTGACTTTATGGCTGAACACGTCAGATTTCTGAAACACAAAATTTCCGCCCCACAAAAGTGTTCGAACACGGAATTTAGAGAGCACCAAAATCCGCAAAGCCGTGAGACGTTGGCGGACGTAATTCAATAACTTCACCGTCACTTTTCTCCTGCCATCAACGTCTCACTAAAAGTCACTGTAAATGTGGTAAGAAAGAGCTGCAATGATGTGATGTGAGAGTAAATGTGGTGTTCTCTGCAAAAATGCTGCAAATCAAGAGTCACTCGCTCGTGTGGAGTGATTTGCTCAAGAGATTTACTTTTCAACAACACTCCTCAATCGACTTCTGGGCAGGACGCAGCGGTCAATCATCGGCTGGTGGGCAAAGAGGAGAGCTCTTGGGCGGGGTGAGAGAGAGAATCTCCGTCGGCAACAATGTGAGAAAAGTGGACACACACATATTTTTTTGGCAAAACATACACACAATGACTGTGGGTGGTGATTGAAAGTAGAAAAGAAAAGAACGAATGGGGGTGGTTTTGGGGGGAGAGAATGAATAATGGCGAGAATGATCAGTGATGAGGGTGTGAAAGTTTTACCTCTCTGTGGTCGATATTTCTTTTGATTGACAGCCCGAGAGGTCAATTCGTTGTCGGATTCGGAGCCCAAGGTGTCGTATTCTGTAATTGGTATGTGAAGCGTTAAGATTTTCCTCACTTCGGAATCTGTTGAACCTGGATTGTCCGATTCTAAAATTTGATGGTATTTGGATGATTTTAGAACAATTGCCTGGATGAGAGCTTTTGAATGTCATTATTTTGAGAAGGAATAAAAAGGAACAGAAACAGATTTCTTCTGCCTAATTAATTAATATATATATATATATATTAAATCTGTGTCACATAAGGTAAACAAATTAAAGAAACTCAAACAACTTTTGGGGGAGATTTTCAGTGACAAAACTGCCAAATCTACAATTTTGATAACTTCTTCTTCTTCAGCCCAATTCTTTTTTGCGCAACGACTCAGGACGCTCACAATAAACATAAATGATCTTCTAATTTTATCTTGACTGTCTTTTTTTCTTTCTTGTCTTTTGTGAAAGCTTTCGCTCTCAAAATCAACACCTGCCAATTGGTCAACAAACAACTTTCACTATCAATTTGTGTCTGATGATTTAGATGAGGATGAGAATTTTGCATCTACACCAAATCAAATATAGCAAAATTAAAAGGGGGTGAAATGAAAAATCAAGCAACTACATGAAGCCCAATGAGAAATGAAGAGTCAACGAAAATGAGGAGAAAAGCTAACTCAAAGGCCAACATGAGTGGAAAGTTTTGTGCATGACAAACCTTGACTCTCCGAATGTGGATCCCTCAGGCGTCCACCTTTTCGGCGGACTTTCGTGTACTCAGGCTCCTTGCTCTGCAACAAAGATCAACAAGTTAGGCTTCATTCAAGGGGTAGATGTGATAGACGTGTTGGGAATTGGAAGTGGTGAAATATTTACTAAATTGAGGCATTTTCTAAGTAATTTTGCCTAGGAAAGTCAATTTTATTGGTTTTCTAGGTTATGTGATCAACATAAACAGATTCTAACGATTAAAAAACCCTCAAAATCATCAAATTTGTGTTGAAACTAAGAATATTTATCCTTTTCTTAGCAGAATTGAGAATTTCTGTTCGAAAAAAACTTCATATTCGTTGAGAAAAAGCTTAGAATTCAATCATAACCTCAAATTATATCATTTCAGTGTAGAAAATTATTTCTTTGCTTAGTTTTTTCCACTATTTGTGCTTTAAAATGGGAAATTCAACTTTATTATCCAGTTACTCATTCCTAGATTCGAAAGGATTTAAATTATCCCAAGAAGGATTTCTTGAGTGGATTCATAACCTCACAAGTTGGTATTTTAAGCATTTCAACAAATCCTGGGACATTAAGGTCAATTCTTACAATCTGAAATCTAAGCATTTGAGGAGCTTAAACTTTTTGAGCCAGAAAAACTTAGATTAGATTATAATAAGTCAAAAATAAATGTTGAAAACAATTGAAAAATGCCTTCAATGGCGTTCAAAAGTGTCTGAAGTGTTAAAGATTCTGTGGAGGAATTTCGGAAATCTTAGCTTCATCCACACTCACGTGATAGCTATCCGTCTTGACGTCGTGGTAGACGAAGGAGCCGCGAACGGAGTGATACGGACCGCTGTAGACGTTTCCACTGTACGAACTTTCGCTGTAGGTTTGCTTGTTGAGCTGGAACGTTGCATATGGACAGATGTCCTCGATGTATTCGTTGCCTTCGGCCTTAAAGCTGCCCGAATCCGCGGAATTGCTGTTCCTGTTGCTGCCCTGATTGCACCTCACGGCCAAGTACTGCTGATCCCTGTTCGCCTTGTTCTGCAGATTGGCCAGCGAGGGTGATTCTGAGATCGATGACGATGGCACTCGATTCTGTGCGTTCATTTCTACATCACGAAGGGACAAAACACACTTTAAAATCCTCCTTAAGTTCATTGCAAAAGTTTCCCCGCAAACATCTCGAGAGAGTATTTCGAGAGATATTTTCTCCACTGAGGCAAAAGAATGCGAAGAACTTCGCCTAATCTCCACCCACTTGACGGTGTTACTCACTTCGTTTTCGGATGAGAAGAACCGCCGCAATGAGGCTGAGGAGGATGAGAATGGAGAGTGTCACGGGCAGGAGCACTTTGAAGTTTGCATAGAAGGAACTTTCGCCCAAATTGTGCGACACCGAAGGTGGATGGTCGCCTGGATAGATGACTGAAAGCAGCAGAGGAAAACTTTACACTTGCCATCCTAAGCCGGAAATTCAGTCCCACAGGGTAAATAACAGTAGCGATCACAGATTACTTAATAAAAATCAAGAACAGCCATTAAATCAATCAAACCTTCAATCAAAATGCCTAAAATTGAATTTTATAGTCGAAAAGTTTCGTATTTAGAGGTTTTCATTGAGAATTTAACCTTCTTCAACTGATTCAATACAGAAAATCTTGTCTTTTCACTGTTTTCTACCCTTTCTGAGGTCCTTCGAATCACCCTCCAAACTTACTTCCTTGCGGCGTCAGCGTGGTGAAGTTGTAAACTGCCATCGTGGATCCGGCGTTGTTGTGCGCTGTGACTCTTAGCTGGTACTTGGTGGTCGGCGAGAGATCATTGACGGTGTAGATGCGCTCCGTGGGCGCCACGTGACCCGCCACCATGTTCCAGTGCGAGCGCCCGAACGGCCGGTACTCGATGACGAAGTAGAGAATGCCGCAGCCGCCGTCGCCCCAGGAGTCCAGCCAGCACGTGACGCTCGTGGAGTTGTTCGTGATCATCTGGCTGTGCTTGGGCTGCACCGGCGCGTTGCCCTTCGTGAAGGAGTTCACGATGTCGCACGGCAAGCCCGTGCCGATCTTGTTCAGCGCCGTGATGTACAGCTGATATCGCGTGCCGCACCACAGATTACCCAGCAAGTGTGAATTGGTCTTCGAGTCGATCTGCAGCTCCTCCCAATCGCCATTGTCGCGCTTGTAGTTGATGACGTAGCCCAGAATGGGACTTCCGCCGTTCTTGTTGTCCGTCCACTCCAGCAGCAGACTGTCCGTGTACGTGTTGACGACGGTGAGATTGGGCGGATCTGGCGGAACCTTGATCACCAGATGATAGAGAATCTCGTCCTTCCCCCAATTATTCTCCACGCTGCACGTGTAGTTCCCGCCATCGGCGTGCTGACAATCGCGGATCGTCAAGGTGCCGTTCTTCGCGATGGACTTCCTGGAGTTCGTATCCATGGAGTGTCCGTCCTGGCGCCACACAGTCACCGGCGCTGGCAGGCCCACTTTCTTGCACGGCAGCACCAGATCCTGCTTCCAGGGCGTGACGATCTTCCTGCTGAAGGACACAATCCTGGCGGGAACTTTGTTGTTCGGCTGCACCGTCACGACTTTGGTCTTTTCGCCCTCGCCGACTTTCGTCGAGGCTGTGAGCCAGAATTGGTAAGTCGCCCCATCCTGAAGCCTCTGCGTCTCGTGCATCTCGATGTAGGGTCCCAGGATCTTCTTGTGCGTCCCCTCATCGCGACCACCCTCGAAGACAGACATGTAGAATGTGTAGCCAGTCTGGAAAGGTTGATTAAGGAATGAATAAAGGCGTTTGCATTGTGTTAATCTGAGAGTTGGACTCACAATTTCTCCGTTGGGATTCAACGGTGGAAGCCAGGACACGATGATCTTGGTGCTGGATGCTGGGATGGCCTTAATGGCTGACGGCGCTGATGGGACATCCTCGTGGGTTCGGCAGTGGAATTGCTTGGTCTTCACGCCGTCGCCGATCTTGGTGTAGGCCAAGACCCAGACGGTGTAGTTGGTGAACTTCTTGAGATTGTCCACAGTGAGGTACTGGTTGTTGGACTTGACCATGTGGGGATCCTTCTCGTACAGATCCTCCACTGAAATGTAGGACACTTTGTAGCCCTTAATCTTCCCATTCTGACCATCGATGTTCGGCGGCGACCACGTGATGTAGATCGAAGTGGAGGACAGAACGTCGCATTTGGGACTCTCAGGCGGACTCGTGGGGACATCTTCTAGGGTATTGACCAGGATCTCTTCGCTCTGCGGTCCGCTGCCTTGACTCGTGTAGGCCTGCACGATGATGTGATACTGAGTGAACTTGTTGAGGTTCACCAGAGCTGTTTCTCCGCCGAAGTGCGATCGCACTTCCACCGTCTTGAAGTTGTAGCCTTGCGTGGGATTGACTTCGGTGCGCATTGAGGCCATCTGGTAGCCCACGTAGTAGCCCAGGAGATTCCCATTGCGATGATCCACTTCTGGCGCCTCCCACGACACGAACACCTCCGTCGAGCTCCTGGCCTCGCCGCGCACATTCAGCGGCGGCCCCGAAGGCACCTCCTCCAGTGTCGTCACCTGGACAATCTCCGAGAAATCCGACGCGCCCAGCTTGTTCTCCGCCGCCATGCGAATGTGATACGTCTTCGCGGGCCTCAGATTGGAGATCGTGATCACCGTTTGGGAGCCACTCACCGTGATCCTCTCCGACGTCTGCCACGTGTCCGCAATGAGTTTGTACTGCACGTGGAACTCCTCAATTGGACTGTTGCCGGCGAATGGCGTGCTCCACGAGAGCTGCAGACTCCGTGATTGCTGGGCGTTGATTCGCAGATTCTTCGGTGGCTCTGGCACTTCCTGCACTATCAAGTGGATGGACATTTCGTCCTGTCCGAAGGCATTACTCGCCTGACAAATGTACATGCCTGTGTCCTGACGATATGTGTGCGAAATCCCCAATTCCGATACCATTCCATCGTCCAGAGTCTGCTCCCTGATCGTGTACCTGTGCGAATGAGGTGAGAAAAGAGGGTGGAAAAAAGCTCGTCAGTTGAGATTCATTGCAGCAGCTTTGGTGATTTATGCAGCTGAGGAGCCACTTGGAATTCAGCACGTTCGGACTTTTATCTATTAATGGGGGTTTAATGGTGGTTTTTACTGCCACGCTCCGCCTTCAAATTCAATTGGGGTGTTTTACGTCCGGCTTGAAAAAACATTGTGAGAACTCGCTTAATTCCTCCGCTCGTAAATTATCACACGATCCAGTCGAGGTTACGAAGCCACGACAGTGCAATAATTACGGAAAGTGAATCAGGAATATTGCCAGACATTCTGGCCTCACGTCTCGCAGTGCATTTCAATTGCGCCAAGGGAGAAATATTGGACAAGAAATGGTGTACAGTTTAGGGGAAGTGAAAGTGATAAATTGGTTGGAAATGAAGTGAAAATGCTTTTTTTTCCAAGCGCTCTAAAAGTGCCTGAAGTCATTGGGATTCTGTACAGAAACTTTGAAAGTGACGAGAAGTGGTGTACAGACGCGAGTCACACCATTTCTCCCCTTGGAAAGCGCGAATTTGGCTCTTGGCGACACTCACCTGGCGTCGATGGACTCATCGAGGTGCTGCTGTGAATTCTGGATGCGCCACTTGAGGTCGATTGGCGTGTCGCCCTGGACGTTGCACTGAATGTGCACCTGCTTGCTGCGGGCGATGAAGATCTGCTTGTTCTTCGTGGCGAAGTGAGCGGCCACGTTGACTTTGAGGAAAATCACTTTGCTCACCCCCGAGCCAATTTCGTTCTTCGCCTCGCACAGGAAGTGTCCCTGGCTCTCCTTCGTGATCTTCTTGAAGTGGATGCTCCCGTTGGCGTACTGCACGACGTTTGGCTCGTACAGGAAGTCCTTGTACTCCCCCGGACTGCTCCCTATCGCCTTCTTCCACGTGATGGTGGGCTTGGGATAGCCGTCCGCCTCGCAGAACAGCATCACGTCGTGGCTGGCCTGAGCGGCGGAGTCCTTGGGCTCGATGACCCACTTTGGCGGCACATTCACCGTCAGCGGCACTGTGAACTTCTCCGTTCCCGCCACGTTGCTGGCGATGCAGGAATAGTTGCCGGAGTGCTCTGAGGAGATGTGCTCCACCACCAGACTTGCTGAGTACTCATCCAGTCGCCGGATCACTTCGTTGCCCGTCCCAATCACGGGCTTCCCGTTGCGCTCCCAGCGAAAGCTCACGGGCAAATCGCCCTCGAGGATCTGGCAGGAGATTGCCGCCCGCATGCCCTCGCGCAGCATGTTGGTCATGGCCTGAATGGGCATTATCTTGGGCGGCACCAGCACCTGAATCTCCACATTCCGCCGCGCCGTCTGCTTCTCCCGGCTCTGCGCCATGCAAGTGTACGTCCCGGCGTCCTCCAGCCGCTGCAGCTGCTCAATGATCAGCGTCCCGTTGGCGTAGGCGCGCTGCCGACGGTTGATGGGCAGCGTCTGGCCGTCTCTCTCCCAGTGGATCTTGTCAATCGGATATCCCGCCACCGGACACTTCACCACCAGATCCTTCCCAGACACTCCCGTGATCTTTGGCATCTCGCGAATGAAGGGCGGCCCGTAAATGTTCACCTTGGCGCTGTGGGAAACCCTGCAGAGATGAAGGAAAGAAAGAAAAGCTATTTTTAGGACATTAAACAGGAGAAAAAAAATCCACTGAATGGCAATTCGATTGGAAAAGAAGCGATGAATCTAAATTTAAATATCTTACATTCATAATTGATTTATTGCCGTTCTTTTTTTTGTGTATCCCTGAACTCAAATGTAGACTTAAGGGAGAGTCGGAAAGGCTTTTCTTCCTGTGAATCTGGGTGGCTTTATTTAAATGTTGTACAAATAATTGCTCGGGGGAATTCTTAGAAGGTCCTATCGATCGACCAATTGGTCACACTCACTTGCCAATGCTGTTCTGAGCCGTGCACGAGTACTCGCCGCCGTCCTCGTCCTTAACGTTGGAGATATTGACGTGACTTATCACGTCGTCGTGAATGGTCACATATTGTCCGACAAGGAAGCGTGAGCTGTCCGGGATCTGTGGGTGGGGAAGGAGAGGAGAACCAAGCGTTCCATCGTCATTTGCATTGTTAGCGCCAAAGATGCGAGCGGATGCTAGACTCACCGGAAATCCGTCCAATGTCCATTGAAACTGCGGCGGGGGATTCCCAGTGGCGACACATTTCAAAGACACTGTCGGTCCTGGCTGGAGTGTTTGTTCCGAGAACCAATAAAGAAGTTCCGGTGATGCATCTGGGGAGTGAATCAACAATACCACACAATTTTCTCTCTTTCTCTCTAGCCAAACCCGAGAGACACAATCTTTCCCCGATATACGTAAATTCACTCCGCAAAAGGGTGGGTGAATTTCCATCGGGAGGAACTTTTCTCGGCGCTTTCTTTGGCCGTTCAAAATGTCCCGTCGAGGGGCTCAATTCGATGGGAGAAAAGTTCATTGTTTGGCAAACTTCTCCGTGTATTAATTAATTAAATCCCAATGCGGAGGAGGTGAAATGGATTTTCGGATGGTGAGAATTCAGGGAAGAGTTTTTGTACAGGGAAATTCGGATTAAGAACAATAAAGCTTATGCATATTGAGGATGTTTTCCACCAAACCAGGAAACATTTAAAAATCGCGTTGCTTTCAGCTAAAATGTGCTGAAATCTAAGCTCAATTTTCAGCAAGAAAAACAGAAAGTTTCACTTGCTTAACCATCTTTTCATCCAGTTTTCCGTGCTGTATGAAAATGTAGAATAAAAAGCTGATAATGTAGAACACAAGAACATATCAGTGTTTTTCTTTAGCGCGATGCCCCTCGACTTTTATCTCGTTTTGGTGCAAAATTTATGAATTGAGGCAATTTTTCTCTATTTCCCTCCACCCCAAACAATATATCGTTTTGTATTGGTGTTCAGTGTCTTATTTGCCACAAATGTCCATTGAGTCGTGTGGGAAGGACAATTTTCTGCCCCAGGATCGTTGTCTGAGAAGAGGCGGAAAAGAAGGAGGTGAGTGGAAAAATTGCTTACCTCCCAACTTCAATTCAGCCGTCGACTGAATTTGTTCCCAATCATTTGTCACAAGACACTGGTACATTCCCTGGTCGTCCTTCTGCACCCGCTTGATGATGATTCGCGGTGGCTCAGAGTGAATTTCAATTCTATTGTCTCGCAGGATTGGCTTCCCATCGTGCAGCCACACGATGTCTTGCACGGGGAAGCCAGACACGATGCACTGCAAGTGGGCGTCCCTGTCCACATCCACCGTCTGCACCTGCGGCTGCAGGTGGGCCGTCAGCGGAGCTGCTCGTGTGTGAAACAACACCAGAAATGCCATTAGACATCATTTCCCATCGCATCCATCCACTCAGATTGCTTCCAGCGACGAAGTCGCTCCAGTGCAATTTTATGGAATTCTCAAAAGCAATATTCTTAAATTTTCATGACTCCATCTCCGGCTCCGTTATTAATTTCAATGTTGCTTTCAATTTAAGTTTGTGTGAAAGTTTGCCAAGGCTCTTTCCACTCGGCGATATTGGGCGAGGGTTTAATGTGAAATTAAACTCCATATTTTATTGGCGCGCAAGGGAAGTTTGAACACACGCTTAGATGGGAAATTGTCGTGTGAACTATTAGAAGAGCTTAATGATAATTTATGAACCAACTGAGACGCAATGCGTAACAAGAGAGAGATATTAAACCATGTGATGTACAGAGTTTTTGGTATTTTTGAGGTTATGCAATCAATTAAAGGCACTTTTGGAAGATAAATGACTGCAAAATGTGGGAATTTAGCAAAAATTACAATTTGAAAGGCGAAAATAACTACAAAAAGCTCTCTTCATAAGCTCAAATCCATAAATTTGCTACTTTTAGGTTCATAACCTCAAAATTTATGTCAGACATCAGTTTAATCCAGACTTATTTATCGAATCCTTTGCCTTTTCTGAACATTTCTGAGTTTAATTAAATATATAGCTCAATTTATGGCCTATTTTAGTGATATAGTGGCGAAATAGTAGCAGAAAAGTGAGGTTAGGACAGTTTCTGATCTTCCTTACCTGAAACAGTGAGCATGACCTGGATTGTCTCCTCGCCGGCGGAGTTGTTGACCCAGCAGAGGTACTTGCCGGTGTCCTCGAGGCGCGCCTTCTGGACCTTCAGCAGACCCGCCGCCAGAATCGTGAGGCGGTCGCTGAGCTGCACGGGCAGCAGCTGCTCGTTGTCCTCCTTGAACCAGCGGTAGGTGGGCACCGGGTGTCCCTGGGCCACGCAAGGCAACGTGATGTGTCCGTTGAGCGTCACATGGCGTGACGAGTGCTTCTCAACGTTAATCCGCGGCTGCACGACTCCCTTGGGCTCGGTCACGATGATCCTGCCCGGGTACGCCGATACCTGCATTTCACCTGCAGAAGGGGAGAAATGGTGAAAATGGTGTGCGTTCAATTTTCCACAATATTGCACCGCATCGTGGGGATTATGGGTCCACTGGGTGAGTGACAAAAGGAGAGCTAATCACGCTTGGGAAAAGGGTGTGGATGGCGATAAAACACTGGGCAAATACGATGAGATAAATCCACACAGGAGACAAGTAATTAAAGTGATGAGATGCGGAGAAAATGCACGACAGAGAGATTGGCTTCGCTCTTCTTCACCGCCATAATCACTTTAGCAAATTGCCTCCTTTTGTCGCGTGGATTTGATTGAGAGTACGGCTGCGACAGACCCCCATTTCAGTGGGGGTTGGCGGTGTTCGCCCAAGATTGAGGAAAAGAGAGCGCCAAGAGCGGTCGTGACAGTGCGGAAAACTCCTCAAGCTCAAGTGTGACTTAATTGAATTTACCACCAGCAGACTCTCTCTCTCAAACTATCAACTGGATGGCTTGTCTTGTTGCTTAATCGGGTGATTTGACGCACGATAATGCGGATAAAATCACCACACAGTCCAGCACAATTGTCTGCCACAGAGAGCTTTTCCTCCCTATAATGCTTTGTGTCAATGTGAGAGCTTTAAACACACCAGCAATTCTTTCGTGCCATTGCAGCTGGGATTGCTATTGATTGGAAGTATCCACAGAGAGTGGAACTTTAAAATGATGTTTTGAAATCCGCCAGAATCTTTCTATTCCAAAGTTGGGAGAGAACAATAAATCTGGGATGGGATTAGTGGTGCAGAAAATCCACTGTTAAATATCAATTGGAGATAATACGATTTTCTCGGTTTGCGGGCAAAATGGTATAAGATTAGGTGTCGCTGCTCAAGTGGAAAGACTGTCAATTTGGGGTAATGGACGTGACAATGCAATTGACATGATCGACAAATTCTGTAGTTTTTCCCCAGGAACTGAACGTATTTTGAGGAGTTGTATGAATAGAGAGCTTAAAGCATGAAATCACACTGTTGTAAATCGTCTTATGGCACTGTATTTCACTTAAAATACAATTCTAGGCATTGAATTGTAGATTTTTGCATTCGAACAGCGCTCAAAAAATCATTCATCAAGTTCTGAAGCACAGTCAATGGGGTCTGAGCTTTAATCTCCTGTTTGGAGTGGAGTCAGCGCAGGTGAAATGATGGATTTACCTGTCAGTCGATGGACCACTCGGCACGTGTAAGTCTTAAAGCCGTCACTGGGTCCGGCATTGCTGATGTACAGGTCCCCATTGGGCAGCACGGTGTACTTGCCACCGATGTCGGTGTTGGGATAGAGGTGCATCCCTGTGTCCTGCACCCACGCCGTCACCATCACGTAGTCCGCCATGTAGCTCGGCACCTGAATTCACACACACACAACATACAATACGTGAGGAGCTTTTTTGCCCAGCACAATTCCACCCGACTTTGCATTTTGCATAATATGTGTGGCGCAATAACTTTGCCACATTCCGCGCGGTCGAATTTTATCCTAATTAATTACCTGGCACTTGAGAACCGCCGTATTTCCCGTCATGACGTATTCATCGTGCACCTGGACCGTGTACTTCTGATTAACAACTGAAATGCAGAGTGGAAATTTTCTATTTTAATCACCCACTTCCATTCACCACTTAATTACCAGGGATAGAGAGTTATTCGACGAGTGTGTCCTTTCCCGAGGAGTTTTTCCTCGTGGGGGTGGAAAAAGAGCTTTTAAAGTTTCCCCATTCGAAATCCCACCCACGCGATGAGCTCATGATTGATTGCATATTAGTTTTGCAAATGTAAACCTCTCTCTCTCTCTCGGGTGTGGAAAAAATTCTGTGAATTTGCTGATAAAATGCTCCAGAGTGCAGATTTGAGTTGATTATTTTTGCGCCACTTTCGCTCTAAATGATTGAAAAATACATTGTGACCACATCAATTTCACCATGGCGCGTCGCGCGCACTCGATAATTAATCAAAATTCGCTTTTTCAATTAATTCATCGCCCACCCAAAAACCCCCAGACTGTGGCCAATTGCTGGTGGTGGTGCCATAAGCCAGGCAAATTCATAATTAACACATGCTCGAAACGCTGTATCACAAAGTTCAACTGCGATTGAATTTACGCTGCTGTGTTTTTTGCTTATATACATATGTATATATATTATCGAGGGAATATTTGCCACTCCTCAACTCGCAATCTAATATTCACGATGCTTTTATGCATGCTTGGCCACTCATTTGCCGACTGAGAAAGCTCCCCCGGGCTTAAAAATAGCTTCAAACGCGCACAAGGATGAGCTTTTATTTTCCAAGCCTGACGAAAACCCAGGCAGAGACAATGTGGCTAGAATCTGTACACCACTTCATGACATTTCAGCAAATTACTTGAAATATCAGCTAATCTTCAAAAATTCCATTTAGAAGCCAAATTCGAAGCTTTCTTAGACCAATTTGAGTTTAAAGTCTTAAAAATCAGCTTCTAAGTGGATATTTTCCCAGCATAAAATCCCTGAAATGCTATTTTTGAGGTTATGTGTGACTTTTTACAATTCGCAGCTGCAAAAATTCAGAACAGAGACATTTTTTGCATGAAAATGTATGATTTTTCTATTCTTGACAGTCTTTTTGACTGAAATCAGTGATTTAAATATAAAAAACTGTTGTTTTTGGAGGTTAAATCCGACTTAAACTAGCCACATAACCTAGAAAAGCACAAGTGTGATTATTTCTATGTGAAAAGTCAAAAATGTATCAAAGAATTGCTCTATTTCTTCAGAGAAGCACTCAGGAAAGTAATATTGTGAATATTTCAGCAGTTCCTAAGACGTCCTCTGACATGTACACCACTTCCGGCCGGAACATCTCCCCCTTGGCGCAAAGTTATTCTGTGTGTGGTCGGGGAAAGTGCAGAAAATTCCGCACAGTGCTCCCAAAGAGAGTTATGATTGGTATTTTGGGGTTTATGAACAGAATTTTTCTCTTAAGCTCCTCCACTCACCCTGCGACTACCTATTTTTGCCGGTAATACATTCAGCCATTTCCTCTCCATTTCACCCTCTCCGCGGCCTTTCAATATTTATGCCGCGAAAGGAGGCAAAGAGATGAGAAAATTCTCTCGCACCAGAGATAGAAATAAATTTTATGGAGGAAGTGGAAATCTGGAAATCTATTTCCTGACGTGTGTGTGTGCGCACTCAAACGGAAGTCACATTGATTCCCAATGAAATGCTTTTACGACGAGTAATGAGGAAATTTCTCAATTGTCGAAATGCCAACACAAGCAATTCCACTAGATGGGGTAAACAAGTGGAAATCTTGATGGAAGTGCATGTGGAGGAGATGAAAAGTCAACACTCAAGTGATGGCATTTGTGCAATTTGCGTGAGAACAAATAAATAATGCTCGACTGCGGGGGTGAATTTTGGGGGACAAGAGACGCCCTTTGATGTTGGGCGCCTTAATTATATTTGCAACTGATCACAGACGAAGATTGGGCACATTTTGGTAGAGAAGAGCTCATCTTGAGCTTACACTCTATATATTGACGAGCTTTGAATTTTCCGGAAAGCTCCTGGGCATTTGATAACCATTTGAAGTTCTTCACTTTGTCCCACACTTTTCATTTCGGATTTCTTGCACAAATTTATTGGCCAACAGCAGCATGATGGAGCTTTTGCGTGATTGTGCTGGCTTAGCGTGGCGGAGATGAGCAAAATGCCCTCCATATGCTTTTCCGCATTTATGATGCTTCACAGTAGCATTTTGATGAGAAATATTTCACAACTGCGGGGCATTATTTCAGTGAATAAATTAATGGATTCTGCAGGGGTGATGCGAGTGGCGTGGAGTGTTGGGAAAGTGAATGATTGAGAAGGGTTGAAATTTTCACCCACTTCCGTCCATCCTCTTCTCGCCTCATGTTTTGCCACCCATCCCCGCCCACCCCATTTTGCGTCATGTGCGAAAATGTCAAGCGAGGTGACGACGTGAAATAATCCTAAAACGGGGAAAACTCATGAATATATCATGCTAAATGGCAATGCAGTGTTTTCCTAACACTTGGCCTTTGCTCTCCTTGGCAAATCCACCCTCGGCTAAAGTGTGAATTTTTGACTTATCCGCGCTCAAGCTCAATCCAGTCATCACGCCACCCTCTCTCTCTCTCTGGGGGGATGAGACACAAATCCATATGGACGTCTCGAGATCCTTTTTTCTCTCTCGCTCGCTGTCGTGGAATTTGTCCATCCAGCATTCCCTTCGCGCCCAGGACAAATCGAGAGACAGAGAGAATGGAAATCTGATATTTAAATGGCTTCGAGCGACTCTCCTTAAGTGATAAGATTCTATTTATTTTCCATTTCGCCGGCAGGAGAATGATATTAGAGAATGTGTCGTGCTGGGGAAAAAATTGTCCACCCTCTTGTGCTTTAATAAATTATTACAGAGAGCTTTCGTGTGCTGCTTTTGCGCTGGGCGAGCGAAGATTCTCTGGAAAGATGGATGTGAGTGGGACAAAAGAGGCAAACGTTGCAATATTTCTTCCCCAACCAAAAATTTCACAACTTTCGTGCTGATAATGCCCACTTAATCTCTCTTTAATCTCGCCAATTCATATTTGTTCAAGATGTTTCACATGAAAGCGATGCTTTTAGCGTGTATTTTTATACGGTGAAACTCGTGCGTGAATTCTTGAAATATTTTCTCAGTATAAAAGCTTTCATGGAATATTATGGAAATTTTTACATGAGCGAAGCTTTCAAAAGGGTTTATTTGGATTGTGTTTTATTAATCAACTAAGCATGGATTGTTAAAACATTTTCGAGACTCTCTACAAAGTTTCCACCAGATTTTCCCGAAGAGAAGAAGATCATTATCGTATTCTCTGCACTCCAATTACTGCTAAAATCAAGAGAATTAGTGTATTTTTTTTCGTAGCAAAAATCGTTATGGTAATTTCAAAGGCAAAAAGAGTGCTTTCAGAACAGAAAAAAGGGGGGCGATTCCAATCTTCATAATTCGATGTTTCCTCTTTCATCTCTTCTACACTCTAATTTAATTTTCCGCCATGAAAGAAAACGACAAAGTGCAGAAGTAACTTTGCGCTTTTCAGCTTTTTCTTTCCATCGCGTCCGATATTTCTCTCCGCCCCCTCGCAGATGAAGGGGGAAAAAGGGAAAGGAAAAGTGTGGGCAGATGGAGAAAGAGGGTGGAGCGGAGAGTGTTAACATGCATTGGCATATTTATTAGTTTTCATCTAAACTGAGAGAGAGAGAGAGAAAGATGTATTTTTGGTGGGCAAAAAGCAATTCACATGATAATTTTCAGCTCATAAATATACAATTTCAACCCATGTAGATTCCATCCTCAGACACTGTATCGGATTTATATCGCATTAAGGGGTTGAGGAGGCATCACACGATGGGGTAAATGCTCTGAAATCCACCCTCTGCTCGTCCGCCCCTGCGGAAGAGCGCCCCGAATGCAACAGCGTGCTGAAAGCTCCTTTTGCCGCCTCTCCGGATATCTTAATACACCCTGCATGTCGATGGCATGACAGGGGGTGGGCTTCTGGGCGCTCGTCGATGGGGGGTGTGGAAAAAGGTCCGATCTCACCCATCTCAGGCAGTGCGAGAAGAGTAACTGAGTGGGAATAAAAAACGCACAAATCTTATCGGAACTGCGAAAGCGCTCAAGTCGATCATCACTTGCTCTCCTGGGGCTTCGCCATATATGTTTCATGATGTTTTGGCAAATATTGAATTCAGGCAAACATCTGCCAGTGATTTATCTTCGGAGAGAGGCAAAAGAAGGCGCGCACTATATATTGGGACGGGTTTGAATTGGTAATCCGCTTCCCCTTTTATGTAACCTTGTATCCTTTCGCCACCGATTGTACATACAATGCATACAGAATCCCTCTTTTGCCCTTTTTTGCACGCAAATATCCCTGTGTGTGATTCTTTGGGGCAACAAATGTGATGTACGAGCAGTACGTTCAGCCAGGATCTGTGTGGAAAATTGCTGAGCTTTTCCTCTTCTGGGTCAAAGTTTCGCGAGAGGGAATTTCAAAATATCAAAACATCATCAAATGATATTTTTTTCCAACGTTTCATTGAACTTGTGTTAAGTCGTTGTCCTTTTTTAGCGCTTAATGCGAAGAATTTCATTTATTCGAGTTTCGTGAAATGTTGGAATTTTTGAATGAAATTTTGTAATTTGCATTTTTAGCTACAAATTTTATAGAATACAAATTAATATGCAAAAAATTGTTAATTTTTTCTGTGGAAAATTTGAAAATATAAGTGAAATTTTACTGTTCTTCTAATTTTTTCTGTGAAAAAATGCCTTTTATTCTACAAATGTTATAATATTAAATTCCTAGTATTAAAAATGGTATTTTTCCAGACTTCTTTCATATTCAGTTTATATTTAAACAATTTGAGCAATAACTTTTCTAAGTTTTAAAAATAATTTTTCAATTTTTTTAATATCTATTCACTTTTTTTGTTCACTATTTGAATTCACAATTATTTATTTTCTTCTTTTATGTGCACATTCTTATCTCTCTAAAATACGATGGTTTTTTTTTA